GGTGATAGTTACTGGTTATAGTTATCTACTGATCATAAGTACTTAATGTTCATTGATACTTACTGGTCATAGATACTTACTGGTCATAGATACTTACTGATCATAGTTAATTACTGATCATAGTTAATTACTGATCATAGTTACTTACTGATTCTCTACATTTAACAACTGTTTCTCTGACGATTATATTATATAGTATTCCGATTTTCATAAAACTATGCTGATCAAGAACATATATACTTTATATGGTCGGAGGTGACTCCTTCACTGCGTTGTAAATTTCTGTCTGAAATTATAATGCCCTGCAAGGGTATAATAATATACACTTTAAACCCACCTCAGACTGATCATGATCTAGAAACACCGCATAAACTCGATCGAAGGAAATTCAATCGCTGCTCAAGGACGGCTGGTAGAGTGGTTTTTCCCCTGGCATTTTCCTTCATTTTCTCCTCGCTTTTCCGTGTGTCTGTGTGTATCTGTGTATCGAATCGTTGTAATTTATTGTTGCACGCCAACTTAATGAGTCCCGCGTGAGTGTGTGTGTGCTGGGAACAATGAGGACTTCGGTGCACACACCTTGCTGCACTTAATCCGGTGGAAAATCAGGAAAAGTAATGGCATCGCAGGTAGAACGAAAGAAAAACCGATCCATTGTGCCACAGTGTGTGTGTGTGTGTGTGAGGGTTGGTGTGGGTGTGTGCCAGTCTTTTGATTGAACAATCCGATATGCTGGCACTTTTCATTAGAGATGTTAAATCGGTTTTTAATTTATATACATGTATATAAATATTCCAGGAATATATAATATTATAATTTTTAATAGATGGTTTAAATAAATTAAGGCAGATTTCGAATTATTTTCCAGATATAAATATATCTCAAATAATTGTTTTACAAAATAATTCTTTGTATAAAGAGATTCCCATAAATCAGGTTTTTCCAAAGGATATTTAATATATTTCTTTAAAATTATTAAAAATCATTAAAAATGCTTGAATATAAATTTATTTAGATTCATAAAAAATGTCTTAATAGGCGTTGTTAATTATTAGTATTATATTACCAATTTAAATTAATAAAAACTTTTTCAAACTGTCTAGAAAAACTCCAAAAAGACATTACACACACACACGCTGCACATATGCTGCATTGCCACATGAAAATAGAAAATGGGGAAAAATCAAACGTGATAGGTAGGGGGCTTCTTTGGCGGCATCATTGTGTCCAAGGCAAACCGCATTAAGGCGGGTCAGGGAAATGGTAAAGGCAAGTGAAAGTGGAAAGGTCTCTGGGATGCAAGTTATGAATGCAGTCTATTTAATTTATATATTTAATATATTTTAGTTCTTTATTTTTTGTTTAAACATTGGCATATGCATGGGGATTACTGCGTTCCCCTTTTTTACCCCGATTTTGGTCAATACTCGCATCCTCGGGGAAAATTTAAAACCTTTTAAAGGCGCTTTGGCGCTGTCAGCTGCGCCTAAAAGCAGCTTACACTTATACCGGGCACACACGCACACTCCCACACACACACACACACATACAGATACACATATGGACACTGCTGTTGATGCTTGGATAAACAATGGATGAGAATTTCCCTTAGAGTTTTCTGCTTAGGGTATACATGGGGTTTGTTATCCTCAAAAAGGAGCTCTTTTTGTAAGTAATTTTGAAAAGTTTTTAAAAAAGTAAATCTAAAAATTTAGTTTAGAACATTTTAATTATTTGTATTTTTCTTTTTTTTTATCTACTATTTTATTATGACTTCCAAAAAAGGCGAATACCCGAAAGTATGAATATCTTTAAATAGGGTACAGTTAAATATATAATTATAAATATATAAATATATTTATTTCAAACCACACAATCCCGGAAAAAGGGGTAACCCGCCGTATAAACACTGTTTGGTCTTGGTTTAAAATTTGTATTCTTTTTTTTTCTTACTTTACATACGGAATGGTATTGCCCAAGGGAGAAAGTCCTTTGTGCCTTTTCTCCCGTCCTGGGGGCGGGATGTACTATATAATCACATAACTCCGCTTGTGTGTGTTAGTGTGTGTGCCTGAGTTTGAGAATGTGACAATTGGTTTCGTCTGTGTGGGAGTGCGTCTGTGTATGTCTGTGGATATCGAAACTAGTGAAAGTGAACGTGAAAGTGGATTGCGAAATAGGGGAAGGAAGATTGATACGGAGCTAGGTAGACTGCAAGGATTCCCTGCCATAGAAACTGATTAAAAATAGATGATATTTTTTTATTTAAATATTCCGAAGCCATAACAAAGAGTTAATGTTTAATAACTTATTTGTAGGTCACTGCAATACATATTTATTTAAAGATCAACTTTTATGGCATACTTTTGTGCACCATATTAATTAATTTGCTGTTTTCGGCAGGACTTTTGTGTATATGATATATTTTACTGTACATTGTGTTATATTCAAGTATATCAATATATATTTTAATTAAAAAATTAACTATTGAATTCATTTATTAAGTTAAAATAATAAATGTAAGTTATTTTGTGACGATCCTTTAGAATGTATCCAATTGATAGGTGGCTATGCTGCTGAGCAGGACGACCACGACTGGCAGCAGGACGAGACCTTGAAGGCTTAAGTCCCCAAAATCCCGCAGGACCTCCGTCCAAAACCCCCCATCCCTGCGTGCTCCAGCTCCTGGTCTGGGCAGCTGCTTCCGCTTTGAATAAAACGCATTTTTCAAAAGTGCCCGAGTGTGTGTGCATGAATAATGTAAATATATATATATATATATATATATATGGTGCCTAACTGTATAAGTGTGTGTGTGTGCGAGTGTGTGTGCTTATGTGCTGTCACTGTGGACGTTTTTGGGCAGTTGGACCCACCTAGCCCCACTCCCCCTGGCTGAGCCAATATTGAAACTTTCAACTATACAACGTCAGCGCACACAAATACAATTTAAATTCCTCATATGTGTGTGTTTGGTGTGTGTGTGTGTGTGGGCAAGCGGGATTTGGACACCGAAAGAAATTTGTTTAAAAAATACGAAACATCAAAATTCAAAGAAAACTGAAAAAGGAAGCTAATTTCGGGAATCCTGGCAGAGAAAATCAGTCATAACTAAGTGAAAAATGCATTAATTTTTAATCGGAAAGCTTTTCTGTGCTAGTTTTTATAAGATTAACAAATCTACGTACTCAATTAAAAAGTTTTTAAATTTTAATTTTTTCTTGATTTTTTTCAGAATTTTAACGATGTAACCCCCTATAAAAATTTTAAAAATTAAAAAAATATTTAATTCTGTCGGACATATCTAGATCGATTTGGCTGTTGATCCTGATCAAGAATATATATCATTTATATGGTCGGAAATTGCTCCTTCACTGTATAAAATGCTTCTGACTAAAATTATATACAAATTTAAAGGTGGTTTTTAAGGTATCGTATAGAGGAGATATCAAAGCTCATTTTTAAAAATATTTTTATTCTAAATAAATATTTAATTAATAATTTTAAAGTACATAGAATAACAGCTTAGGTTTTAAAATATTTAAACATTTTTCCCAAAGCGAATCAATAATCTGGTGATAAAAATATTTTATAATAAAGGGACTATATGTTATCCACACTTGTCATTTTAATAATTGAATTAATTAATTTAATTTAAATGATAAATGATAAAGGAGTGAAATAAATATAATATACATTTCCTACCGTACTGGAAATTTCTCTGCCTGTATCTGGACCACTTTCACGTTGTATATATTTCTTTTTCCAGAGCCAGAAACGCTGGTCTGGCCTGTCTCATGGTCGAAGCGATAAAAAAGCTTAGGCTTATGCTTTCTGCACATTTTAAGCTCCATCCACCGTCTAAAAAACCAACCCCATCTCTCCTCCCTCCTCTCCCTTATACAGGCAGCGTCCACCCGAAGGACAATAACAACAACAATGCCTAGAGCTGAAAGCATGCGTAATTCTGTGAAGCGTATGGGGAAAGTGGGGGGAGTGGAGTAATGGAGTAGGGGATGTGGGTGGAGTGGGTGAAGTTGGGCACATATGTGGCCCCGCAATGGAGCTGCCCCCTTGCCTTCCGCTTAACCAAATGGAGGGCGGCTGTCCAGCAAGGAAATTTCGTTTTGATTTTGCATGGACTTTCAAAATTTATGCGCTATTTGAAATGTAACGCACGTGTGTGTGTGTGTGTGTGTGTGTGTGTGTGTACATGTGTGGGTGTGTGTGTACTTGAGCAAAATTAAATATCTAAAGGAGGAGAGGGGTTTTCTTTTTGGCCTTAAGGCTTTTCCGCCTTTAAGCAGACAAAACCCTGAATTTAAGCCTCTGTAAGTAATTTTAAGAGCTTTAAATAATTTATTTATAATTATAAAATATTTTAATAATAATATTAGCTTTAGGTGAAATTAATGTTATTAAAATCTACTCTTATTTCATGCAAATATATATGTTTATTCCATATTCTCTGTCTGAATTTTAGCACAAACTAATTAACATATTAATATATATTAATAAATATTTAGTTATAAGCTTGCTAAATTATTGCTTGTTCTTTAATTTTAAATATAAAAAAATTAAAAGGCACTATTTTTTAATTAATACATACAAATTTCCTTATACTTATAATAATAAAATGTCATTCAAATATCAATTATAACTAACGCAGTAAAAAATTCTACATTTCTCTTAACTTTGAAAATTTTAACAAAATGTTGAAAAAATTAAATTTTTGCCGGACATAGTGAGATCGATTCCGCTTTTAATGCTGATTACGAATATATATGACTTATAGGGTCGGAAATCACTCCTTTAGTGCCAATCAAGCTTCTGACCAAACTTAGAGTATATATGCAAGGCTATAAAATGCCAAGCTTTTTGAAATTTAAAAGACCGATTAACGATTATTAGAACACTATCAAGAGCGCCAATTACTTCAATCTGTCTGTCAGCGCTTTTTCAATGTGACCAGTTGCGGGGCATAGCAGAAATACCCGCTTGGCCCGGCAGATGAAACCGGCATTGATAAAATCCTGCAAATATTTTCACAAGAACCCGAAATATGTTTTAAATAGAATTGAATAAATGATTGTGCCTTTGGTGACACATCTCCGGCAAGGTGGGCAGGTGGAAAGTAACTCAAAAACCTAGCAGCCCGCTGTAGTCACAGTGTCAAGTGCCACTGAGTGCGGAGATCGAAACATTATTCAGACGGAATGGCTGCTACCGACTTTGTTGAGATAGATGGATCCTATCTGGAGGGTGGCGGACAGGCGCTCCGCAACGCCCTGAGTCTTAGCTGCATCCTGCGGAAGCCCGTCCGTGTGGTAAACATCAGGGCCAATCGCCCCAACCCGGGTATCTCGCACCAGCACCTGCACGGCGTGAAGCTGCTCCGGGACATAGCCGATGCAGAAGTGGTGGGCAATGTAATAAATTCTACCAAATTAGAGTTCATACCGACCACCATACGTGGCGGTAAATACCGTGTGGTGGCCCAGACGGCGGCCAGCATCACACTAATATATCAAATGGCCCTGCCGGTCCTATTGTTCGCTGGCGGCGCCTCGCAAGTGGACGCAACCGGTGGCACAAACGTTGGATTCGCTCCGCAGGTGGAGTACATGAAGCAGGTACTGCTACCCAATCTCATGCGCTTCGGGATTACCTTCGAACTGAAGCTACTTCACCATGGATTCTTTCCGCGCGGCAACGGGCGTTGCCTGTTGGACGTGAAGCCGGTGAATCTTATAAAGGCTGGGCAGTTGAACAAGTTCGGCCAGTTGGACAATGTGGCCGGCGTGGCCTACTGCGGCGGACGGCTGCCCATGAGCATAGCCCTGGACATGCAACAGACAGCACGCCGCGAGATCCATCGTTTGTGGCCCAGCCAGGACTGCAACATTGAGACAAAGAAGCTACCGTTCGACATAGCATCCGACAATGGAGCCGGCATTCTGGTGACTGCACATACAACAAGCGGTTGTGTTTTGGGATCGGGCGCGGTGGGCGAGAGGAAGATGCACGGACATTTACTCGGTTCGAATGCCGCCTGCAAGCTAACCGAATATGTGCGCAAGGAGGTCTGCATAGACGCGAACATGCAGGACCAACTCATCATCTATATGGCTCTGGCATCCGGCTGCTCACGAATGCTCACTGGTCCGCTGACCAAACACACACGCACCGCCATCCATGTGGCCGAGCAACTCACAGGCGTCAAGTTCGAGGTGACAATCGAGAGCTGCGGGCAGACACTTGTCACCTGCGAAGGACTGGGCCGCCTCAACGAGTTAATTTAACAATGGATCTTTATTACTTACAATATTTTGCCTAAATTATTGTTTACGTTTATACAAGAATAAAACGCGTCGCTACAAACGACGGAAAATTGCCAGGAAATGATCGCCCTTGTTGCGCACCACCTTGGCACCCTCCTCGCTGCTCTGGTAGAGCTTCGGGGTGATGGGGTCAGTATTCTGTGTAAATTAGTGAAGAATTTCAATGAGATTAAGCTGTTGTATTACATAAATAATGAATACATACCGCCTCCTGTTCGTCGAGACGCTCATACAGCGGATGCTCCTCCATATGCGCCACAATCCACTTGTGCAGGTCCTCCACATCAGTCATGGTATACACAAGGCCCTAGAGGACAGAGAAACCTTTGTGAGTATACTTATATTTAATAAGTATTATTCCTTCCCATATACTCACGCCTTTCTTAAGCACATATGCATACTCGGAGAGCAGGGCCTGGTTGATGATGCGCCATTTGTGCTTGGCACGCTTGAAATGCGGATCCGGGTACAGAAAGAACATCTTCTCCAGCTGGCCCTTGGCGAAGTAGTTGGGCAGATACTTCATAGCGTTGGTCCGGATGCAGGCAATGTTCTGGTATGCGCCCGTTTCGCCACTCTTGTGCCTCAACGCCGTTATCCTGTCCACCACGTAGTCCGACACCTTGACACGGATTTCCATGCCAATGGCGAGTTTTTCAGGGAACATTTCGCCCAGGGTGACCAGAAAGCCGCCGTAGCCGCATCCGATGTCCGCGAAGCTCACCTGTTGCCCCTCCTGGATGCTGGGGTAAAGCGAACGCCAGTCCACATCCTGCGGCCGGGCGGGGCTGCATAACACAGCGGAATTTGTTAAGCAGATCGAAAACTGGGGGATTGTATCAGGAGGAATTACTTACTAATTGAAGCTATGGTCGGCAATAGGATTAGAGTGCGCACGCTGGCGGTAGTAGCGCTTCTGGGGAAGTCCAGTCACCGCTGAGGTACAATTCAGTGCCGCCGGCTCCCGGTCTCGATCCCTATCCTCGATCTGTCCTTCAGTGGTCACCATTATTTAAGGAAAACACAAGAAGCGAGCACGTTGGCGAAATAGAGCTGACACTATCGGCTGATTGGCGACTATCGTATGATGTGACCGTTGAATCAAACACATACAAATATATTTTATTTATTTATCAGTCTACGTGTAAAAGCACAGTATCATTTTGGAAAGAGCGGGCGATAAAGGCGCTATTATTCATTATTGTCATTATTATCCATTCAGTATTTATTTTCGAAAATACCGAAAACTTGAGTGCGGTCACACCTAAACCGCGCTCGCTGCGAACATGTCTGGCAACACCGCTTAGTTGTAAACAATCGGACGCGAAGTGCTGCAAAAATAAAAGTGTAAAATTGTTTTAACCGGTGGAGGAGAGCCCGGCAAGGGAATATTTTGTGTCCAACATGTAAGTAACACCCCATACTCCATTTACAGGTACGAGTTCATTCATATGCGCGTGTGAAGCGCACACGCGAACGCGCCTTTCAAGCTCCTTCCAGTCGAGAGGAATTTGGGGCCGGCTGGCAGAAGACCTTCTGTCTCCCTCACACACAAACTCTCTTCTTGCTTCTTGCACACAGTTAAGGGCATGGGTATAGTTTTATAATTATTTAATTTATTTCGTTCACTTATCTTTTATTCAATTTATTACAATTTTTATAAATAATTTGCAACGCAGCAAATCATGCATTTCCGTTAAGGTATATATGTAAATGTTTGGACTTGTCTTTGCTTTTAGCTTTGCCTTATTCAATGTAACATTACAGTTAATCAGAAAACTATATTTTATATCCGTTTCAGTACGTTGGTAATTCTACTTAAGTTATAAAATCATCGGGTTTTTTTATCTTTCTAAATATTTTGTCTAAAAAATAATTCCCGGAAATCTAATAAGCTTTCTGTAAGTTATTTAAAAATTTGAATATTTTGAGCCGCACTCTTAAAGCCTGATTGACAAGTGTCATTTAAGTGGACACTGACAAAACAGAATTAGAGCAGTGATTTAGATAGGAGAGTAAAAAATAAAAATACCTATGTCCTTAAAATTCTATAAATATGTTATTCATATATGTATATTAACCCACCATTAAAGATTGTAGGCATCAAAACACTTGCACCCAAATAGCTATAGGCTCTTTGATATCTGTCGCACACTTATCAACAAGTTTTTATGGCGAGCCAAAGAACGGGCTTTTTCTATTTAATTATTAACAAAGTATTTTTAAGTAACTACAAATTGGGAACAAGTGAAACCACAACGAAGAGCTTTAGGTCTTTGACTGCTCTAGTTGCGCTTTTTCGGTGATGCAATTGAACCGGCACCGACTTTGTACAGTGATTACTGGCAACAGGTGGATCGGATCGGTTCGAATTGGATTGGATTATGCTCGGAGTGCATTGGTCTGTAACTTCGAAGGTTACAGAGTTGTGTGTCCGTTTGTAACTCTCTTTATTATTATTATTATTTTAACTGCTGGCCGTTCCAAATTAAAACCGGTGCTGGTTGTTGTGGGGTGAAAGGCGTGGTCGGTGTAAAGGAGGTAGAAGAGATTGCTTGGAATTGGAAGTGAAGTGCGACGGCGGCAAGGTCGCGCCGTTTGCGTTAGTAAAAAACACACGTTTACACGAGCACATACCTGTCGGAGTAATGTGTACACCTGTGGCCACAACAGCAGGTGCAAGTTATACTTGGAAATTCAATCCTTGGTTAACAGAATTTGTAAGTGAATTCAAAGGCAGGTCTTGTTACTGGAAATTTAAATATGACAAAGTATCCCAAATAGTTGTACATTTATTTATTTACAATTGAGTGCTATTAGCTTGTCCCTTGACTGTGCGCACACACTTGTACCCGACGGGACTGGAGGCTCAAAGCTTCCAGCGCCATAAGCGGTTCGTTGCTCACTCGGGACAGACGTGGTCTCTCGCTCGCTCCCACCACGTTTGGTTCTTGGTCTCTGCAGCAGCTGTGCCTTGTAGCAGACCTGTTGCACGCTCTCTCTAACCGTCGCATCCGTTCCATTGCGCTTCCAGTTATTTATTTTGTTTTGTTTTTGTTATTGTCCCAACTGGCGAGAGTGGTGAGTGAAACAAGAAGAAGCAGAAGCAGAGTTTGCAAATAAACAAAGATGCGATTAGCAGTAGCCTCTCTCATCTCGAAAACGTTTAATAAATATGGAATTTCCAATCTGATGAATCAGAGAGCGGACAGGGCAGCACGTCGGCCACTCGAGGCTTAAATTTAAACAAAATAATTAGAGCACGTACAAATAACTAACTGATAAGGCGCGCTCAAGTGCATTGATTGATTGCTCGGAAGTAGAAAGTAGCAAAGCTCCTAATTTAAAACTCTGAACTCAACTTTTAGGTGGCAACCCTGCTGGCGATTAACTCTAAACTTGGCCCACGCAAATACTGGTGGCATCAGGAACGTTCTGCGGAGACTGCAGCACAGACCAAGGTAAGACGTAGTAACAAAAATAGTACACACAAAAATACATAAAATTCTGGAAACTATTTTTAAAACAGCCAACACTTGAAAATACTCAACGCACAGTGGTCTGAAAGCCATTTGCACAACAGAAACATACACACAATGGGATCCATCAACTGCAAGGAATACAAAACCACGGGCAGCACACCCAAAAAGAGAAAACCCCAGGTAACTAGAAGTCCCTGGACCGTTATTTTTGAAAATTAAGGTATTTTCTTAAAGGTTTGAGAGTTAAAAGTTGAAATAGCCTTCTGGCTGTTGTGTTGTCAAAATTGGAGTAAAATTTGATTATAAAACATGCAAGTTACTAAACATTCAATTTTCCTGAGTCTGTGCAACATGTATGTGTTGAAAGCACCATGGGATGTTGCTCAACACATATGTATCTAGCAACTTCATTGCTTAGCAACATGTGTTAAGCTATAAAGCTTAGTAAGAGTAACCTGAAACGGATTCTGATTTGATTTTCATTATGATTATTTTCCATACAAATTGCTCAGCTTTTTCCATCTACCGATTGTATATATACTTTCTATCCCGACTTTAATCGTCCCCCGTGGCAGTAATTAGGAAAAGTGTGCGGTCATGTCACAGATGGATCCAATGATAGCCGCCATCGCCGTGCTCCTTTTACCGATCGAACAAGGCCAATTGTATAGGGAACTTAATATGGATTGGAGATTGGGAGAATGGGAATGACCCGCTTTATAGCAATGCTGGTGGATTTCGGAATGGAGGGAAGGTTAGATAATTGTCTCAGGCCCCCCTCAAAAATAAAATAAAATATAATAAATAGAGAATAGCGCAGGGGACAGCGGGAGAGAGCAACTTGTTTGCTTCTTTGCTGAATCATTGCCACAGTGAATATTGCTTGATATAATAATTAATATCAACAGCTGCGAAAACCAACTTTTATACTTTGCTTAGACTAAAAGTTGCAGTTCTTAAAATCACTTGATATCTAGGCAACATTTGATTAGGATCTTTATATATTTCTTTTTATATTATAAAATTTATTCAATTAAAAAACACACTGTATAAGAAAAAAGTAAGCTTCGTGAGGCTTCCTTAAATATGGCTTCTAGAGAGGAAGTCTCCCGTTGCTGCTTATCGATATCCACTGTGGTTGTAACTACTGCTATCGGCATTCCCCCTTTGGTCTCTCTTTATTCTCTTCTTGTTTCTCTCATTCTCGCTCTTGCTTTTTGCCTTTGACTTTTCGCATATTTGCCCTCCACTCGTTTCGCTTAAATTGGTGCCTTCATCGGTGGTTACCGTCATAGCCAGCGATTCATTCGGCCGACAACTGCCGGTGTTTAAGCGTTGAAAAAGCTCTTAAAAATCCAGTGAACATATTTGTGAACTCTCTTAAACAATATATAAAAGTTCTCTCCTCCACGACTGTGAAATCTGAAATCGGAAATCCTTTACGTACATACATATCAACCTTTTCGTGTGGTTAATTATTGAGGTGAGACCTATTCCGACAATTGTTTCTCTCGCATTATCAACATTATTATTATTGTAGTATTACTACTATTATTATTTAGGTTTTGGCCCTGGTCTCAGTTTGAGTCACAGTTCCAACCGGTTTTTTGTTTTTTATTTAGACGCGTGTGTGTAAGAGAGACCCAAATCTTAGATTAACATGGCGAGTCATTCCTAATTAGACAAGAAGACAGACAGACACAGAGTCGAAAGAGACGGTAAAGAGGTTGGAAAAGTCTGTAGGTACAGTGAAGTCTAGTATTGTAAGACCATCATATAAGATTAATATACAGAAGGATATTAAAGTATCCAAAAGAACTTGTTTAAGAGGTCCTTTTAAAGTCGATACTGTTAGTTTTTTTAATCCGTAGAAATCAGGAGTATATAGAATACAGATATAAAATGTAGTATTTAAATATTATAGAATTATTTAATATTTGCATCAAATGTGAAAAGTAAAAGGATATAAACTTTTCGCCAAACCCAGGATTCATATTTTAATAATTTAATAATAATAATTTAATTTTTAACCTGCTAGGATTGTATAAATTAATCTTACATTCAACAATTTTAAAATGTTTAAAGAGATTGGTATGTACGGAAAGTTATGTATTATTTAAATGCTAAATATTTATAGAAATGCTAAAACACTTCCATAGCCCAATAGATAACCTTAATACCGTGGGCCTAGGCAAGATATTTTCGAATATTTACTGTATGGGAATTTCAGATGACTTGTCTTATTCTCCATGGCGTTGATGATGACGATGACGATGTTTGCTGGATTTCTAGTCATGTATATATATGTTTATTTCCCCCTTCCGATTAGTTTGCTGATACTTCTAATACTTCCACAATTTGCCGTCTCATTGAGAGACCATTCAATATTTGTGAAACCTTATCGACGGCGATATATCAGAGATATCATAGGCATACATGGTAAACCATGCAAGTCACTCGAGATAGGGGCGTGGTGGACATTATAGCCATATCAGAATCAGAACCGACTAGAACTAGAACGAGAACTATAGAAGTGAAACACAGGTTTACAGGTGTTACTCTGACAGGCTGGTTTTCTCGATGACGTAGCAAGGCCAAGCAAAGGGGTTTTCTTTTTAAAGTTTGACATTGAAAGAGGTTAAATGGATTAATGGACGGGTCAATCGATCGGATCCCTTGGGACCTTGGTAGCTAAGATCCGCTTTGTTGTGGCCACTGGTAACCAGACAACGTTGGCAATTAGGCAGCTGCTTCCCTTCCCTTGAACAAAACTTAATAACAATGCAAATACAGGCTTCGGTCTATTATTTGTAAATATTTTAATTCTATTCGGAGGAATTTAAAGAAATTATTTCCGATTTGAGGTCGAATTCAAAGATACTTAGTTATCCAAAGGAGTTTTAATATGGGGCATACTCCTTGAATGGGATTTATTAATTAGAGTAAGCATTTTATGTATTTATTACCAAACATGATAGATACTCAATCGGGTTTTATACTACATTATCAGTTACATATCTCCGTTAAATTTATGATGCAAAGATATTATATTTATGGCCGTAACTTATCTCTGATCCATAAACATGGTTTAATATTAATTCCTCTTCAGGTTAGATTAAAATCCAAATCAAACTTAAATTTCCACTTCTATCAGGTTTTCTTTGAGCCCTTTTGACTGCCAGGAGCTCCAGGCGTGTGATGGCATCGTCCAGGAATCTGCGCTGCTCCTGCAACTGTGGTAGTAGCTCCTCGGCGCTCAGGGGATGTGATGATTTTCTCGAAACCGATGCCGTACCCGCTGATTTTTCCGTCTCTGTCCAGCGGCTGCGGAGATTGGCCACACCAACCGAGGGTCTCAGCATATCCAGCACTCGCTTTATGATGGAGGGACTAGATCCCTGGTGGTTCTGCTGATCGTGGAGGTGATGATCCTGCTGATGGCTGCTGTGATCACTGGCCACACTGCCCTGGGGAAATTCCGGCATGGTTAGCAGGGGTCCCCATAGAAAAGAGCCCAGGCCAGGAGCAGCAGCTGGAGGAGTGATCTCCGAGGAGGTGTGCTGTTCCAATTGCTTGCCCTGGGTGGCAAAGCGACCATCCAGCAGCTCCAGTTGACGCTTCAAATCGTCCAACTTATGCTGCAGATGCTCAAAATCAGCGCTCAGATTGATGGCCAGCCTTTGGGTGGTGGCCTCTCCCTTGGCAACACCCTCCAGGCTTTCGATTTGCCCCGCCAGCTGGTGATCCCTTAGCTGCAGATCATCCAGCAGGAGCTGGGTCTCCGGTCTGGCTGGCTGTTCCAGATAAAGACGCGAGATCTCCGCCTGCAGCAGCTGCTTGTGTGTGCGCAACGAGCTGAGCTCCAGCTCCTGCAGGCTGCTGAGATGGCGGGTTTGGGACTGAGCCTGGACAGATCCCGATCCCAGCAGCAGCAGTGAAAGCAATCCCAGAAAGACTTCCGAACACGAGCGAGGCATTTTCTTGACTGTCTGTCTGTTTTTCTACCTGAGCAGCAAGCGTCGCCAGACTTTCCCTTGAGCCCTTGAGTGAAAAACTGGAAAATTTTATGTGCCCCACACACCTACTCGTTCTTATCTCTAGCTAAGATATATATATATACCTGAATCCGAACAGCAACCACATCTCTTTATCACCGTTTCTCTTTACTTCTTCCCCTCTCTTTGCATGATGTCTTCGCCAGGCGGTGCCGTCGGTTCCTACCAGTCCAAGTGTAGCACTCAGAGTCCTAGCACAACGATGTCATCGCAGCCATCCACCGCGGATGCCGTGGAGTACACGGATCCCGTCGCCGTAGAGTGCAATGTGGCCGATCTTAAGGAGAACGAGATGCGGCAGGTGGACTTTGATGAGGATACCCGCGTCCTTCTGGTGAAGCAGAACGGTAGCCTCAAGGCGGTCGGTGCCAAGTGCAGTCACTATGGAGCTCCACTGAGCACGGGCGCCCTGGGAATGGGTCGTGTCCGGTGCCCATGGCACGGCGCCTGCTTCAATCTGGACACTGGCGATATTGAGGACTTCCCGGGACTGGACTCCATACCCTGCTATCGTGTCGAGGTCGGCAATGAGGGTCAAGTGCTGCTGCGAGCCAAGCGATCGGATTTGACGCAGAACAAGCGTCTGAAGAACATGGTTAACCGCAAGCCCGAGGATAAGCGCGTCTTTATTGTGGTCGGCGGTGGTCCATCCGGCGCTGTGGCTGCGGAAACCATCCGGCAGGAGGGCTTCACCGGCCGCCTGATCCTTGTGTGCCGCGAGGAGTATTTGCCCTACGATCGTGTCAAGATTTCCAAGGCCATGAATCTGGAAATCGAGCAGCTGCGCTTCCGCGACGAGGACTTTTACAAGGAGCACGACATCGAGCTGTGGCAGGGCGTGGCTGCCGACCAGCTGGACACGGCCCAAAAGGAGTTGCACTGCAGCAATGGCTATGTGGTGAAATATGATAAGATCTATCTGGCCACCGGCTGCTCTGCCTTCCGTCCGCCCATTCCTGGCGTCAACTTAACGAATGTACGCACCGTCCGAGAGCTGGCCGACACCAAGGCTATCCGGGATCTTATCACACCCGAGTTGCGTGTGGTTTGCCTGGGCTCGAGCTTCATTGCCCTCGAAGCAGCCGCCACCCTGGTCTCTAAAGTTGCCAGTGTCACCGTCGTGGGCCGCGAGAATGTGCCGCTGAAGGCCGTCTTTGGAGCGGAGATTGGTCAGCGGGTACTGCAGCTGTTCGAGGACAACAAGGTGGAGATGCGCATGGAGAGCGGTATCACCGAGATCGTTGGCGATGAGGAGGGCAAGGTGACTGAGGTAGTGCTGGTTGACGAGACTCGGTTGCCCTGCGACCTGCTCATTCTGGGCACTGGATCCAAGCTCAACACCCAGTTCCTGGCCAAATCGGGCGTGAAGGTCAATCGCAATGGCTCCGTGGACGTCACCGACTTCCTCGAGTCCAATGTTCCCGATGTTTATGTGGGCGGCGACATTGCCAATGCCCATATCCATGGCCTGGCCCACGATCGTGTGAATATCGGTCATTACCAGCTGGCCCAATACCATGGACGAGTGGCGGCCATCAATATGTGCGGCGGCGTAAAGAAGCTGAAGGCAGTGCCCTTTTTCTTTACCCTGATCTTCGGCAAGGGCATCCGGTATTGCGGCCACGGCTCCTACAAGGAGGTCATCATCGACGGCAGCCTGGAGGACTTCAAGTTCGTGGCCTACTTTGTGAACGAAGCGGACACGGTAACGGCGGTGGCCTCTTGCGGCCGTGATCCAATCGTGGCGCAGTTTGCAGAGCTCACCTCGCAGGGCAAGTGCCTGGGACGGGGCCAAATTGCCGATCCGGCCACTCGCCAGGACTGGACGAAGAAGATCACAGAGCCAGTGGCCCAATATTGTTAAGGAGATCGTGGTTTTGATGATGTGATGAGATTGGTTATTATATTTTCATGCAATCGTTGAGTATTCAGTATATACATAATATGTATATTTATATTGTAATTGTGATTTTAAAAATTGTAATTGTAATTCGGAGTATCTCCATTGAGGTCCCGTCGCCCTTGCCACTTTTGGCCCCTCTGAAACGTGAGCTTATCATTCCCCAGCAGTCGCACCATGGGTGTTTTTTTTTTGTTCATTTTATTAAGTTTTCATTGAAATTGATTTATTTTTGCTAAATAAAGTTTTACAGTGTCGTAATTACCAAATTCATGGTGTTTTCTCTTTGCTTAAAACGGTGTATTTAAAGATCTTAAACAGAAGGAGCAGTGGGACCAGCACCGTCCCAATAAATATTACCACAGAGATGGTATGATTTATTTGAGTAAGCTTCAAATTGTTTCGGTATTTACAAATTGAACATCGCCACACAGTGTTGGAAAATAAAAATATATCGATATTAATACCATTTTCCATTTCTGACACCACACCACCAGGTCTCATTACTTGTTAAAAGTTTGCTGCCAAGCGATAATTATCGAATGGCCATATCGATAGCGTTGCTAAATTTTTCCAACTCTAGTTCAGAACAGAATTCTGTTAATGAATTTACTTCATTCTATTCAATTCTAAAGTATCTGTAAGCGTGCAAAATTTTAAATAACAGCTTTGGAATTCAGAAACAAACAATCTATTAAAAAATATCAAGAATATGTTTTGACATTGGTATTTTGACATATTTTCAACAAGAGAGGATTCTGTTAATTTACATCCACCCGACAGCCAAAGAGAGAATTGAGAGCCCACATGTTATTGATTTACATGATGGGAATTCTACTTCCTATATGAGAATTCGACCCCATGTATCTGTAAACGTGTAGAAGGCCTCTGTAGGCGTGTAGGATGTAAAATGTTGATCAATAGCCACGGAAATTGGAGTGACCTCAGGAAAAATACTAAAGAGTGACCAAAAAATGTATCGAAAAATGCCAACAAAAAATATCTTCATATTTTTTCGATTCAACAACCCTAATATATATACCCGATCCGCCGATTTTAGTTTTTTTAACAACCGCCGCCCCAAGTTTAGTGATATCGACTTCGCATTTCTCGCCCCAATCGAAACTCCAAGCAACGCGGTCTTTTCCTGTCAGGCGGCACATCGAAACCTAAAAACTAAATTAAGCTGAATTAAAGCGAGGAAAACACAAAACTAGCAACAACAATACGGCGGCTTGTTTTTTTTCCTGTGCTTGTTAGTGTTCTCTTTTCGCGGCGGGGTGTTTTGTTGTTGCCGAAACACACATACAAACAATCGCAGTCATCCAAGGAAATCAGAAAAACAAATTGATTAATGTGACAACAAACGCCAAGCTAATCTCGAGTCTAATTAAAAAAGGAAGGCACAGCCAGCAGCATCAGCACCAGCAGGAAAAGGAGGACAGGCCAGGATGGAGCTAATCAATAAGTTCAGCGATGCATTCTGGAGTACCCACATTTGGCTGCCGCCGAACACCACCTGGGCGGACATAGCGCCGGGCTCGCGGCCGGATGTGGTGCACGCCAACTACAAGGACCTGATCTGGCCCATACCCTTCGCCGCTGTGGTCATGCTGGTCCGCTACACGCTGGAGCGGTAAGTGTTTTCTCGCTTTTCCGCTCTTTTGACCCCCCATTCAAATTGGGCACGCGGTGCTGCACCAAGTACAGTAATACCGCGTTACGGTAAAGAATCGAGTTTATTCATACATTTTTCTTTTTCGCCGCCGCCGACAAACATAACCTCCTCACGTGGAAACGCCCAACATTTCACGAGTGTGTGTGTGAGGGCTTGTGTGTGTGCTTGATTGTTGTTGCCGTTGCAACTCTATGTTTTCCCTTCCAATAGAGACAGGAAAAACAACGACAACATACCGGCAGCCGGCTGCATTTTCCATTTTCGCCGCCAAGCTGAGAGGGGGAGGGATAGCGACAAATAGAAAATTCCCACAAGAAAACCCCTGAGATATTGAACCAGGCCCACCCCTGTGTCCTCCAACAACTACTCCCATTCTTTTCATACTAATTGTTTAGTTAAAAGTATATATTTGTTTATAGTTTCAACACCAGTTTCATGCCGCGTGTTTGCGTATGTATGTATATGGATAAGTATATGTATCTATGTATGTACGAGACCGTAAATGGGAACGAACTACAGTGGTGCAAAAGAAGTGAATGGAGTTGCAAAAATGTTCATTCCAGTTTTCAATGGGTTATTCTGTTGGAAGCATCGAATTATTTGCGATGTAAACTCCAATTTAAAGTCGATATTTTCGTATAACCCTTAAAAACCAACATCCAAATCAAATATTTACGGATCTCTGTCAGTGCCAGGCGATAAGCACTGTTCAATTTACAAAATCAAACTCCCTAATAAAGAATATGGTTTACTTAAGCGTGTTCAGATTTCAGATGTAATATAGGAACATATAAAGATTATGTATAATAAGAAAGGCGAGGGCTTGCAACAAATTTAGTGTTTGAAATAGTTTCTCTCCGATAAGATAAATACGTGTTTTCGAAGGTAAAAGATTAGCAGCTTATAGGTTTGTTTAAAACGCAGTAATTCGTGGGCTGGGGTTCAGTGCTATAAACTTTTGAGTATAGTATATGTATATTCCATTTTCCTGACATTCGAATCACTGTGTGGGCCAAAAGAGCAACATTTTGGCCGCTTTTCAGGCCAATTAACCAGCAACTGTATGTTTGGGTTGATTGCGTGCAGTTGCATTTGCATGTAATTTATATATATATTTTGTCTACCCCTTATTATGTGCCCTTAATTTGGTACAAAAAATAATAGTTATAATAAAAAAATACATGTGAACTGGACTGTGCAGTAAATGTTAGTCTTGTGATGTCACAAGTCGCATACTTGAACGGATACAGAGCAACTTCACTAAGTATTATTTATATATATTATTTAAATAATAGGATAATCCATATAAAAGCTATTTTTTGAATCGATATTTATCAATTTTTTATATGGCCATTATTTTAAAAAACCAAAGCTATAAAATCGCGTAACTAGGTCAAAAATGCATTCATTTTATATCGTTTTTAACAGGTTAACAAATCTGCATACTTATTTTAAAATATAAAATGTTTTGTCATTTTTTTTAACATTTTTTGAAATTTTCATAAAATTTTGAAAATAATTTAAAAAAAATTGTTTCAGCCGGAGAGGGCTAGAAAGATTCGCCGATTGATGCTGATCAAGAATATAGGATCGGAAATGACTCCCTTCACTGCCTAGCAAGCTTCTGATTAAATTGGAATACCTAGCAAGGGTATAAAAACAAGCACTTGGAGTATATTTAAAATAGTTAATAAATATATTTAAATAGTTAATATTGGGAGCTCCACTGTAGATCCACTCCGCTTGTGCTTCATTTTCTGTTGGTCGTTGATATTTGTTGTTTGCATTTGAAAATGAGACAAAACCAAATCTGTTTCATGGCAGACCACTTTAGTTGTTTCTTCTCGTATTTTTGTTGTTTCTTCAGCGGCTTCTTAAACGAGAATTGGTCGTCAAGGTCGATTTGGCATTTTTGGACTGCCTCTGCCTTTGCCTGCCTCTATTAACATTCATTTAATGGCAAAAGTCGTAGCCGAATCGTCGCGCTTCGGTTGGGTTCGATTGGTTTGGGTTTGATCCGAAGTCTCTTCGCCCCTCTCCACACCTGTGGCCACCGCCTTGGGGCACCACTAGCACCATCTACCACCAACCTAACCAATACCACTGCTGGCACCGATAAGATTTGCGCAAAGATTTACGTATAAAACCTGATAACAGGGCTCGGTGGTGCTGCTGCCTCTATTGTTTTACGCCGAACTCGCGAATGAGTGTTGTGTCCATTTGGGGACTTGCAGAGGGTGTGAGTATTTGTGGGTACAATAAGCAGTGACGGCGTGCTTTAAATTTAAAAAGGGGGATCCGAGCTGTCAATGAATTAATCAAATTATTTCTATATATAAAACTGTTGAGGAAAAATGCCTATTTGTGTATAAATTTGCATAAAACTGGGCTAAAACAAGTCATTTGCATTTGGATTTATTAGGCGTACGCCACTGGTATATAGAATATACATATGTATATATTTCAGTTCGAATAGAATAGTATCTTTTAGAGAGTATGTTCGTCATTCAACAAACGCTTTTCCTTGCTCCGGCCAGGCCAAAAGCACTTGTCTGTGGGTGAGTCACTGGCTTTTAGAAGTTTTCCAAATATGTGCGCACTTTATGGCTCGATTGGCGCTTCCCTTATGGCCACAATGCGGATACACACAACACATACACACAGTTTGGAATGTCTGCAAAATGGGGTTTATGTTTATGCTGTGGAGGCAGGCAACCAGAAGAATTGCTAAAGAGCTAAAGTACTGAACGATCTACCAGAGTAAAGAGTCACAATTGGGGCTAAACTTTTAGAGGGAGTCTATGCAATGTCACATATTTTGATGTTATCTATCTATAGAGTATATCTTAATGCCAAAAGTTCTTATATTAGGTGCATTGTGTTCATCAACTTGACGTAAGGTTTAACCCATTGAACTGGAATATTTTTATCATTTCTACTCAAAATTTGAGATAAGATAATGTGTATCTATTACGATTAATGTGTTTTTTCAAAGCGGAAATGGCTCTGGAAAATTTGATTAAGAAATAGAAAAGTACTAACAGATAATAAGATTAATATATTCAATTAAATAAAGTATTTAGGGTTCAAAAGAATGTATGGCATAACATATTAAAGAGTTTTTAACCTAATCTTAAATTGAAGATAGTGTTAACTAGTATTGCAAGTGATTCAAGTGCTTCTGGAAAACTTACTTAAACACTTTACAACTGTTTGTTTCGAATCTAACAGCAATCTTAGATAATAATAAGTGTTTTACCTAGAACGCAGATTGCAGATTAGGTATTAGTTCAAGTGGCTGTTACCGCTGCTAGTTTAGTGGCCACCACTGTGCTCCAGTGGGCAAGTGCCATTCGTTCTCATTTCGCACACACACTCTATATGTGCGGCTATGCTGGGGCTTTGTGATACGTAATCACTAAGAGGCGACCCTCAAGCTCGACGCTATAGTGCGATAAAATTTCAGGTTAATTATTTTAATGGCTCACATGCACAACAATCGCACACACACAGCGACGTCCAGCTATATAACTACATACGTGTACGTGTGCCCCACAGAGTGGGAAACTATAACATTGTATGTACAGACTAATCTCTGTCGGCTCCACCTCCTCCGTGTCGTATTTTCCGCCTCCAGATTGGCAATAGAAGAGAGCGACTAACACTAAAAATCCAAGAACCGAAGAAGTACCTCTCTAAAGAACCCGTTTCCCAGGGTTTCCCCCGCCTCTCTGGTAAACGCGGCCATTCCAAATGCTTATCGTGCCCCACGATTGTTGCCCAATGGAAGTGAAAAGCAGAAAAACAGAAAAGCTTTAAAAGCGGAGTGAAAAAACGCACGTGCTTCGGAGGAGGAGGAGGTGGAGAGAGTAGTAGTAGCACCTGGTCAGGTGGGGTAGAAAAGAGGAAGCCGGAATCGATTCCATTGCAATTCGTTGAATGTCCAATTAGCACCTCATTCTTCTTCATATCATAAACGCAATCGATACTAGTTTCGATGAGTTCGTGCCAAGTAAAGAAGCACCGAGAAAGCTTAAGACAAGAAAGAAAGCCAACTTCAGGAAGCAGAAGCATGTATGCCCTTAGATCAGGGAGAAGAATTTGAAATTTTACTGCCATTCTTCAAAGCAAATTATGCTAAGAAAATGCCTATTTATTTGTCTTGTAACTCTGAACTTTTTAAGTAAATTTGTTCCCAGAAATTAGAAGCATTATATTATCTTAATTATATTGCAATTTGGCATTATGCTTGCCGGGACAATTATTTAAAAACTAGTCGCTGTGGGAAATCTTCAACCAAGTTAAGTGTTTCTTAGAGATTCTAACCAAGGTTTATCAATTGTTTATTATTATACCTTTTCAGGGTACTTAAATTTTAGTCAGAAGCTTGTTACGCTATGAAGGAGTCATTTCCGACCCTATAAATCATATATATTCTTGATCAGCATCAACAGGATAATCGATCCAGCCATCTTCGGCAAGGTAAAATTTTTTTCAAAATTTTATAAGGGGTTAGGTTACATCGTTAAAATTTTCAAAAAGTTCAACATGTTTGACATTTTTAAATAAGTATGCAGATTTGGTAGCCTGTTAAAAACTAACGTAGGAAAACTTTCCGAGTTAAAATTAATGCATTTTTGGCTTGGTTATGAAATTTTTAAATAAAAACATTAATAAATATCGATTTAAATAGTGCGAATATTTCAAGCTTAGCTATGATTGCTTTCCTATTCGATCTAATAATTAATTGCAATCTGCGAGGAAATATCATCATCGTCTTCAAAAAGTTGGTCACTCTTCTTGTTTTATTATAATCCCTTAATAAATATATAACTAAAAGAACCTTGGATATTTTATATATTCTAATAATTTCGTGTAATTTCCCAAACTTTTTCGAATCTGCACTTGAAATTTCTAGCGATAAGTTCCCACATAGTTTTTTGCTTAAACATTTAGTTTTAAGCATTTACAAGCCGCAGATTGCAGGAGTGGCCGTAAATATGAATTGAAATAATGTAGCATAAAGATTATAAGCACTTCTTCGATCGGTCGATCAATTAGTCGCTGACTAATGGCGCTTATGCTAAATTCCATCTGGCCAATCGGACGTGACTCAGACCCAGACATCGGACCAAGTCGGACCACATGCAGTCCATGTATGTCTGATTATATAGCTGAGGATGGTATGGTATAGTACTTATAGTCGGTGCTAATCTCACAATCGCCGGCTGGGCTGGCTTGCGTGTCGTATTATCGTTGACAAGCGCTGAAAATAATTCCCCCATGTATGTACATTATATGTACAAATGTATATATATGTATATAATACAGATATTTAGCTCATACTTTTTAGTTGATAAGACCAAGAAAAAAAACTGTCGAATTGCCATGGCCAGCCGTTGCACTTTGGGCGCGTCATTTGCACATTGCCTAAATGAAATTGAATAAATTAAATAAGAATTTGTCGAGGCAGGGCAGGGCCGCCCTTATCGCAAAATATAAAACCTAACCACGAAATCGTTATACCCAAGCTCAAATTCACAACACAACACCCTCATTATCCGCACGCCAGATATGTACAGTGTCAATTTTGTGATCATGATCTTTTTGCAAAACACACACACAGTTCAAGTTTCTAAATCGCTGGCCTGAACTTGAACCTTCAAATAGGAGCAGTGCCTTGCTTAAATTATACTTAAATTTGCTTAATATCTGATTATTTTGGTTTAAAAATTGCCTTACAAATTATAGCCAATCACTTAGGGATTCAGCAGCTCTATTTCGATATTATTATCAAAATTGGAAAGTAATTTGGGACTTTAATAGGGGAAGATGTCAACCAGAGCGTGTTTCTCAACTTAATTCGAAGTTATCTCTTACAAAAAGTGTACAAATAATTGGTTTTAGTTTAGTTCCGTTTAAAAAACAGTTAAATTAGAAGCTCTAGTTTAATAACTTTACAAAGCATCTAAATTAGTCGCACGTTCCCTTGGAAAACACGTAAATTACTAGTTTTAATTAAGTTATTGTTGTTAGTTTTTATTTCCCATTAGCAATAGCAAAGCTTATTCCCTAAACTGCGGTAGCAGCCATCGCTCCTTCGTCTCCGCCGCTCCCGATGCGGAGCTTTCATCCACACCGTCCAGGACAAGTAACAGCTCGTGATCGTTGTCCGGCTGCAGGTGTTCACGCAGGTAGTCAAGGAACTGGGCATCATCAGTGCCCAGGCAGGCAGGCTGGCGCAGCTTGGAGTCCAGGTTGTAGTAGCTACCATTGATTCGACGCACAGCCAGCCAGTGACGCATCTGGAAGGGCAGCGGCACCAATTGGCCGATGGTCATCTGTACGGGGACATTGAGGATGAAGCCAAATATGGCTGTGAGGTCCAGGCAACTCGGATCCCGCCGTCGGTCGAACCATACGACCTCGCGACTCCTCTGCTGTACCGCGTACATGATAACGTTGACATCGTAGTTGCCCCAGCCAATCCAGGAGCGATGCGGATTCAGCCAGGAACGTGGCGTCAGCGTTGTGCAATACTCGTCCAGTTCCGCCTTGGAGAACATGCCGGGGCGCTGGAACAGATTGTTGAGAGCGTGCAGGCCGCACAAGTGTCGCGTCTGGCGCTCGTGGTAGATGGTCATGTTGTTCCTCTGTGTTGTGTTGGTGTTGTTCCCGCTCCTGTCCGAATCCCCAGAGAGTTGCCTTGTGTCTGGGCTCTGGGAGATTCCATTTCCGAGTATGACAAATGGATATTGAAGTTAGAAATTGATATTAAGTTTGTTACAAATCAGTTGTGTTTATGTTTTGTATTAGAGCTGGAACACACTTCGATTCTTTTTAATGGTGCAAATATTTAATACTATCGATAGTATCGGAATTTGAAAACTTTTTTTAAATGTATTTTAGTTTTTTTGTGTTGTTTTTAAGCCAATTTGGACACGGAAAACAAACCATAGGTAAAAAGTATTTCTGTAGAGTTTGTAGATGTTGTACTTTCAAGATTTTACTGTTTATAAAGTTGTTCATTTATAATTTTCCTTACCCCAATTGAAAATGTGTTCAGCTCTTGTTCTTTATTTTTCTTTATTTATTTATTTTTTTTTTTGCAAGGCTGCAAGTCATTGGGGGTGTGACTATCGCCCATTGAAAAAGCATCATCGATAGCAAAATCGAGCAGTGCCTGTAAGTGCGATGTATCGATAGCAGCAGGGCGATGTTTTCGCAGGCATTTTCGCGGCTTCATACATATTTAAATTCTGGCACAGCTTCCCCTTTGATCTTACTTCAGCTTAATGGCTCGCCTTTATTATACATATACATATATTTTTAAGACCCAACCATGATATGAATATTTAGTTGAGACCTGATATAAATTATGAATAACCTTTTCGTCGCTGATAATAGACCTTGCCCTGTGCGTCACTCTCTGTTAATGACGCACTGCCTATTCTCGATTTAACTCGATTAGTTACCAATTTATTTTTACAACGCCCTGCACGCACTCATTTTGGGCGTAGGAGACCCCAATTAACATTGGTAATTTATAAGAGTTGTCAACAAATTAGGGAAGTAAGGGAGCACAGTACACTGATATACTAAATCAATATCTGACAGCAAATGCGGGTCACTGATGGATTCAATCAAATCCTTTATGCTTTCTAAATTGAATTATGCTGCAACTGCTCTTTAATGTTACTTGAACTTGAACCACACTTTGGTGGAGGTTTTTATTAATTAATTGTAATGATTTACGAGGCAGACAGAGTCTGGTTGTGATTCCTTGGTGTCGCGTTGGCATACAAAATGAGGAATTGGAAGCTTAACTTGATATTAAAATTAACTAAAATTATAAATCCTATTCATTGGAATGCAGAGCTCGCTGCTTTCGTTTTCATTGGCAAATTAACTTCCGAAGCCAAGTTCACTTTTGGGTCTCCCGCTAATTACATATGCATGTGGCTGTTCGAACCCAGAAACCCATCCCGAACTCAAGCTCTCAAGCCTCGAGCTCGATCCTCCCCAAAATACAACCAAGTTGCCATGCTCCACACGTGCCAGACGACGGACGTGGGGATGGTGACAGGTGTGTGTCCCATTGTTTCGCCCAGAATTTTAATGCAAAATAAATGTATATATACATATAATATAATTTAAATAAGAAGATAATAAATAGACAAAAAATCAGAAACGTTTCCGCGATGGGTGTACGCGCTACTACGCACATTATAAACAAATTAAAAGGAGGCCTGTTGTCAAGCCCAAGGGAAGAACTTTTATTGCAACCTCAAGTACAGAATATTCCGAATTTTGTAAAGCTGCCAAGTCTGTATACATTGAAATCAAATCTAGACTTGATTAAGGTGAAGTATAGATAGATAATGGAGTTAATAGCTCATTATAAGCTCCACACTTGCACCTACATTATAACTTGATGTACCTAATTGCGGGCATTTCATCAGTTAGTTGAGTTTATCGTGTACTCAAGTACTTTATCTGGGGGTTATATAACTTTAAAGCCCCTCGTCGCACTTTTAGAGGCATGAATCCCTCATATCTGCTTATTATACTCCCCAAAAATAACCGTCAATATATATTTATATTCATTTATGTTTATGTTTCACAGTTTTTGGATATCACCGATTGGCAAATCTCTGGGCATACGCAGCTCTAGACCTAAGAAAGCGGCAAATGTTCCTATATTGGAGACGGCCTATGCCAAATCGACACGATTGGACAACAAATGGGTGAGTTCTTTGGATGCCTTGCCTTACCCCTATAATGGTTCTAATATCCTTTTGATTACTCTCTTTCTAGCTGGCTCCGCTGTCCAAGCAAACGGACATGACCGAGCGACAGATTGAGCGCTGGTGGCGACTGCGAAGAGCCCAGGATAAACCATCGACGCTGGTTAAATTCTGTGAGAATACATGGCGCTGCATCTATTACTTGTACAGCTTCATCTTTGGCGTGATTGTGCTGTGGGATAAGCCCTGGTTCTGGGATGTGAAGAGCTGCTGGTACGGCTACCCGCATCAGGTAAGTGTAGGAACTGCACTGAAAATGAGAATATAATAATATCCATCGTATTCTTTCAGTCGATCAGCAATGACATCTGGTGGTACTATATGATTTCCATGTCCTTCTACTGGTCCCTCACCGGCACCCAGTTCTTTGATGTGAAGCGCAAGGACTTTTGGCAAATGTTCATCCATCATATGGTCACCCTTTTGCTGATGTCATTGAGTTGGGTGTGCAATCTGCATCGCGTTGGTTCGCTGGTACTGGTTGTCCACGACTGTGCCGACATATTCTTGGAGGCGGCCAAGTTAACCAAGTATGCCAACTATCAGAAGCTCTGCGATGCCATCTTTGCTATCTTTACCGTGGTGTGGATTGTGTCACGCCTAGGCTTCTATCCTCGCATCATCTACAGGTGAGTTTTATTGGCTGCTCCTGGTTTTACATTGGTTTCCCCGAAACTCACACAATCCCTCTCCCATTAGTTCATCCGTGGAAGCACCGCGCATTCTGCCCATGTTCCCAGCCTACTACATCTTCAACTCACTGCTTCTGATGCTGCTTGTCCTGCACGTAATCTGGACATATATGATTCTCAAGATTGTTGTTGACTCTTTGCAGAAGGGTCTGGTAAGTATTGTCCTCCTAGCCGTCTTACTAAAACTGGATTGAACCAGAGCCCTGAGCTAATAATCTGTTACATACGATGCTATATTCTATCTAAAATCTTACTGACAAACTCCCCTATTCTTCATTTGCAGATGTCCGGTGACATACGTTCCAGTGATAGTGAGGATCTCACAGACAGTTCGGAGAATGCGCGTCTGGCCAATGGCTCGACGCGTTCCAAGAGCAAGTCGAACAGCGGCGCGGCCGGAGGAGCTGCTGTAACTCAACGCAAGTCGGCCAATAATACCAATAATCACACGACCGAAACGCGAGGAGTTGCTGCGACAACGTCCAAGTAGACTGTGTAACCACAAGAAGGGTCAAGGGGAGACAGGAGCAGCAACAACAACAGCAGCAGCAGAGAGACAACACACACACATACACATGCGAACACACACCCCCCCCACACCTACACCCACACCCTCCCCCCAAACATTTACACTCACACAGAAGCACACAAAAACCAAACCAGTTCAGAACGTTTTTATGTTAATTATTATTTTTATATATTAATTTTTTTTTTAAGCTAAACAAGATGAGAAACCAAAACGAAAATTTCAATAAATGCGAGAAAATTGATGCGTAAACGATTCGCCTGTCTATCGTTGTACTATATATTTATATATAAATACTATGCCTCTCCATTTTATTTGTTGTTGTTGTTGTTGTTAGTGTGTTTTGCTTAACCAAAAAAACAAACCAGAAGAAATTGAAAACCAAGTTAAAATTACCCATAAACGATTAAAGGTTAAAGATAAAGCTAACTAAAGTTAAGTTAAAGTTATTTTACTAAACGAAGTGGAAGACAAAAGGTGGCACAGTGTGTGGGACTAAACCAAATTTGCTTAGACAAAACAATTGAAATAAATTAAATTTGAAGGGAGAATAGTGATTGAAGAAGAACTATTGTAAATATATATTGTACTTGTACTTGTTTCCCATATATTATTAATAAATTTATGCAGAACAAATTACAAGAACCAAAAATAAAAAACAAGTCTTTCAAAAAAAGCAAAAGGAAAGGGATGGCACTATTTAGCAGAGTAGAGTTTTCAAGTCCAAATTAAGAGGTTTTTTCCCTTAAGGACATGAGTTGTGTCCTGTATTTACTCTCTCTTACTCCCTCTCCCTTTCTATTTGAATATCTGATATAATTCTATATTTAATTTTGTCATTGTATTGTTTTTTATTATATTAAAGTCGTAAAAAAGTGCACTTCAGAGGCATAACAACTAGGCAGGCATCGAGTGAAGAATTCATTTTCGATTCTATATAGTATACATATATATTCATCAGCAGTCGAGCTGATTTAGCCATATCCTTCTGTCTGACTTTGATACCCTTACAGGGTATTCTAATTTACTCAGAAGCTTGCTACGCAGTGAAGGAATCATTTCCGACCATATAATCCATATATATTCTTGATCAGCATCAACAGCTGAATCGATCTGACCATTTTCGGGAGAACAAAATTTGTTACAATTTTTTTCAAAAATTTATAAGGGGTTACATCGTCAAATTTTTTTCAAAATCGAAAAAAATTTTAATTATTTAAAATTTTCAATTTAGTATTCAGATTTGATCACCTTGCAAAAACCAACACAGAACAGTTTTCCAAATTAAAATTAAACCTTTTTTGGCGTAGTTATGATTAATTTCAAATTTAATAAAATAATCAAAATTTCTACTGCAAGGTTATACTAACTATTCTTTCCTTTCTTGTTTTTAAAATAAAAATGCAATTTAATACAGAAAAAACTATATTTATCTTTATAGAAAAAAATATATTATGCATATTGCGTAGGAAATATGTAAATATATTCTTAAATTCATTGATAATGCACAGATAGCAAGAAGTTTATAATTCTATTCGCAAAAACTACACTTTAACGATAACAAAGTTGTTAATCATTAAAAGATACATTATAAAGGGTTTTTATAAAAGTTTTGCATGTTTATTTAATGATTTTTGTTAAGTAATTTCAGTATAAAATGCAGGCTGTCATTAAAAACTCCCTGAGTTTTGAGTTATGTTTAACGACTTGTTCAGTTTTAATAACTATAATTTGCGTGCATTCATTTCGGAGAATTTATGTAGAAAGCTTGTCAGTTTTAAATTTTTTACAAACTAGACTCCGTTTACTTTAGTTTTTACTTTTTTTTCGTAGTTTTAATTATATATAAATAATCTTCAAGGACTGCAAGGAAAAGTATGCTAAATATCAATATTGAGTTGTTACATTTTGCAAAACTAACTTATTTCGAAATAAAATCTGAAGCAATATACAATCTAAAGCATTGAAAGCCAAAAATTTACAATTATTTAGGTTTATAAATCAAAATCCAATTTATTTTGTGACAGCTCCTATTCCACAAACCAGCAGCACCCTTGACCAATGCAATGTGGACCTCTTGATAAAAGTAACATGATAGAAAGTAAAACTTTTAGCAATCTTACTGCTCCTGATAATAAGAACATACGATGCATCATAATTTCCATGCCTTGTCCTATTACAATTACGTTCACAAACGTCGCGCGTCTCGTCTGAATTCGTATATAAACTACATTCTAGAATAAGGACCTAGTACTGGTAGCCATCGGGTTGGTAGGGCCGTGCAAAAGGCGCTGGTGCAAACGGCACGGGCGGCGGACGCCAGTTGGTAGGTGGCGGCCGTGGCGGCGGCGCTGGCATACCGGGCGGTGCCCAGGCGTTCGTTGGCATCATGCGGGGCGGCGGCGGTATTCCCATCGTCGGTGGCAGAGGCGGTTGGCCACCGGACATTGGAGGCAGGGGCGGCGGCGGTATCGTGGCTGGGAACGGAGCAGGCTGTGGTACAGGCGGCGGCGGCGCTATCATACCCATATTGTTGTTCGATACCGGCACCACTGCCGGGGGCGGAGCCATCATCGGTGGCGGCATCATCTGCCCGGGCATGCCAGGCATCATGTTCTGATTGACGGGAGCGTCGGCGAAGAGCTGGTGAGGCCGGTCTGCATGCGCCGAGGGATTTTGAGCGGCCAGCAATCGTTCCGCGGCCGATCCGTGACGCTCACCCTTGTGGTCCTTCTTAAAGGCGTAGGATACGGACACTGGCCGGTTACACAAGTATTGACCGTTCATGGCATCCATGGCGGCGTCGCTCGCCTCGAAACTGGCAAAGTTGATGAAGGCGAAGCTCTTCGACTTGCCCGTTTCCGGGTCTCGCATGATCTTGGGCGTCTGTAGGATGACTCCGAAGGCGGAGAACGTGTCGTACAGCAGCTTCTCGTCCACCTCCACGTCCAGGTTACCTATGAATATGTTGGCGCCAACGTCGAGGTTCTTTTGGTGCGCTGATGCCTTGTTCACTCTTATCGGCTTCCCGTACAGTTTGATCATGTTCATTATTTTGATGGCGTAGTCGGCGTCTTCCTCGCTGAGAAATTCCACGAATCCGTATCCTTGGTGCATCTGTGTAACGCGGTCCTTGGGCATGTGCACATTAACTGGAGGAAAGAGGACATCTGCATTAGCATACGGTACGGTGGCGCACGTCAAATCCTCGCCAATACTCACCCACGGGTCCAGCCTGCACAAAGAGCTCCCAGAGCAGCGTTTCCGACACCTTGTCGTCCAGACCGCCGGCGTAGATGGTGGCATCTGTGAAAGAAACCGAAAGAATTAGGTTTAGAGGAGTAAATAATTGGGCCCAGCACAAAACCCACCTTGGTTGCGTTCAGCAATTGGACCTGCCGCCATTTCAAAACTATTTAAAACAAAAAACCAATAAATTCGGCTTTTTTTGACGTGCACGCTAGAGGTGGCAGAAAAGTTCGATAGTTTGTAAACAGTGCTGTAAAGCACTCTTCTGTGTCACGCCAGTCGATACTTTTGGGTATATTTCAGAAAAAGTATTTTTTTACAGCCATCGGATGTCACGCTGCTATCGATAGTGCAAGCCCAAATTAATCGGCTAATTTTAATCAGTCTTAAACGAAAAATTGGTCCGGGTCGTGTAAAGCTCTATATAATTTAGGTTGTCAGAGGCGCTAACAGAGTATCAGTAGGTCACTATCTGCCAGTTCGCTGCCCGCCTTTCGGGCCATATCGATCTATCGATAGGCCGCCGTGGCAAGAACTCAACTCTAATTTTTATGTAATGTCACTTTGTTGTGTTTGTTACAAGCAAGAAAAAAGTCGTGCTAGAAACCAAAGAACCAAGAACCCAATCCGACCCTACGATCCGTGCGCTGTGATGTGATATCCAACCGCGAGGAACTATGAATTGTCACCAGATACTGAGCGGCGCCTGCAATGCGGGCGACCGGTGCTTCGCCATTGGCTCCGTGGAAGGCATACCATTTACAGTAAGTTAAGCAAATAGAATAGTTCCCATATTCCCATCATCCACCGCCTCCACAACGCTCCACTCCGCCACATCCAAGCTCTTGCCATTCCTATTCCGCTTCCAATTGGAAGCCTCCCAGTGTCCCATCCAGGCGATATCCAACCAGAAAGCGATCGCTGGCAAACATGAGCACGTCTTAATGTTTTTATTTACATATTGGCAGGGTGTGCGTGTGTGTCTGTGTGCACTGCCTCCGTATGGGTTATATGTCTTTTTTGCCACACTTGGTGGTCAATTAAATCAAATGCAAATGATGAGATAGAGAACTTTTTGTGTAAATTCGATAACAACAACAAACGTGACTGCTCTGCTCGGCTGCGCGTGTGTGCGCATGATGTATGAGTGTTTCTTGGTGCATTTGTTTTTGCGAAAAACGTTTGTTTTCACCAGCATTAACATACTTAGCCAGCAATTAATTACATTTTACACTTTAAGGTCAAGTGTTGACAGTAAACAAGCTGCACCACACACACACAGGCACACGCACCGACTGGCAAGCGACATGCGTAAGATAGTTGCGCGCGCGTGTGTTTGTGTGTGTATACCCTTCGATTGGTCAGGTGGCCTTTGATGCCCTAATTTTGCAGCCTGCAGGTTGTCCCCCTTCCCCCGCCCACCCACGCTCGCACTCACCCAGTGGCCCACTGCTCTACACTCTCTCCCGCTCTCCCACTCCCTTTTGCTCGCTCTCTCCGTCACACGTCAACGGCAATTGGAATTATAAACGGCCATAAAAAAACAACAAAAAATATTGAAATGGTCGTGAGCACGCATTTATAATGTGCCTTTCGATTTTTACGATCCAATTCTATTTCGGGGGGTACACTCTACGCCCCTGTCTGTATTTACACGGAATGTTTATTCGAAATACTAGAGGACCGAGGTCTGTTTTCCTGTAAACCGAAAAAGCATAATTAACTGTGCACATTTCGCCATTCTAATGCTTCCCCCCACTCTCTCTTCTTCCACACTTGCCTGACCACCCACCGCCCCCCGCAAACAGCTGGTCCCCAGAGGGCGTATATGTGTACATTCTATTCTGTAATCAGCACCGCTGTTGACACAGGCCCACTCCCCGCGAACCCGTTCTGACCGCGCCATTGTGCTATATCATTTTGCCATCATTTCAATTTGTTATATTTATATTGTGTATCGTATATACATAAATACAGACAATACAAGTGTTTAGAAAGAACAGGCCCCACTGGCGCCATCTAGCGATCGCTGGTAACGGCTGACATCTGCAAAAAATGTTAACGTAAACTTATATTTAAAAAGATAAAAAAAACGGGGTAAAAAACGTCAAAACAATAAATTAAAAATAAAACCCTCACTAGAGAAAAAGTGGAGAGAAGTTAATACCCTCTTTACGTTAGTAAACCAAGCCGCCTGGTGACTAATCTCAGTCGAAGCTGTTGATACCCTTGTTTTTTTTGTGGGTTTCTAGGTATTTGCTTTAATCTGGCTCAAAATCTTGTATATATAACACACAAAGAAACCCCCAATCTCTAAAACAAACTCTCTAATTACTCCCGAATTGGTAATGAGTCAACCATTTCCACTGATATTTAATATATCTTTCAAATACATTGCCAAAAATTAACCTTACGGCCTTTCAATAATTTTAATTGCTTTAAAAATGTAAAAGTTGTAGAAATAAAGCCCGACTTAATGAAATATCATTACAAAGCTCATAAGCCATTCCACTACCTTGGAAATGTAAAAAATGCAAGACTTTGGCACGCATACAGTTGTTTATTTTTTTTACCTGGAAAGCTAACAAGTGTCCACCTTCCCTATTGAGCCAAGTTAGGGTATTCAAATTTCTCTCCACGATAATGAGCATATCAGCGACAGCTCAACAAATAAATCAAACACACTTTAGCTAACCAAGTAACCAAACATGATGTGGCAAGAGCCTTGTCAGCCGCCAACCCGGCAGCCTGATAAGCTGGACAGCGGCTGGGAATGGCTTGGAGGAGGAGGAGGGGGAGGAGGAGAATCGTTATCGATATATAACCGTACCCGTACCATTACCAGCTAACGGTAACCAGTATCGTAATCACATATGTATACTCGAGAACAAACAAACTTTGGCTATATACAAACGTTAAGTTTGGAGAGGAAGAGATTAACTCGCCGGAGAGTTAGGGAATACCGAAACCCGTACTTATCGTTCTTGTTTGTGTACTTTTAATTAGGCCTACGCCGCCGGCTGCAATGTGGTCATCCTAGCAAGCACATTCGAGCGCGTCCAGATCATACCGGGCGCCAATCATGGCTACGTCAAGATATCCGCCTTGGACTGCAGCACCGATACCGGGAAAATAGCGGCTGCTTACGAAAACAAAATATGCATTTTCGAGCCCACACCGGTGATAGAGTCCAGCAAGCACAACACTCACTTCCTGGACTACAGGTGAGTCCTAACTACTATATAATCTCCTGACTATCTAATGTCCATAATCCATTATTCTAGATGGGTGCAAACGGGCTCCTTTACGAGCCACTCGAGCGTGGTGACCCTGTCCTGGAACCTGGAGGGCACCCGCCTGCTGACCGGCGGCACAAACATCCAGCTGTGGAAAAGCAAATCGCCCACACACCAACAGGAGGAGGAGCATACGGGTGAGTGGTCATCTAGCTCGGCATCTCCAGCATTCCCTTTTGTGCTGCCAACTATCGATTAGCGGGGGGAAAGACACACTCAAATGGGGGTGTTGATGCAGTTCCCACTGTCTCATAGGAAGCCTCTTTCACTGCCTAAGCTAGTTGTCAGCACAGAAGCATAAATTATCCCTCTCAACACTTAGATATAATCACAATATCTTGCTGTCCACAGGCGTCAAGTTCGAGATTGGCGAGAGCAAGGAGCCAAAGCAAACGAACAACGCCCAGGCGGATGATGTGTCTACGTGGGAGAACATCTGGAGCTGCCAGACGGCCATACCCATTTATCACATGGCATTTAGTCCGGATGGCACGCTGTTTGCCACCTGCGGCCGGAACGATAGGCTTGTGAAGATCTGGTACGAGAACAAGCAGGTTCTATTCCCCGCTAAGGGCTCCGGCGCTGCCGCCAGTGCTTCTTCGTCATCTGGCCGCCATGCTGGCTCCGATGATATCACCGGCTCGGGCTCTGGCGGGGAACTGAACTTCACCTACGTCTACATCGCCCATCCGCGCGCGGTATCCAACATTGTGTGGCGCAAGACCAGCAAGTATATGCCCAAGGGATCGGTGGCCAATATGCTGGTGACCTCCTGTCTGGACAACATCTGCCGCATCTGGATCGAGACAGTGCTGCCCGACGACGGAATGGTGAATATGACCCAGTTTGATCCCCTGGCCTCGCAAAACCCCAAGTTCCGGACGCATCGGCACAAGCATCGCTTCATGCAGAGGCTGAAGCACATGAAGACCTGTTTCCATATTCGCCGACACATGAAGGCCGGCGCCAATGCCAGCGGCGGAGCTGTTGGCGGGACTGGAGGTGCGGCTAGTGGAAGCGCCGGAGGCCCGGCTGGAGCAATGGGTGCCATGGGCAGCTCACCAGCCAGTTATAGCAATTATCTGGGACCGATACCGTCGCTGCCATCATCGTGCAGCGTCCACGACTTCCATTCGTACGGTTTCCAAGGATCGGGCGTGACGCCCGGGATGCATTTCCACCTGGCGGCATCAATTAACGCGGAAACGGATATTCCGCTGGTGCCGTCGATGCAGACGAGCGATCCGGCCAACCAGAATGTCTTCATCCTGCACTGGCTGAACAACAAGGAGATGCATTTCACGCTGCAGGCAGAGGCCATCCTCCAGGAGCTCACTAAGAAAGTGATTGACGAGGAGAATGGCCACGGCAATGCCTCCAGCGGCGGTGGTGGCGGTGTGGATCTGCCGGACGACGCCCATGGCTCGCACTCGCAAGCGCAGGCGCACAAAAAGTACCTACGCTCCTCCAAATCCGTGTCAGTGGACGATAGCGGCGAGGAATACAGTCGCTACTCGCAGCACACCGCCGGCACGGGCATGGGCGGCGTCGGAGGACCTGGCGGACTCCACCTGAACTCCATGTCCAACACAACGTCGCAGAACTCGTTGAACAACGAGCCGGCACACCCCATCACACAGCTGGTGGACTCCCTGGACAATAAGATCGAGTGCCTGCTACGGGACTGGCACCAGAGCCCTGACCTGCTCTTCGCCATCCACCCGGTGGACGGAAGCTACCTGATCTGGGTAATCGAGTGGCTGGATGACTACTATCCGGGCTCATTCCGGCAGGCGCAGGTTTCATTCTCCACGCGCATACCCTCGGCCTTTCCGCTGGGTGACGCCATGTCCATGTCGACCACGGTCAGCCTGTTTAACACGGGCACGCATCCGCTGGCCTTCCGCGACATCGCAAACAATGTGCGCAGCAAGGATGAGTTCCACAAGGGCAACGCGGATGATTCCTCGCTAAAAAGTGACCAGCACTCGGGCCAAACCTTCGAGCGTCACGACGAGGAGCAGGAGGATGCCGGCGAGGATGGCGACGAGGGAGCCGACAGGGACGGTGATGCTGGCGCTGACCAGGATCAGGATCCCAGTGCAGCGGCCAGTGGTGCAGCCGAGCACAGCAGCACCTCACAGGACTCGGCCGCCGCCGGGGCCAGCGCCCTACCGCTGAACGTGTCGCCATCGGTGTCCATGGTGACGAAGCACTCGAACGGCACCCTCAACCTGTGGCAGCTGACGTTCGCCTTTAAGACAAAGTTCACACAAGTATTAAGCATCGGCCACGTCAGCCGTGCCTCGGGCCATCGGTTCCGGGTGAACGACATCACCTGCCACCCGGTTCTGCCGCTGCTCGTATCCACCTCGCACCACAACCTGCCCGACTCGCCGGAGGCCAAGTCACCGATGTCACCCTTCGAGCAGCCTCTCAGCGGCGGAGGCCTCGGACCATCCGGCGGCTCAGGAACTGGAGCAGGAGGCGGCAACGGTGGGACCTCTGGCGGCTCCAATGGAGACAAGGATGTGTTTACGCCAACGGGCTTCTGCTCGGAGCTGATATTGTGGCGCGTCGACTCCGTGGGACCGCTGTGTCATTCGGGCGGCGTCAGTGAGCTGGCCAGGATAAACTCACCGGAGATCTCAGCCTTCAGCAACGTGGCCTGGATTCCGACCCTGCTGCCGAGCACCACTTTGGGCAGCTACAGCAACTCCCCGTCCGCCTGCTTCGTGGCCAGCGATGGCGAGAATCTGCGAGTGTACCAGGCGGTGATCGATGCCCGCACCCTGCTGGCTGAGATCTCGTGCTCGGAGAACCTCAATACGCTGCACAAGTCGCATTCGCTGTCGTCGATGATCTCTAACGCCTCGTCGACAATGCGGGCCCAGCGTTCGGCATTGCACGACAAGCTCAAGGTGGTCTCCCAGCAGTCGACGGCTCGTCCCGGCTGCATCCTGCAGCTGGATGCCATTTCGGATGCCAAGCATGATTGGCAGAACACCCAGTTCCTGCACGTATTCCAAGCGCAGCTAATAACCGGCGGCCAGAGGACGCCTCTGGCTGATCCACATGATCTAGAGGAGCCGCGACTCAACGCCCTCCTGGAGTCGGACATGGATGCCATTGTGGATCTTCAGAGGAACGCCGACTTCGAGGAGCCCTTCTACATAGTCAACATTGAGAAGACATTGCGCGGCAGCACCATACACATGTGGCGCATTGTCATCAGCTCCAAGCAGCAGAATTCCTTCCTGTCCGAGACGGCCATGTATGTACCGGACAGCAACCTCACCCAGGAGCCGGACGAGGAGAATGGAGGTGGCACTGGAGGCGCCGGAACGGGCACTGGCCCTAATGGCAATCCCAATCCGCGACGGATGTCGCAGGGAGCAGAGACGCTGACGGGTGCCGAGCACTTTGGCTCTCACGTCGAGGCACCGCACATCTCCATCACCACAAAGAAGGTGTGCACCCAGGAGTTGCCGCTGCCCGAGGGCGTGGACGTGATCCATGCCTCGCCCGCCGCCGGACACCTGAGCAGCTCCAGCATTTATCCGGCCTGCTTTGCGCCGTACATCATTGTGACCGCCTGCTCGGACTCGATATCGCGCTTCTGGAAATGTGAGCCCATTGATCAAGAGGATCCCGAGGGGGATGCCTATCACTGGAGCGAGTGGAAAATGTTCAGCCGCATCCAGCACTCTGCTATTGAAATTCCCGGCCAGCCCCTGAACATCAGTGCCGCCTATTCCGGCCGGATAGCCTGCGCGTACAAGTACGGCAAGAGCTTTACGCGTCCGAACAAGGGACCCGATCCGGATTCGCGATACGTCAACCTATGTGTAGCCATCTATGAGTGCGAGAGTTCCGGCGGCAGCGAGTGGGTACTGGAGGATACCATCCATTTAAAGAATGTCCATTTGCCGCGCATCAACATTGGTCACGGCATCGACCTGAGCTACCTGCACGACAGCCGCCTGCTGGCGAAGAAGCAGCGTCTGAACCAGGTCCTGCACACCTTTGCCCACGATCCGGAGACGCGTACGCCACGTAGCGGTGAGACCACCCCAGAACTGGCTGTGAACAGGCCGCCATCGTCGACGGTGGCCTCCGGTCTGCTGACCGTGCCCAGCTTTAGTACCCTCCAGTCGCTGAGGAAGAGCATCGCAGAGAACGGTAACACCTGCCCGCTGACCCAGAAGCATCTAGTGCAGCTGGACTGGGTGAGCAAGGAGGACGGCTCGCATATCCTCACCGTGGCCGTGGGCAGCAAGATCCTTCTGTACACGCCCGTCAGCTCTGACATTGCCCAGGCCAACATCAAGGCAATGAAGGAATCCCGCTCCGTCAACAGGCCCATACTACGGAAGGCCAGCTCGTTGGCCCAGCCCAACTTTGTGGACGAGATCCGGTGGATGAAGCTGCGCCAGATCGACCTGCAGACCGCCGATGGATTGCCGCCGTTGCCCATGCAGATCTCGTGGGTGCGCGACGGCATCCTTGTGGTGGCCATGGACTCGGAGATGCATGTCTACTCGCAGTGGAAGCCGCACTACTCCTCGCACTTTGCAGCTGCCGCGGCGGCCGCTGCTGGCGAGGATGTGCCCGATACCCGCAATCTGCGCGACGAGGATCTGCGCTCCCTGGCAAATGAGTCGACGCAGCTGCGACTGAAGAACGTGGCCTCCATGCCGCTGATCAGCAAGGTGAGCACCGCCAATCTGCAGCTGTTGTCGCACGACAAGAAGCGTCGCCTGGGCAACACCAGCATGGCCAATATGAACGGCGGTGCGGGCGGAGCAGGCGGTGGCGGCGGTGGAGCTGGCGGTTACTATGGCAGCGGCGGTGGTGGCGGTCAGGATGATGGCGGCAACGATGACTACATGACGGACTTTGGCCTTTTCCAAGCCTCACGCATTGCCTGTCCTGTGCTGCCGCAGTACCATCCCAAGCAGTTGATGGAGCTCCTCAACTGCGGCAAGATCCGCTGGGTGAAGGCCATCCTAGCGCACCTCGTGCGCTGCATGAGCGGAACCAGTTCCAGTGCAGCTGGGCAGGACGAAGATGGCTATGCCAGGCAACGCAGCTGGTCGCGATCCCGCACCCTGAGCATCAGCTACACGGCGGAGCAGAACATCCAGGCAGAGCACCGTGGCAGCACGACCCAGATACCCGAGGAGCTGATGCTGGACTACGCGGAGATCAACTCGATTCCGCCGCTGCCGCTGTGGGTGCTGCTAAACGCGGACCGGGAGACACCGGGTCAGGGAACGAACAGCGCCGAGGGTGACAAGGACTACGACGAGCTCTTCGATATGCACAACTCGGAGGACAACCTAGACGAGCTGCTGTCCGAGGGCGAGGAGAAGAAGCGCCAAGAGCGTAGGCTCTCGCTGCCCGAGAAGCACTCCATCTCGCACTTTGGCCCGCGCCAGGGTCAGCTCCTGTCGCGCCTCCTCACCCATACACATCTGCCTGGCCTCTCCTCGCTGGACCAGATGCATTTGCTGGCCCTCGCAGACACGGTGGCCACCTGTAACACCGATTTCTCCGACAAGTTTGCCGCCGACCAGAGCAAGTCCGGTCTGGGTGGTGGCGGAGCAGGCAGCATCGGCGGTGGAGCATCCTCGGGAGCCATCAAGGACGGCAGCACCAGCACCGATTCACTGGATGACTGCGGTCTGCGCTTCCTGCTGGCCATGAAGCACTTCACCTACCTGCTGCGCTGCCTGCCGCTGCAACAGCGGGCCCAGTTCCAGCGCCAGGGCGTAGGAACTTCCAACATCGTGTGGGCTTACCACTCGGAGAGCGAGGAGGAGTTACTCAACCTGATACCGAGCTACACCAAGGGCGATCTGCGCTGGGCCACGCTTCGAGACCTGGGCATGGGCTACTGGCTGAAGAACATCAACACATTGCGTCGCTGTGTGGAGAAGCTGGCCAAGTGCGCCTACCAGCAGAAGCAGGAGCCCCTGGATGCAGCCATCTATTATTTGGCCATGAAGAAGAAGTCCCTAGTATGGGGTCTGTTCCGGTCGCGTCGCGATGAGAAGATGACTGCCTTCTTTGGCAACAACTTCGCGGAGGACCGCTGGCGGAAGGCGGCGCTGAAGAACGCATTCGTTTTGCTGGGCAAGCAGCGGTTCGAGCATGCAGTGGCCTTCTTCCTGCTAGCCAACAGCCTCAACGATGCCATTGAGGTGTGCATGAACAAGCTGGAGGACTTTCAGCTGGCCCTCATCATAGCCCGGCTGTACGAGGGTGATGCCGAGGGTTGCTACTACCATCGTTTGCTGCATGAACATGTTCTCGGAACGGATATGGAGACGGACCGTTGTGACCTAACGCGTGCCCATCCCGATCCCTTCCTGCGATCGATGACCTACTGGACCATCAAGAAGTACCAGGAGAGCCTGAACACGCTACTTCTTAACGGCGTCGGCAGCCTGCACAGCAGCTACAAGGAGGAGGACCTGCTGCGTCCCGAGCCGCAGGCTACCAATCCAAATGTCTTTAACTTCTACATCTATCTGCGCACCCATCCACTGCTCATCCGGCAGAATATCGCCCTGTCGGCGCAGGAGAAGCGCATCGCCCACGTCGTCCTTTCCGGTTTCAATTACGCCGGCGATGCTGCTCCCAGCTCAGCCGCCAGCTGCGACAAGCAGTTGCAGCTGGAGGACTCGATTACTCCCATTGAGCGGCAGCTGTACTTCACCACCGCCCACGGTCACTTCAAGAGCGGCTGCCCCGCCCTGGCCCTGGAGGTGCTCAATAAGCTGCCCATGAAGATTAGCGACGACACCAGCGGCAGTGTGGCCGGCAGCAGTCTGGCCCAGGAGCGTGCCCAGCAGTGCAAGGAGGAGCTAATCAATACCGGTATCATGGACCAGTGGGGAGCCACGCCCGCTTCAGCGACCAGTACAGCGGACGCTTTCGATTGGGGCGCTCCCGTGTCGGCCAGTGAGCCGGAGGCCAAGTTCGAGATCAAGTGGGACGATGACGAAGAAGACCAGGAGGTGGATCCTGACCTGGAGATCGATGATCCAGAGCTGGCCACGCCGCAGCCACCGCAGGCAGGAGCCTCAGGTTTGGGCCGGGGCAAGGCCGGCGGCAATGGCAACGGCGGCGACACCAAAATGGACATTATGGCCCAGCAACTGAAGTTCGTGGCCTGCCTGAAAATCCTCATGGAGGAGCTGTCGACACTGGCCACCGGCTTCGAAGTGGATGGCGGCCAGTTGCGCTACCAGCTTTACATGTGGCTGGAGCGCGAGGTGGAGGCCCTTAAGCAGCTGTGCAACTACTGCAGCCAGTCGGAGCAGTCGGGCCACGATACCGGCGACGCGGATACCGAGGCGCGCGACAAGGAGATGAATGCCAGCATCTGCCCCGGCAGCACGGAACGGCCCACGCTCCACGAGATCCTTATGCAGGATAAACAGGACTTTGAGGCTAAGGTGATGCGAGCAGCCAAGCGTAAGCGCTGGCTCAAGGGTAAGTGGTGGCCATGCCTTGATATCTTCCCATTTATTGCTCACTTTCATTCTTCCCTCTAGCCAACGAGACCCTGTTGCGCACTCTGCTGAGCTACTGCTCGCTGCACGGCGCCAGTGGTGGTGGTCTGGCCTCGGTTCGTATGGAACTGGTGCTGTTGCTCCAGGAGCTGCAGCAGGAGAAGACCCAGCAGCAGCTGCTCAGCCCGCTGCCCTTCCCCACCACGCTTCCCCTGCTGAGTGCCTGTGTGGCAGGTAACAAAACCGTGATTGCCGATCCCATCAAGTACCTTCAGTCGCAGACGGTGGACATGCTACAGAGCATCATCAAGGTACTGCCTTTCCCGGGCATCCAACCCTCGGCACTCAGTGAGATCTTTGTGCTGCGCGACTTGGCGGTGGCGCTTTCCTCCTGCATCTACCAGTCGCTCTGCGACTCCGAGAGCTTTGTGGTCAATAGCTCGGCCTTCAATGCCAGTCCCGGCATCGAGAACATAGCCAAGATCAATTCGTCGTTCGAGTGCAGCTACCTAGTGGGTAGCAGAAATGCCTATGGACGCCGGCGCAAGTATTCCACGGACGAGCCGGCGGGTGTGTGCACCACGCCCTCCAAGTGGCCAGGAGTCACCAATTTGCGGGCTCTGCTGGCCCGCGAGAAGGATGAGGATGTACCAAAGCTAAACGTGCTGCTGCTTGAGTCCTTCGTGTCCACGTACATGGCGCTGTTCATCTACTCCCTGTCCACCTGCGACAGCCGTCTGCTCTACCGCCTCAGTGGCCAGAGTTTTAGCAACGAGACCTGGTCCACGCTCTTTGGCGGCGGTATGAAGAAGCTGCTCATCAAGCCAGCGACGACACAGCCCGCCAGTCAAATGGCAGCGGCAGCAGCTGGCGGAGCAACCAGTGGCGGCACTGGGTCCACCTCCGAGGAACCGGCAGACGAGAATAGCGTGTGGAACACGGTTACCTCGATCACCAAGCAGCGCATGAAGCTGAACATGAAGATTCTGGGCAGCTTTAGTCAGAACAGCACATCCAGCAACATGAAGGAGGACAAGCCGACGTATCGCGAGCAGTTCATGCCACCGGAGACGTCCATGCTTTCCTACTTCCTCACGAAGCCACCCGCAACCGGTAGGTCCAAGTAGCTAGAACCTTACGACTTCCCTATATAATGCCTAATCCATTCCAGAATGCGATTACTACGACACTGACGATTCCAACGAGTCGGAGGATGAGGAAGAGGAGGAGGACGATGACGATGTTAATGTGAGCCGGTCCCAGCTGAAGGCCAAAGAGAATACGGAGCACACCAATCCCACATCCTACTCGTGGAGCATTCTACGCCTGGCCCTCATCAAGATCAGCACGCACAAGATCCAGGAGCTGGTCAAGGTGGCCGGCATCGAGCTGCAGGGTAGTTGTAGCCTTTCCCCATTCTTTCATCCATCATCCACTAAGCATCGCATTTCTATATTGTCTCACCTCCACCTCACAGATCTGCCCGTGATTAGTCCGCTCTCGCACGAGGTGCTGCGGACACTCAACCGATGGCAGGACTTTGCCCTCAGCGACCTCATTGCGCGAGGTCCGCCGTCCCGCAACTTCATACCCGGTTGTCATTCGGAGAGCGGCATCAGCGGCCTTGCCATCCACAAGTATCGATCGTTGCTCAATAAGGACAACACGCCTTTCGTTTCGGGCTCGGCCACGGGTCCCATTCGGCGTTTATGGAACTATCTGGTGCGCCAGGAGCCCGCCCAGGAGGTCTTCATCAAGAGCATCTTTGGCAAGAACATGGAGCCGAGCACGCGCAGCTCCCATCACACCCAGCACGACAACGAGACCGACGAAGGTGAGTACTTTGGCTTTGAAGTATGACATACACAATAACTAACATTCATCCATTAGGTCAATCGCATTCGACCAACGAGAATACCGACCACATCCGGATCATTCACAAGGACCACGAGTCGATATTGTCCTTCTGCTTGAAGAACAATACCTCCTCGATGATTGCCTTTGCCAATCCCCGAGAGATCCAGGAGTTTGACATCTCGCTTCTGCTCGAGTCGCCGAATTGGTATGAGGATGAGTGCGACTACGACATGATGAGCATGTCCAAGGATGCCGACACCAACAGCTCCTCCTTCCTCATCATCCAGACGCAAGATCAGTGAGTCTGACCACAGTCTTATCTGACCTAGAATCATGTCTTCATCATGTTTTTCTATTACATTTCCTCAGGAACAACCAATTCGGAGGCGGCAGCAGCAACGCCTACAGCGAGTCCAATGCCAGCACGCAGAGTGCCTCCCAATCCGGTCGCGGCACATCCATGGTGAGTTAGGTTCCTTACTCAGGACGCCCTATCTGGATTAGCTCATTGTGGAGCCTTGAAATAATGAATGAATCTCTTTCCAGGTGCTGCGTCACAAGGTGGACAATGTTAAGCGTATGAGCGCCCATCCGCTGATGCCACTGTACCTGACCGGCGGCCAAGATGGCTCCGTGCAGATCTGGGAGTGGGGCCACCAGCAGCCCGTCTGCTCGCCCCGTCAGTCCGGAACCTTTGCCAAGGTGACGCGCTGTCGCTTCTCGGAGCAGGGAAACAAGTTCGGCATCGGCGATGGCGACGGCAAGCTTAGCCTCTGGCAGGCGGGCATTGCCTCACAAAACAATCGTTCGTTCATAGTGAGTTGCTAGCAGTTATGCTCTTCCCCAGTGACCCACTCACCTCCCTCGGTTACTTTATTTCTCTCCTTGCCATTCACAGAGCTATCAGTGCCACAACAAGGCCCTGTCCGATTTCGTATTCCTGGGTTCCTGCAGTCTACTGGCCAGCGGTGAGTTGTCTGCATATGAAAAGGCATTCTAGCTATATTCACTTAACTCTGTTAAATCTCCTTTCGCCCACAGCTGGCCAGAGTTCTGAGAACAAGAACATCAACATCTGGGACACGCTCCTGCCCCACAAGAAGTCCTGTGTATCGGGTGAGTTTGACACCTGAGGGTGATATTATGTAAATAGTGCCTTGATACCGATTTCCAACCTTTTGCAGCCTTTACCTGCCACGACCAGGGCTCGTCCTGTCTGGTGTTTGCACCACAGCACCAGGTGCTCATTTCGTGCGGCAAGCGCGGCGATGTATGCGTCTTCGATGTGAGGCAGCGCACACTGCGCCATCGCTATCAGGTGAGCGACTAGAACCAGCAGCAGGACCAGTATATACTCATCCTCCTCCTTCTAATCCTTGCAGGCCCATGATAGCACCATCAAGTGCATTGCCTTGGATCCCCATGAGGAGTTCTTTGTCACTGGCTCCATTGAGGGTGACATTAAGGTAGATTTTCCCGTTTCCCCTAAAAATAGTTTCCATTTCTAATTCGCCGATTACTTACAGATCTGGGACATGAATCAGTTCATGCTGATCAACACGTTCCCCATGAGCATGCCAAGAACGGGTTCTTCAAGCATACCGGCCAGGGTGTCAGCCAGGTGTACGTTGACCCCTTCGGACGGCTCTTCTCCTGCGGCTCCGATGGCTGCATGAAGGTCCGTCTGCTGGTTGAGAAGGACAATATCGTTCACTCCGTGTATTGAAAGCTGTATTCTATCCGTATCTGTTGCTAGCTAGAGCTATTGCTAGAGCCGGGACGTTCCCGTTGCCGTTGCCGCAGCCATGTCCATGTCCGTGTCAGTGCTTTGTCTGTTAGTGTGTGCGAGCGGCTCGGCAAGCGGATTACGAATTGAGTGTCCTAAATATGTGTATTTTCTTTGTTAATCGTTGGTTATTGTAACATTTTACATTATATTTGAATTTTTCCTACACAAACACACACATACAGATATATATATATATGTTTTATATTACTATTTACTACTTAATATTTACCATTTTTGTTTGCATACGTGTTATTGCCCGTTTCCCCTTCCGTTCTGCTATTTAATGCGAAGGAACTGGTTTGTTTCACGTTCGATGAGTATTTCCTAAACAGACTATATATATATATATACCAGACACTACTATACAGATACCATATACATATATATATATATATATATGTATATATATATTGTATACATCTATTATATGCTTTAAATCAATTATTAATTATTATATTATACGATATACAAGACATTCGACAGTATGGTAAAACGATATGCTTACGAATATATATTACGATCTATGTTGTCTTTGTGTTGAGCTTTGTGCTACAAATTTGTCTGTTGTTGAATCAAACAAGATATATGTATACCTAAAACGAACCTAAATGAATTAACTAAAAACTAAATAAAGTGCAAAATGAATAAAATGAAAAACATCAGGATTTTTATTTGGAGAGCATCTGGTATTTACCTAGTATCTAATTTTACTGCCAAATTTGAATTCAAATTTAAATAGGCAATCGGTACCCTCCATATCAGTTAACCAAAACATTTGAATTTAAATTTGAATTTAAATAGTCGATCAGTTGCCGCCACGAAAATAAATCGATAAGTTTCAATGATATACTAGCTATTTTCTGGCTAGATTTAAAAATCATCTACAATATAGCTAAATGGACAACTTTAATTTGCCCACTTGCCTTCTGCCGACAATTGTTGTTGTTTTCTTTTTGTTGTTGCTGTTGCTGCTGTTGTTCTTGTTGTTGTTGTTCTTGTTGTTGTTGTTGTTGTTGTTGTTGTTGTTGTTGTTGTTGTTGTTCTTGTTGTTGTTGTTGTTGTTGTTGTTGTTGTTGTTGTTGTTGTTGTTGTTGTTGTTGTTGTTGTTGTTGTTGTTGTTGTTGTTGTTGTTGTAGTAATGGATGTTTTTGTTGTTGTTGTAGGCAAAACCAAAATTTCTGTCTAGTCATTTTCAGTTTAAAATCGTTAATTTTTGAACCTGGAGTACCAGGCGAACAGAAAGCAGCAGAAGGTCGATTTAATTTAGTGCAGTGACGTCACGAAGTCTGTGACGTCACAGCACCAAACAGCACATCCACCTACTGCTGCTTTCTGTTCGCCTGGTACTTCAGGTACGACTGTTACTTCAGGCCAACTGACCGCCAGCTTGTGACGTCACAGCACATCTGAACTGCCGCCGAAAAGCATGCTACAACTAAGTACCGTCGCAATATTCAGTGCATCATAAAAGTAGGCAATGAAAAAATCCAAGAGTGACTCAGACATCTGATCATAAAATGTTGCATCTTTTAGGCTGAAATAAGTAGCATACTTTTATGGGTTTTTAGGAAACATGCGTAAGATAAAAGAAACACTGGTTAATAACGATTTTAAATAGATTTTTATATATTTACAGTCGAAATTTTTGCATTCTACATTTACACTAATGCTAATGCTCCCTCTTGTTATCCCTGACAGGCAACTATGCGCCCATCATCTTTCCACTTTCATTTCGGCGGTCTGCGAGCACTGCACCGCCTGCGAATGCTGGGCGGACTCCTTCAAACGTAGGCGCATGCGTGCCAGACCAGTTTCAAGATCCTCCTTCTCCTGCATGCGCAGACCGAGCTCCAGCTCCTTCTTCGACAGCCGCGACTGCACATCAAAGTTCTCACGTTCCACCTCATCAGCACGCTTGCGTTCCTGGGCCAGTTGCTCCTCCTTGACCTCGGGATCGGAGTGACCAGTATCTGCGCATGAAAAGGGTTAAAATTAGCTTAGCTTAAGACAAGGACACTCAAGGAGTACTCACAGGGCAGCAGAGGCATGTGCTGCAGCAGAGAGAGCATGTGGGAATAGGCGGGCAAATGGCTGGGCAGGATGGAGCAGTTCTGGGCCCAGACTTGTGGGCTGCGGCACGTTCTTCTCTGGCAGCTCCACCTTGGGAGGCACAAGAGCTGCAGGCAAAGGATAGAAATTAATTTGTGACGCTCCTTGACTTGGTTTAACTCTGAACTCACCCATTGCTGGCGCCACACGGTGGCGGAGGCGGTGCACCCGGACAGGGCGGCGGTGGTGGTGGCATCATGGCTGGCGCCGTCGGTGGCGGTGGTATGGCCGAGGGCGGCGGCGGTGGCGGCGGCGACACAGCTCCATTGCAGCCAGTCAGACCGACCACCTGGTTATCGGGCATGCTGCACTCGGTGATCAGACGCTCCATACGGGCCCGTACCTACTGCTCGCTGAGCAGGCGCTGCTGCAAATCCTCCGCCCTCATTTCGGTGGTCTGCGCGTGCTGCACCGCCTGCGAATGCTGGGCGGACTCCTTCTCCAAACGTACGCGCATGCGTGCCAGACCAGTTTCAAGATCCTCCTTCTCCTGCATGCGCAGACCGAGCTCCAGCTCCTTCTTCGACAGCCACGACTGCACATCAAAGTTCTCACGTTCCAGCACATCAGCACGCTAGCGTTCCTGGGCCAGTTGCTCTTCCTTGACCTCGGGATCGGAGTGACCAGTATCTGCGCATGAAAATGGTTAAAATTAGCTCAGCTTGAGACAAGGACACTCAAGGAGTACTCACAGGGCAGCAGAAGCATGTGCTGCAGCAGAGAGAGCATGTGGGAATACGCGGGCAAATGGCTGACGAGGATGGTGCAGTTCTGGGCCCAGCCTCCATCGATCAATGAGTGCACCTTCTGCTTTGCTGGCTTGCCGTCAGTTGCACGCAGAACCTTATAGAAGCCATCGGTAGCCTGTGAAAAGAGAAGAGAACATTAAATAAGGGAAGATCTTTCATTGGAATCTCTTCTAGACACTCACCGACACTCACTCATTCTTTTGGTAAGCCGAAAACAGCTTGTCTATCGACTCCGACTCCATGATGTTATACAGCTTGCTCTCGTCCAGCTTGCTCCAGACGGTGCCCTGGAGCTTGGCATCCGGCAGCTTGGACCAGTTGAAGCTCTTTAATGGATTCGTGGGCAGTGGAACGTTCTTCTCTGGCAGCTCCACCTTGGGTGGCACAGGAGCTACAGTCAAAGGATAGAAATTAATTTATGTGACGCTCCTTGACTTGGTTTAACTCTGAACTCACCCATTGCTGGCGCCACACGGTGGCGGAGGCGGTGCACCCGGACAGGGCGGCGGTGGTGGTGGCATCATGGCTGGCGCCGTCGGTGGCGGTGGTATGGCCGAGGGCGGCGGTGGCGACACAGCTCCATTGCAGCCAGTCAGACCGACCACCTTCTGGTCATCGGATATGCTGCCCTGGGTAACCAGACACTCGAGACGGATTCGACCCTGCTGCTCACTAAGCAAGCGTGCTACAGATCTGCAAAAACGTTGGGAAATTACAAAATGGCTGTCACTTTTCGATAATATAGTGAAAAATTTGAGGTCACACTACAAAAATGTAGGGGAAAAATGACACTCACTTTTCGATATTAAAGTAGTGAACATAAGCTGGTCACACTACAAAAATGGTTATTCGATAACTTTCGATGACGACACATTTTCGCTATATAACTAGTTAGGCAGTCGATTTTCGGCCATCTCCTGCTTGTACTGGTACTTACGCTTAGGAACGATCACGTCCTTGATTCCAGCCCAATCGCCGTACTTCTCGTGTATGGTGTAGGCCTTAAACAGCAACTGGGTTCGGTCCTTGGGCAGGTGATCCAGTGCGTATTTGTAGATGATGCGCGCCACAGCATGGTGGTGCCCTTGGCGGCACTGGACTTGGTGTCGGCCATCGATGGCCTGTGAAAAGAGAGGAGAGCATTAAATAAGAGATCTTTCATTGGCATCTCTTCTAGACACTCACCGACACTCTCATTCTTTTGGTAAGCCGTAAAGAGCTTGTCTATCGACTCCGGCTCCATGTTATACAGCTTGCTCTCATCCAGCTCGCTCCAGACGGTGCCCTGGAGCTTGGCATCCGGCAGCTTGGACCATTGCTGGCGCCACACGGTGGCGGAGGCGGTGCACCCGGACAGGGCGGCGGTGGTGGTGGCATCATGGCTGGCGCCGTCGGTGGCGGTGGTATGGCCGAGGGCGGCGGCGGTGGCGGCGGCGACACAGCTCCATTGCAGCCAGTCAGACCGACCACCTGGTTATCGGGCATGCTGCACTCGGTGATCAGACGCTCCATACGGGCCCGTACCTACTGCTCGCTGAGCAGGCGCTGCTGCAAATCCTCCGCCCTCATTTCGGTGGTCTGCGCGTGCTGCACCGCCTGCGAATGCTGGGCGGACTCCTTCTCCAAACGTACGCGCATGCGTGCCAGACCAGTTTCAAGATCCTCCTTCTCCTGCATGCGCAGACCGAGCTCCAGCTCCTTCTTCGACAGCCACGACTGCACATCAAAGTTCTCACGTTCCAGCTCATCAGCACGCTTGCGTTCCTGGGCCAGTTGCTCTTCCTTGACCTCGGGATCGGAGTGACCAGTATCTGCGCATGAAAAGGGTTAAAATTAGCTCAGCTTAAGACAAGGACACTCAAGGAGTACTCACAGGGCAGCAGAAGCATGTGCTGCAGCAGAGAGAGCATGTGGGAATAGGCGGGCAAATGGCTGACGAAGATGGTGCAGTTCTGGGCCCGGCGTCCATCAATCAATGAGTGCACCTTCTGCTTTGCTGGCTTGCCACCAGTTGCACGCAGAACCTTATAGGAGCCATCGGTACCCTGTGAAAAAGAGAGCATTAAATAAGAGAAGATCTTTCATTGGAATCTCTTCTAGACACTCACCGATACCGCATTCTTTTGGTAAGCCGAAAAGAATTTGTCTATCGACTCCAACTCCATATTGTTATACAGCTTGATTTCGTCCAGCTCGCTTCAGACGGTGCCCTAGATACAAAGGATAGAAATTAATTTATGTGACGTTCCTTAACTTGACTTAGCTCTGTACTCACCCATTGCTGGCGCATTACTGCAAATCCTCCGCCTTCATTTCGGCCGTCTGCACGCGCTGCACCGCCTGTGAATGCTGAGCGGACTCCTCCAAACGGTCGCGCATGCGTGACTCCTTTACTGATTCAAATTATATTTTCCTCTGCAAGAATCTAAAAATCCAAATTTTATTTCATCATTTTTATACCCTTGCATGGTATTATAATTTCACTCAAAAGTTTGGAACGCAGTAACGCCCTTATTAAGTAAACATATTCTTGATCAGCATCAACAGCTCTCTCCCTTTCTCCCTCTCTCTTACTCTCTCTGCCTCTTTTTATCCGGTAGGTCCAACTCCCAATGTGCATCTTCAGAGCTAACTCCTTCTCTGTATGTTTCTCTGCCTATCTCTTACTCTCTCGCTCTCACTTTCTCTGTTCTCTTGACTCGGGAACTATAAATAGAGCCACTTCGTTCGCCGCGACCTCAGTCTGTCCTAGGGGTACCTAGTGTTTACATCGATAGTGATAGTGATAGTGATTAAAAGAATGGCGTGGCCAATGGAATACATCTGGATAACCAGGAAGTGAACTTCGATATTATGAATACCCTAATTGAAGTCAAGATTCGAAGTCTACACTGAAAGGAAGTAAACAATGACGTGTTCTACACTCAGGTAAGTCTTAATCATGACAATTATATTATTGTATGGAAGGAAGTAAACTATGTCGTGTCCTCCACTGGGGTAAGCCTTAATCATGACAATTATATCATATACATATATAGATGCAATAGGAGGGGGATCAGGCCTTGGTCTAGATTCAGCTCCTCTAGCTATGCATTTATTTTTCAATTAATTCCCTAAATGCCATGGATCCCATTACTTAGTTTTAATTTAAAGTGATTCAGTAATTTGTATTGAAGATATCTACAAACGTATACTCAAAGTTAAAAGCCTAAATGAATTATAAGATCTTACTCTTTCGATAGTTTTAAAACTGACCCTGACCCTAGCTAGACCGACTCGGCTGATGATGCTGATCTAGAATATATATATAATATTTATAGGGTCGAAAATGACTCCTTCACAGTATTACAAGCTTTCGACAAAAATTAGAATAGTATAAAAACTCACCTGGCCAGGGATGAGCGCAACTTCTCCTGGGCGTCACGAGCTGTCTTGGCCTTATCCTCATCGTACCGGTTACAGTTGTATCAGGAGGAGCCGTGCGGCTCCCAGGAGCCGAGACAGAACCAACAGATCTCGTTCTTGCAATTCTGGTTCTTGCACACCACATGGTTGCAAACGCCGTCTTTCTCAATGGTTACACTGCACTTGGACACTCTTTGGTTCTGAGTTGTCGTCGCACTTCTTAATCCACTTCTTTAGCCAGCGACATTTGACCGGATCGGGATCGGATATAAGATCGCTGCTTGGCCGCTGCTCCACCTGCAGCACAACCTGCTGGACATACGCGATCGATCACTCACCCATTTCTATCCAACTCCTGGGTGGACTGGACATTGCGCAGTTTTCCGTGTCCATAGCAGTCCACCTCAGAGTCCTCATCGTCATCGTCGTCCGCATCGGCCTCGTCGTCTGTGCTCAGCTGGCTGGAAACGAAAAAACGTAAGATAAGAGGATTCTTAAAAGCTTTGACGTGTTCTCACAGCTTGTCCAGCAAAGCCTTCAGTGTGTTGTGCCTGTTAATCTTGCACAGGCGCTTCAGCGCCTTGAGGTCCTGCAGCTTCTGCTGGATCTTCTGCTCGACGGGCACATACCCTTGGAGCAACGGCCTGCCCTCTGAGTCCGGCTCGATGGCTGCCGGTGAACGGCGATTTAGTGAGGCCAGTCGGAATCCGGAGGAATCATGTAGTTGCCTGTGGTATTTATAACCAACTTTGATACTTCGTAAAGGGAGCAATCGGCGCGGGCCAGTGACTTAATATCCTCGCTATGCTCATCCTCCGCCGATGGCGTGAACTTTAGCAGCTGCTCGACCATGTCGAGTGTCAGCTGCTCATTGCTGTCCATCAAAAGAATGGCCCTAGAAGAGAAGAGATTAGTATTTGGAATCAAGAGGTGACTAAAGCAACTCCTACTTTGATATCTCCATGTCACTCATCTTCAGCTTCCTGATCAGGATGGTGCAGTTCCGAGCCCATCTGGGACACTCGCTCCCATCAAAGTTCTCACGTTCCAGCTTATCAGCACGCTTGCGTGCCTGCGTAAGTTGCTCCTCCTTGACCAGCAGACGCACCAGATTGCCTACATCGATTTGCAGGGGCGACACATCAGGATCGTGAAAGGGTGAACTTCCGGTCCGCTGGTCGCTGCTCTACCTGCATCACAACCAGCTGGACTACGCGATTGATCAGCAGCCAGTGATTCGTGCAGTGACCAGAATCTGCGCATGAAAAGGGTTAAAATTAGCTCAGCTTGAGACAAGGACACTCAAGGAGTACTCACAGGGCAGCAGAAGCATGTGCTGCAGCAGAGAGAGCATGTGGGAATACGCGGGCAAATGGCTGACGAGGATGGTGCAGTTCTGGGCCCAGCCTCCATCGATCAATGAGTGCACCTTCTGCTTTGCTGGCTTGCCGTCAGTTGCACGCAGAACCTTATAGAAGCCATCGGTAGCCTGTGAAAAGAGAAGAGAACATTAAATAAGGGAAGATCTTTCATTGAAATCTCTTCTAGACACTCACCGACACTCACTCATTCTTTTGGTAAGCCGAAAACAGCTTGTCTATCGACTCCGACTCCATGATGTTATACAGCTTGCTCTCGTCCAGCTTGCTCCAGACGGTGCCCTGGAGCTTGGCATCCGGCAGCTTGGACCAGTTGAAGCTCTTTAATGGATTCGTGGGCAGTGGAACGTTCTTCTCTGGCAGCTCCACCTTGGGTGGCACAGGAGCTACAGTCAAAGGATAGAAATTAATTTATGTGACGCTCCTTGACTTGGTTTAACTCTGAACTCACCCATTGCTGGCGCCACACGGTGGCGGAGGCGGTGCACCCGGACAGGGCGGCGGTGGTGGTGGCATCATGGCTGGCGCCGTCGGTGGCGGTGGTATGGCCGAGGGCGGCGGTGGCGACACAGCTCCATTGCAGCCAGTCAGACCGACCACCTTCTGGTCATCGGATATGCTGCCCTGGGTAACCAGACACTCGAGACGGATTCGACCCTGCTGCTCACTAAGCAAGCGTGCTACAGATCTGCAAAAACGTTGGGAAATTACAAAATGGCTGTCACTTTTCGATAATATAGTGAAAAATTTGAGGTCACACTACAAAAATGTAGGGGAAAAATGACACTCACTTTTCGATATTAAAGTAGTGAACATAAGCTGGTCACACTACAAAAATGGTTATTCGATAACTTTCGATGACGACACATTTTCGCTATATAACTAGTTAGGCAGTCGATTTTCGGCCATCTCCTGCTTGTACTGGTACTTACGCTTAGGAACGATCACGTCCTTGATTCCAGCCCAATCGCCGTACTTCTTCTCGTGTATGGTGTAGGCCTTAAACAGCTACTGGGTTCGGTCCTTGGGCAGGTGATCCAGTGCGTATTTGTAGATGATGCGCGCCACAGCATGGTGGTGCCCTTGGCGGCACTGGACTTGGTGTCGGCCATCGATGGCCTGTGAAAAGAGAGGAGAGCATTAAATAAGAGATCTTTCATTGGCATCTCTTCTAGACACTCACCGACACTCTCATTCTTTTGGTAAGCCGTAAAGAGCTTGTCTATCGACTCCGGCTCCATGTTATACAGCTTGCTCTCATCCAGCTCGCTCCAGACGGTGCCCTGGAGCTTGGCATCCGGCAGCTTGGACCATTGCTGGCGCCACACGGTGGCGGAGGCGGTGCACCCAGACAGGGCGGCGGTGGTGGTGGCATCATGGCTGGCGCCGTCGGTGGCGGTGGTATGGCCGAGGGCGGCGGCGGTGGCGGCGGCGACACAGCTCCATTGCAGCCAGTCAGACCGACCACCTGGTTATCGGGCATGCTGCACTCGGTGATCAGACGCTCCATACGGGCCCGTACCTACTGCTCGCTGAGCAGGCGCTGCTGCAAATCCTCCGCCCTCATTTCGGTGGTCTGCGCGTGCTGCACCGCCTGCGAATGCTGGGCGGACTCCTTCTCCAAACGTACGCGCATGCGTGCCAGACCAGTTTCAAGATCCTCCTTCTCCTGCATGCGCAGACCGAGCTCCAGCTCCTTCTTCGACAGCCACGACTGCACATCAAAGTTCTCACGTTCCAGCTCATCAGCACGCTTGCGTTCCTGGGCCAGTTGCTCTTCCTTGACCTCGGGATCGGAGTGACCAGTATCTGCGCATGAAAAGGGTTAAAATTAGCTCAGCTTAAGACAAGGACACTCAAGGAGTACTCACAGGGCAGCAGAAGCATGTGCTGCAGCAGAGAGAGCATGTGGGAATAGCGGGCAAATGGCTGACGAGATGGTGCAGTTCTGGGCCCGGCGTCCATCAATCAATGAGTGCACCTTCTGCTTTGCTGGCTTGCCACCAGTTGCACGCAGAACCTTATAGGAGCCATCGGTACCCTGTGAAAAAGAAGAGACATTAAATAAGGAAGATCTTTCATTGGAATCTCTTCTAGACACTCACCGATACCGCATTCTTTTGGTAAGCCGAAAAGAATTTGTCTATCGACTCCAACTCCATATGTTATACAGCTTGCTTCGTCCAGCTCGCTCCAGACGGTGCCCTAGATACCGGATGAAATTAATTTTATGGACGTTCCTAACTTGACTTACTCTGACTCCACCATTGCTGGCCGATTACGTGGCAAAATCCTCCGCCTTCAATTTCGGCCCGTGCAGCGCTGCACCGCTGTGAATGCTGGCGGACTCCTCAACGGTCGCGCATGCGTGATCCGACGGCTGTGCGACACAGCTCCATTGCAGCCAGTCAGACCGACCACTTTTGTCATCATATGCTGCCTGGTAACCAGACACTCGAGACGGATTCGACCCTGCTGCTCACTAACAGCGTGCTACAGATCTGCAAAACGTTGGAATTACAAATGGCTGTCACTTTTCGATAATATAGTGAAATTTGAGGTCACACTACAAATGTTAGGGGAAAAATGACACTCACTCTTCGATATTAAAGTAGTGAACATAAGCTGGCCAATAAAATTGGATAACCGGATGAACTTCGTATATAACTTTGAGTCAGTCGATTTCGGCCATCTCCTGTTGTACTGGTACTTACGCTTAGAAACGATCACGTCTTGATTCCAGCCCAATCGCCGTACTTCTTCTGTGTATGGTGTAGGCCTTAAACAGCTACTGGTTCGGTCCTTGGGCAGGTGATCCAGTGCGTATTTGTAGATGAGCGCGCCACCGCCACAGCCGAGGGCGGCGGCGACACAGCTCCATTGCAGCCAGTCAGACCGACACCTGGTTATCGGGCATGCTGCACTCGGTGATCAGACGCTCAGACGGGCCCGTACCTACTGCTCGCTGAGCAGGCGCTGCTGCAAATCCTCCGCCCTCATTTCGGTGGTCTCCGCGTGCTGCACCGCCTGCGAATGCTGGGCGGACTCCTTCTCCAAACGTACGCGCATGCGTGCCAGACCAGTTTCAAGATCCTCCTTCTCCTGCATGCGCAGACCGAGATCCAGCTCCTTCTTCGACAGCCACGATGCACATCAAAGTTCTCACGTTCCAGCTCATCAGCACGCTTGCGTTCCTGGGCCAGTTGCTCTTCCTTGACCTCGGGATCGGAGTAACCAGTATCTGCGCATGAAAAGGGTTAAAATTAGCTCAGCTTGAGACAAGGACACTCAAGGAGTACTCACAGGGCAGCAGAAGCATGTGCTGCAGCAGAGAGAGCATGTGGGAATACGCGGGCAAATGGCTGACGAGGATGGTGCAGTTCTGGGCCCAGCCTCCATCGATCAATGAGTGCACCTTCTGCTTTGCTGGCTTGCCACCAGTTGCACGCAGAACCTTATAGGAGCCATCGGTACACTGTGAAAAAAGAGAGCATTAAATAAGAGAAGATCTTTCATTGGAATCTCTTCTAGACACTCACCGATACCGCATTCTTTTGGTAAGCCGAAAAGAATTTGTCTATCGACTCCAACTCCATATTGTTATACAGCTTGATTTCGTCCAGCTCGCTTCAGACGGTGCCCTAGATACAAAGGATAGAAATTAATTTATGTGACGTTCCTTAACTTGACTTAGCTCTGTACTCACCCATTGCTGGCGCATTACTGCAAATCCTCCGCCTTCATTTCGGCCGTCTGCACGCGCTGCACCGCCTGTGAATGCTGAGCGGACTCCTCCAAACGGTCGCGCATGCGTGACTCCTTTACTGATTCAAATTATATTTTCCTCTGCAAGAATCTAAAAGTCCAAATTTTATTTCATCATTTTTATACCCTTGCATGGTATTATAATTTCACTCAAAAGTTTGGAACGCAGTAACGCCCTTATTAAGTAACATATTCTTGATCAGCATCAACAGCTCTCTCCCTTTCTCCCTCTCTCTTACTCTCTCTGCCTCTTTTTATCCGGTAGGTCCAACTCCCAATGTGCATCTTCAGAGCTAACTCCTTCTCTGTATGTTTCTCTGCCTATCTCTTACTCTCTCGCTCTCACTTTCTCTGTTCTCTTGACTCGGGAACTATAAATAGAGCCACTTCGTTCGCCGCGACCTCAGTCTGTCCTAGGGGTACCTAGTGTTTACATCGATAGTGATTAAAAGAATGGCGTGGCCAATGGAATACATCTGGATAACCAGGAAGTGAACTTCGATATTATGAATACCCTAATTGAAGCCAACAAGATTCGAAGTCTACACTGGAAGGAAGTAAACAATGACGTGTTCTACACTCAGGTAAGTCTTAATCATGACAATTATATTATTGTATAGAAGGAAGTAAACTATGTCGTGTCCTCCACTGGGGTAAGCCTTAATCATGACAATTATATCATATACATATATAGATGCAATAGGAGGGGGATCAGGCCTTGGTCTAGATTCAGCTCTGCTAGCTATGCATTTATTTTTCAATTAATTCCCTAAATGCCATGGATCCCATTACTTAGTTTTAATTTAAAGTGATTCAGTAATTTGTATTGAAGATATCTACAAACGTATACTCAAAGTTAAAAGCCTAAATGAATTATAAGATCTTACTCTTTCGATAGTTTTAAAACTGACCCTGATCCTAGCTAGACCGACTCGGCTGATGATGCTGATCTAGAATATATATATAATATTTATAGGGTCGAAAATGACTCCTTCACAGTATTACAAGCTTTCGACAAAAATTAGAATAGTATAAAAACTCACCTGGCCAGGGATGAGCGCAACTTCTCCTGGGCGTCACGAGCTGTCTTGGCCTTATCCTCATCGTACCGGTTACAGTTGTATCAGGAGGAGCCGTGCGGCTCCCAGGAGCCGAGACAGAACCAACAGATCTCGTTCTTGCAATTCTGGTTCTTGCACACCACATGGTTGCAAACGCCGTCTTTCTCAATGGTTACACTGCACTTGGACACTCTTTGGTTCTGAGTTGTCGTCGCACTTCTTAATCCACTTCTTTAGCCAGCGACATTTGACCGGATCGGGATCGGATATAAGATCGCTGCTTGGCCGCTGCTCCACCTGCAGCACAACCTGCTGGACATACGCGATCGATCACTCGCCCATTTCTATCCAACTCCTGGGTGGACTGGACATTGCGCAGTTTTCCGTGTCCATAGCAGTCCACCTCAGAGTCCTCATCGTCATCGTCGTCCGCATCGGCCTCGTCGTCTGTGCTCAGCTGGCTGGAAACGAAAAAACGTAAGATAAGAGGATTCTTAAAAGCTTTGACGTGTTCTCACAGCTTGTCCAGCAAAGCCTTCAGTGTGTTGTGCCTGTTAATCTTGCACAGGCGCTTCAGCGCCTTGAGGTCCTGCAGCTTCTGCTGGATCTTCTGCTCGACGGGCACATACCCTTGGAGCAACGGCCTGCCCTCTGAGTCCGGCTCGATGGCTGCCGGTGAACGGCGATTTAGTGAGGCCAGTCGGAATCCGGAGGAATCATGTAGTTGCCTGTGGTATTTATAACCAACTTTGATACTTCGTAAAGGGAGCAATCGGCGCGGGCCAGTGACTTAATATCCTCGCTATGCTCATCCTCCGCCGATGGCGTGAACTTTAGCAGCTGCTCGACCATGTCGAGTGTCAGCTGCTCATTGCTGTCCATCAAAAGAATGGCCCTAGAAGAGAAGAGATTAGTATTTGGAATCAAGAGGTGACTAAAGCAACTCCTACTTTGATATCTCCATGTCACTCATCTTCAGCTTCCTGATCAGGATGGTGCAGTTCCGAGCCCATCTGGGACATTCGCTCCCATCAAAGTTCTCACGTTCCAGCTTATCAGCACGCTTGCGTGCCTGCGTAAGTTGCTCCTCCTTGACCAGCAGACGCACCAGATTGCCTACATCGATTTGCAGGGGCGACACATCAGGATCGTGAAAGGGTGAACTTCCGGTCCGCTGGTCGCTGCTCTACCTGCATCACAACCAGCTGGACTACGCGATTGATCAGCAGCCAGTGATTCGTGCAGTGACCAGAATCTGCGCATGAAAAGGGTTAAAATTAGCTCAGCTTGAGACAAGGACACTCAAGGAGTACTCACAGGGCAGCAGAAGCATGTGCTGCAGCAGAGAGAGCATGTGGGAATACGCGGGCAAATGGCTGACGAGGATGGTGCAGTTCTGGGCCCAGCCTCCATCGATCAATGAGTGCACCTTCTGCTTTGCTGGCTTGCCGTCAGTTGCACGCAGAACCTTATAGAAGCCATCGGTAGCCTGTGAAAAGAGAAGAGAACATTAAATAAGGGAAGATCTTTCATTGGAATCTCTTCTAGACACTCACCGACACTCACTCATTCTTTTGGTAAGCCGAAAACAGCTTGTCTATCGACTCCGACTCCATGATGTTATACAGCTTGCTCTCGTCCAGCTTGCTCCAGACGGTGCCCTGGAGCTTGGCATCCGGCAGCTTGGACCAGTTGAAGCTCTTTAATGGATTCGTGGGCAGTGGAACGTTCTTCTCTGGCAGCTCCACCTTGGGTGGCACAGGAGCTACAGTCAAAGGATAGAAATTAATTTATGTGACGCTCCTTGACTTGGTTTAACTCTGAACTCACCCATTGCTGGCGCCACACGGTGGCGGAGGCGGTGCACCCGGACAGGGCGGCGGTGGTGGTGGCATCATGGCTGGCGCCGTCGGTGGCGGTGGTATGGCCGAGGGCGGCGGTGGCGACACAGCTCCATTGCAGCCAGTCAGACCGACCACCTTCTGGTCATCGGATATGCTGCCCTGGGTAACCAGACACTCGAGACGGATTCGACCCTGCTGCTCACTAAGCAAGCGTGCTACAGATCTGCAAAAACGTTGGGAAATTACAAAATGGCTGTCACTTTTCGATAATATAGTGAAAAATTTGAGGTCACACTACAAAAATGTAGGGGAAAAATGACACTCACTTTTCGATATTAAAGTAGTGAACATAAGCTGGTCACACTACAAAAATGGTTATTCGATAACTTTCGATGACGACACATTTTCGCTATATAACTAGTTAGGCAGTCGATTTTCGGCCATCTCCTGCTTGTACTGGTACTTACGCTTAGGAACGATCACGTCCTTGATTCCAGCCCAATCGCCGTACTTCTTCTCGTGTATGGTGTAGGCCTTAAACAGCTACTGGGTTCGGTCCTTGGGCAGGTGATCCAGTGCGTATTTGTAGATGATGCGCGCCACAGCATGGTGGTGCCCTTGGCGGCACTGGACTTGGTGTCGGCCATCGATGGCCTGTGAAAGAGAGGAGAGCATTAAATAAGAGATCTTTCATTGGCATCTTCTAGACACTCACGACACTCTCATTCTTTTGGTAAGCCGTAAAGAGCTTGTCTATCGACTCCGGCTCCATGTTATACAGCTTGCTCTATCCAGCTCGCTCCAGACGGTGCCCTGGAGCTTGGCATCCGGCAGCTTGGACCATTGCTGGCGCCACACGGTGGCGGAGGCGGTGCACCCGACAGGGCGGCGGTGGTGTGGCATCATGGCTGGCGCCGTCGGTGGCGGTGGTATGGCGAGGGCGGGGGGGCGGCGGCGACACAGCTCCATTGCAGCCAGTCAGACCGACCACCTGGTTATCGGGCATGCTGCACTCGGTGATCAGACGCTCCATACGGGCCCGTACCTACTGCTCGCTGAGCAGGCGCTGCTGCAAATCCTCCGCCCTCATTTCGGTGGTCTGCGCGTGCTGCACCGCCTGCGAATGCTGGGCGGACTCCTTCTCCAAACGTACGCGCATGCGTGCCAGACCAGTTTCAAGATCCTCCTTCTCCTGCATGCGCAGACCGAGCTCCAGCTCCTTCTTCGACAGCCACGACTGCACATCAAAGTTCTCACGTTCCAGCTCATCAGCACGCTTGCGTTCCTGGGCCAGTTGCTCTTCCTTGACCTCGGGATCGGAGTGACCAGTATCTGCGCATGAAAAGGGTTAAAATTAGCTCAGCTTAAGACAAGGACACTCAAGGAGTACTCACAGGGCAGCAGAAGCATGTGCTGCAGCAGAGAGAGCATGTGGGAATAGGCGGGCAAATGGCTGACGAAGATGGTGCAGTTCTGGGCCCGGCGTCCATCAATCAATGAGTGCACCTTCTGCTTTGCTGGCTTGCCACCAGTTGCACGCAGAACCTTATAGGAGCCATCGGTACCCTGTGAAAAAAGAGAGCATTAAATAAGAGAAGATCTTTCATTGGAATCTCTTCTAGACACTCACCGATACCGCATTCTTTTGGTAAGCCGAAAAGAATTTGTCTATCGACTCCAACTCCATATTGTTATACAGCTTGATTTCGTCCAGCTCGCTTCAGACGGTGCCCTAGATACAAAGGATAGAAATTAATTTATGTGACGTTCCTTAACTTGACTTAGCTCTGTACTCACCCATTGCTGGCGCATTACTGCAAATCCTCCGCCTTCATTTCGGCCGTCTGCACGCGCTGCACCGCCTGTGAATGCTGAGCGGACTCCTCCAAACGGTCGCGCATGCGTGACTCCTTTACTGATTCAAATTATATTTTCCTCTGCAAGAATCTAAAATCCAAATTTTATTTCATCATTTTATACCCTTGCATGGTATTATAATTTCACTCAAAAGTTTGGAACGCAGTAACGCCCTTATTAAGTAAACATATTCTTGATCAGCATCAACAGCTCTCTCCCTTTCTCCCTCTCTCTTACTCTCTCTGCCTCTTTTTATCCGGTAGGTCCAACTCCCAATGTGCATCTTCAGAGCTAACTCCTTCTCTGTATGTTTCTCTGCCTATCTCTTACTCTCTCGCTCTCACTTTCTCTGTTCTCTTGACTCGGGAACTATAAATAGAGCCACTTCGTTCGCCGCGACCTCAGTCTGTCCTAGGGGTACCTAGTGTTTACATCGGTATAGTGATTAAAAGAATGGCGTGGCCAATGGAATACATCTGGATAACCAGGAAGTGAACTTCGATATTATGAATACCCTAATTGAAGCCAACAAGATTCGAAGTCTACACTGGAAGGAAGTAAACAATGACGTGTTCTACACTCAGGTAAGTCTTAATCATGACAATTATATTATTGTATGAAGGAAGTAAACTATGTCGTGTCCTCCACTGGGGTAAGCCTTAATCATGACAATTATATCATATACATATATAGATGCAATAGGAGGGGGATCAGGCCTTGGTCTAGATTCAGCTCTGCTAGCTATGCATTTATTTTTCAATTAATTCCCTAAATGCCATGGATCCCATTACTTAGTTTTAATTTAAAGTGATTCAGTAATTTGTATTGAAGATATCTACAAACGTATACTCAAAGTTAAAAGCCTAAATGAATTATAAGATCTTACTCTTTCGATAGTTTTAAAACTGACCCTGATCCTAGCTAGACCGACTCGGCTGATGATGCTGATCTAGAATATATATATAATATTTATAGGGTCGAAAATGACTCCTTCACAGTATTACAAGCTTTCGACAAAAATTAGAATAGTATAAAAACTCACCTGGCCAGGGATGAGCGCAACTTCTCCTGGGCGTCACGAGCTGTCTTGGCCTTATCCTCATCGTACCGGTTACAGTTGTATCAGGAGGAGCCGTGCGGCTCCCAGGAGCCGAGACAGAACCAACAGATCTCGTTCTTGCAATTCTGGTTCTTGCACACCACATGGTTGCAAACGCCGTCTTTCTCAATGGTTACACTGCACTTGGACACTCTTTGGTTCTGAGTTGTCGTCGCACTTCTTAATCCACTTCTTTAGCCAGCGACATTTGACCGGATCGGGATCGGATATAAGATCGCTGCTTGGCCGCTGCTCCACCTGCAGCACAACCTGCTGGACATACGCGATCGATCACTCGCCCATTTCTATCCAACTCCTGGGTGGACTGGACATTGCGCAGTTTTCCGTGTCCATAGCAGTCCACCTCAGAGTCCTCATCGTCATCGTCGTCCGCATCGGCCTCGTCGTCTGTGCTCAGCTGGCTGGAAACGAAAAAACGTAAGATAAGAGGATTCTTAAAAGCTTTGACGTGTTCTCACAGCTTGTCCAGCAAAGCCTTCAGTGTGTTGTGCCTGTTAATCTTGCACAGGCGCTTCAGCGCCTTGAGGTCCTGCAGCTTCTGCTGGATCTTCTGCTCGACGGGCACATACCCTTGGAGCAACGGCCTGCCCTCTGAGTCCGGCTCGATGGCTGCCGGTGAACGGCGATTTAGTGAGGCCAGTCGGAATCCGGAGGAATCATGTAGTTGCCTGTGGTATTTATAACCAACTTTGATACTTCGTAAAGGGAGCAATCGGCGCGGGCCAGTGACTTAATATCCTCGCTATGCTCATCCTCCGCCGATGGCGTGAACTTTAGCAGCTGCTCGACCATGTCGAGTGTCAGCTGCTCATTGCTGTCCATCAAAAGAATGGCCCTAGAAGAGAAGAGATTAGTATTTGGAATCAAGAGGTGACTAAAGCAACTCCTACTTTGATATCTCCATGTCACTCATCTTCAGCTTCCTGATCAGGATGGTGCAGTTCCGAGCCCATCTGGGACATTCGCTCCCATCAAAGTTCTCACGTTCCAGCTTATCAGCACGCTTGCGTGCCTGCGTAAGTTGCTCCTCCTTGACCAGCAGACGCACCAGATTGCCTACATCGATTTGCAGGGGCGACACATCAGGATCGTGAAAGGGTGAACTTCCGGTCCGCTGGTCGCTGCTCTACCTGCATCACAACCAGCTGGACTACGCGATTGATCAGCAGCCAGTGATTCGTGCAGTGACCAGAATCTGCGCATGAAAAGGGTTAAAATTAGCTCAGCTTGAGACAAGGACACTCAAGGAGTACTCACAGGGCAGCAGAAGCATGTGCTGCAGCAGAGAGAGCATGTGGGAATACGCGGGCAAATGGCTGACGAGGATGGTGCAGTTCTGGGCCCAGCCTCCATCGATCAATGAGTGCACCTTCTGCTTTGCTGGCTTGCCGTCAGTTGCACGCAGAACCTTATAGAAGCCATCGGTAGCCTGTGAAAAGAGAAGAGAACATTAAATAAGGGAAGATCTTTCATTGGAATCTCTTCTAGACACTCACCGACACTCACTCATTCTTTTGGTAAGCCGAAAACAGCTTGTCTATCGACTCCGACTCCATGATGTTATACAGCTTGCTCTCGTCCAGCTTGCTCCAGACGGTGCCCTGGAGCTTGGCATCCGGCAGCTTGGACCAGTTGAAGCTCTTTAATGGATTCGTGGGCAGTGGAACGTTCTTCTCTGGCAGCTCCACCTTGGGTGGCACAGGAGCTACAGTCAAAGGATAGAAATTAATTTATGTGACGCTCCTTGACTTGGTTTAACTCTGAACTCACCCATTGCTGGCGCCACACGGTGGCGGAGGCGGTGCACCCGGACAGGGCGGCGGTGGTGGTGGCATCATGGCTGGCGCCGTCGGTGGCAGTGGTAAGGCCGAGGGCGGCGGTGGCGACACAGCTCCATTGCAGCCAGTCAGACCGACCACCTTCTGGTCATCGGATATGCTGCCCTGGGTAACCAGACACTCGAGACGGATTCGACCCTGCTGCTCACTAAGCAAGCGTGCTACAGATCTGCAAAAACGTTGGGAAATTACAAAATGGCTGTCACTTTTCGATAATATAGTGAAAAATTTGAGGTCACACTACAAAAATGTAGGGAAAAATGACACTCACTTTTCGACATTAAAGTAGTGAACATAAGCTGGTCATACTACAAAAATGGTTATTCGATAACTTTCGATGACCACACATTTTCGCTATATAACTAGTTAGGCAGTCGATTTTCGGCCATCTCCTGCTTGTACTGGTACTTACGCTTAGGAACGATCACGTCCTTGATTCCAGCCCAATCGCCGTACTTCTTCTCGTGTATGGTGTAGGCCTTAAACAGCTACTGGGTTCGGTCCTTGGGCAGGTGATCCAGTGCGTATTTGTAGATGATGCGCGCCACAGCATGGTGGTGCCCTTGGCGGCACTGGACTTGGTGTCGGCCATCGATGGCCTGTGAAAAGAGAGGAGAGCATTAAATAAGAGATCTTTCATTGGCATCTCTTCTAGACACTCACCGACACTCTCATTCTTTTGGTAAGCCGTAAAGAGCTTGTCTATCGACTCCGGCTCCATGTTATACAGCTTGCTCTCATCCAGCTCGCTCCAGACGGTGCCCTGGAGCTTGGCATCCGGCAGCTTGGACCATTGCTGGCGCCACACGGTGGCGGAGGCGGTGCACCCGGACAGGGCGGCGGTGGTAGTGGCATCATGGCTGGCGCCGTCGGTGGCGGTGGTATGGCCGAGGGCGGCGGCGACACAGCTCCATTGCAGCCAGTCAGACCGACCACCTGGTTATCGGGCATGCTGCACTCGGTGATCAGACGCTCCATACGGGCCCGTACCTACTGCTCGCTGAGCAGGCGCTGCTGCAAATCCTCCGCCCTCATTTCGGTGGTCTGCGCGTGCTGCACCGCCTGCGAATGCTGGGCGGACTCCTCCAAACGTACGCGCATGCGTGCCAGACCAGTTTCAAGATCCTCCTTCTCCTGCATGCGCAGACCGAGCTCCAGCTCCTTCTTCGACAGCCACGACTGCACATCAAAGTTCTCACGTTCCAGCTCATCAGCACGCTTGCGTTCCTGGGCCAGTTGCTCTTCCTTGACCTCGGGATCGGAGTGACCAGTATCTGCGCATGAAAAGGGTTAAAATTAGCTCAGCTTAAGACAAGGACACTCAAGGAGTACTCACAGGGCAGCAGAAGCATGTGCTGCAGCAGAGAGAGCATGTGGGAATAGGCGGGCAAATGGCTGACGAAGATGGTGCAGTTCTGGGCCCGGCGTCCATCAATCAATGAGTGCACCTTCTGCTTTGCTGGCTTGCCACCAGTTGCACGCAGAACCTTATAGGAGCCATCGGTACCCTGTAAAAAAGAGAGCATTAAATAAGAGAAGATCTTTCATTGGAATCTCTTCTAGACACTCACCGATACCGCATTCTTTTGGTAAGCCGAAAAGAATTTGTCTATCGACTCCAACTCCATATTGTTATACAGCTTGATTTCGTCCAGCTCGCTTCAGACGGTGCCCTAGATACAAAGGATAGAAATTAATTTATGTGACGTTCCTTAACTTGACTTAGCTCTGTACTCACCCATTGCTGGCGCATTACTGCAAATCCTCCGCCTTCATTTCGGCCGTCTGCACGCGCTGCACCGCCTGTGAATGCTGAGCGGACTCCTCCAAACGGTCGCGCATGCGTGACTCCTTTACTGATTCAAATTATATTTTCCTCTGCAAGAATCTAAAAATCCAAATTTTATTTCATCATTTTTATACCCTTGCATGGTATTATAATTTCACTCAAAAGTTTGGAACGCAGTAACGCCCTTATTAAGTAAACATATTCTTGATCAGCATCAACAGCTCTCTCCCTTTCTCCCTCTCTCTTACTCTCTCTGCCTCTTTTTATCCGGTAGGTCCAACTCCCAATGTGCATCTTCAGAGCTAACTCCTTCTCTGTATGTTTCTCTGCCTATCTCTTACTCTCTCGCTCTCACTTTCTCTGTTCTCTTGACTCGGGAACTATAAATAGAGCCACTTCGTTCGCCGCGACCTCAGTCTGTCCTAGGGGTACCTAGTGTTTACATCGATAGTGATTAAAAGAATGGCGTGGCCAATGGAATACATCTGGATAACCAGGAAGTGAACTTCGATATTATGAATACCCTAATTGAAGCCAACAAGATTCGAAGTCTACACTGGAAGGAAGTAAACAATGACGTGTTCTACACTCAGGTAAGTCTTAATCATGACAATTATATTATTGTATGGAAGGAAGTAAACTATGTCGTGTCCTCCACTGGGGTAAGCCTTAATCATGACAATTATATCATATACATATATAGATGCAATAGGAGGGGGATCAGGCCTTGGTCTAGATTCAGCTCTGCCAGCTATGCATTTATTTTTCAATTAATTCCCTAAATGCCATGGATCCCATTACTTAGTTTTAATTTAAAGTGATTCAGTAATTTGTATTGAAGATATCTACAAACGTATACTCAAAGTTAAAAGCCTAAATGAATTATAAGATCTTACTCTTTCGATAGTTTTAAAACTGACCCTGACCCTAGCTAGACCGACTCGGCTGATGATGCTGATCTAGAATATATATATAATATTTATAGGGTCGAAAATGACTCCTTCACAGTATTACAAGCTTTCGACAAAATTAGAATAGTATAAAAACTCACCTGGCCAGGGATGAGCGCAACTTCTCCTGGGCGTCACGAGCTGTCTTGGCCTTATCCTCATCGTACCGGTTACAGTTGTATCAGGAGGAGCCGTGCGGCTCCCAGGAGCCGAGACAGAACCAACAGATCTCGTTCTTGCAATTCTGGTTCTTGCACACCACATGGTTGCAAACGCCGTCTTTCTCAATGGTTACACTGCACTTGGACACTCTTTGGTTCTGAGTTGTCGTCGCACTTCTTAATCCACTTCTTTAGCCAGCGACATTTGACCGGATCGGGATCGGATATAAGATCGCTGCTTGGCCGCTGCTCCACCTGCAGCACAACCTGCTGGACATACGCGATCGATCACTCGCCCATTTCTATCCAACTCCTGGGTGGACTGGACATTGCGCAGTTTTCCGTGTCCATAGCAGTCCACCTCAGAGTCCTCATCGTCATCGTCGTCCGCATCGGCCTCGTCGTCTGTGCTCAGCTGGCTGGAAACGAAAAAACGTAAGATAAGAGGATTCTTAAAAGCTTTGACGTGTTCTCACAGCTTGTCCAGCAAAGCCTTCAGTGTGTTGTGCCTGTTAATCTTGCACAGGCGCTTCAGCGCCTTGAGGTCCTGCAGCTTCTGCTGCATCTTCTGCTCGACGGGCACATACCCTTGGAGCAACGGCCTGCCCTCTGAGTCCGGCTCGATGGCTGCCGGTGAACGGCGATTTAGTGAGGCCAGTCGGAATCCGGAGGAATCATGTAGTTGCCTGTGGTATTTATAACCAACTTTGATACTTCGTAAAGGGAGCAATCGGCGCGGGCCAGTGACTTAATATCCTCGCTATGCTCATCCTCCGCCGATGGCGTGAACTTTAGCAGCTGCTCGACCATGTCGAGTGTCAGCTGCTCATTGCTGTCCATCAAAGGAATGGCCCTAGAAGAGGAGAGATTAGTATTTGGAATCAAGAGGTGACTAAAGCAACTCCTACTTTGATATCTCCATGTCACTCATCTTCAGCTTCCTGATCAGGATGGTGCAGTTCCGAGCCCATCTGGGACATTCGCTCCCATCAAAGTTCTCACGTTCCAGCTCATCAGCACGCTTGCGTGCCTGCGTAAGTTGCTCCTCCTTGACCAGCAGACGCACCAGATTGCCTACATCGATTTGCAGGGGCGACACATCAGGATCGTGAAAGGGTGAACTTCCGGTCCGCTGGTCGCTGCTCCACCTGCATCACAACCAGCTGGACTACGCGATTGATCAGCAGCCAGTGATTCGTGCAGTGACCAGAATCTGCGCATGAAAAGGGTTAAAATTAGCTCAGCTTGAGACAAGGACACTCAAGGAGTACTCACAGGGCAGCAGAAGCATGTGCTGCAGCAGAGAGAGCATGTGGGAATACGCGGGCAAATGGCTGACGAGGATGGTGCAGTTCTGGGCCCAGCCTCCATCGATCAATGAGTGCACCTTCTGCTTTGCTGGCTTGCCGTCAGTTGCACGCAGAACCTTATAGAAGCCATCGGTAGCCTGTGAAAAGAGAAGAGAACATTAAATAAGGGAAGATCTTTCATTGGAATCTCTTCTAGACACTCACCGACACTCACTCATTCTTTTGGTAAGCCGAAAACAGCTTGTCTATCGACTCCGACTCCATGATGTTATACAGCTTGCTCTCGTCCAGCTTGCTCCAGACGGTGCCCTGGAGCTTGGCATCCGGCAGCTTGGACCAGTTGAAGCTCTTTAATGGATTCGTGGGCAGTGGAACGTTCTTCTCTGGCAGCTCCACCTTGGGTGGCACAGGAGCTACAGTCAAAGGATAGAAATTAATTTATGTGACGCTCCTTGACTTGGTTTAACTCTGAACTCACCCATTGCTGGCGCCACACGGTGGCGGAGGCGGTGCACCCGGACAGGGCGGCGGTGGTGGTGGCATCATGGCTGGCGCCGTCGGTGGCGGTGGTATGGCCGAGGGCGGCGGTGGCGACACAGCTCCATTGCAGCCAGTCAGACCGACCACCTTCTGGTCATCGGATATGCTGCCCTGGGTAACCAGACACTCGAGACGGATTCGACCCTGCTGCTCACTAAGCAAGCGTGCTACAGATCTGCAAAAACGTTGGGAAATGACAAAATGGCTGTCACTTTTCGATAATATAGTGAAACATTTGAGGTCACACTACAAAAATGTAGGGAAAAATGACACTCACTTTTCGATATTAAAGTAGTGAACATAAGCTGGTCACACTTACTTAAATTAAGATAAAATGAGCTGGTCACACTACAAAAATGGTTATTCGATAACTTTCAATGACGACACATTTTCGCTATATAACTAGTTAGGCAGTCGATTTTCGGCCATCTCCTGCTTGTACTGGTACTTACGCTTAGAAACGATCACGTCCTTGATTCCAGCCCAATCGCCGTACTTCTTCTCGTGTATGGTGTAGGCCTTAAACAGCTACTGGGTTCGGTCCTTGGGCAGGTGATCCAGTGCGTATTTGTAGATGATGCGCGCCACCGCCGCCGCCCTCGGCTGTGGCGGCGGCGACACAGCTCCATTGCAGCCAGTCAGACCGACCACCTGGTTATCGGGCATGCTGCACTCGGTGATCAGACGCTCCAGACGGGCCCGTACCTACTGCTCGCTGAGCAGGCGCTGCTGCAAATCCTCCGCCCTCATTTCGGTGGTCTCCGCGTGCTGCACCGCCTGCGAATGCTGGGCGGACTCCTTCTCCAAACGTACGCGCATGCGTGCCAGACCAGTTTCAAGATCCTCCTTCTCCTGCATGCGCAGACCGAGATCCAGCTCCTTCTTCGACAGCCACGACTGCACATCAAAGTTCTCACGTTCCAGCTCATCAGCACGCTTGCGTTCCTGGGCCAGTTGCTCTTCTTTGACCTCGGGATCGGAGTGACCAGTATCTGCGCATGAAAAGGGTTAAAATTAGCTCAGCTTAAGACAAGGACACTCAAGGAGTACTCACAGGGCAGCAGAAGCATATGCTGCAGCAGAGAGAGCATGTGGGAATAGGCGGGCAAATGACTGACGAAGATGGTGCAGTTCTGGGCCCGGCGTCCATCGATCAATGAGTGCACCTTCTGCTTTGCTGGCTTGCTACCAGTTGCACGCAGAACCTTATAGGAGCCATCGGTACCCTGTGAAAAAAGAGAGCATTAAATAAGAGAAGATCTTTCATTGGAATCTCTTCTAGACACTCACCGATACCGCATTCTTTTGGTAAGCCGAAAAGAATTTGTCTATCGACTCCAACTCCATATTGTTATACAGCTTGATTTCGTCCAGCTCGCTTCAGACGGTGCCCTAGATACAAAGGATAGAAATTAATTTATGTGACGTTCCTTAACTTGACTTAACTCTGTACTCACCCATTGCTGGCGCATTACTGCAAATCCTCCGCCTTCATTTCGGCCGTCTGCACGCGCTGCACCGCCTGTGAATGCTGAGCGGACTCCTCCAAACGGTCGCGCATGCGTGACTCCTTTACTGATTCAAATTATATTTTCCTCTGCAAGAATCTAAAATCCAAATTTTATTTCATCATTTTTATACCCTTGCATGGTATTATAATTTCACTCAAAAGTTTGGAACGCAGTAACGCCCTTATTAAGTAAACATATTCTTGATCAGCATCAACAGCTCTCTCCCTTTCTCCCTCTCTCTTACTCTCTCTGCCTCTTTTTATCCGGTAGGTCCAACTCCCAATGTGCATCTTCAGAGCTAACTCCTTCTCTGTATGTTTCTCTGCCTATCTCTTACTCTCTCGCTCTCACTTTCTCTGTTCTCTTGACTCGGGAACTATAAATAGAGCCACTTCGTTCGCCGCGACCTCAGTCTGTCCTAGGGGTACCTAGTGTTTACATCGATAGTGATTAAAAGAATGGCGTGGCCAATGGAATACATCTGGATAACCAGGAAGTGAACTTCGATATTATGAATACCCTAATTGAAGTCAACAAGATTCGAAGTCTACACTGGAAGGAAGTAAACAATGACGTGTTCTACACTCAGGTAAGTCTTAATCATGACAATTATATTATTGTATGGAAGGAAGTAAACTATGTCGTGTCCTCCACTGGGGTAAGCCTTAATCATGACAATTATATCATATACATATATAGATGCAATAGGAGGGGGATCAGGCCTTGGTCTAGATTCAGCTCTGCTAGCTATGCATTTATTTTTCAATTAATTCCCTAAATGCCATGGATCCCATTACTTAGTTTTAATTTAAAGTGATTCAGTAATTTGTATTGAAGATATCTACAAACGTATACTCAAAGTTAAAAGCCTAAATGAATTATAAGATCTTACTCTTTCGATAGTTTTAAAACTGACCCTGACCCTAGCTAGACCGACTCGGCTGATGATGCTGATCTAGAATATATATATATAATATTTATAGGGTCGAAAATGACTCCTTCACAGTATTACAAGCTTTCGACAAAAATTAGAATAGTATAAAAACTCACCTGGCCAGGGATGAGCGCAACTTCTCCTGGGCGTCACGAGCTGTCTTGGCCTTATCCTCATCGTACCGGTTACAGTTGTATCAGGAGGAGCCGTGCGGCTCCCAGGAGCCGAGACAGAACCAACAGATCTCGTTCTTGCAATTCTGGTTCTTGCACACCACATGGTTGCAAACGCCGTCTTTCTCAATGGTTACACTGCACTTGGACACTCTTTGGTTATGAGTTGTCGTCGCACTTCTTTAGCCAGCGACATTTGACCGGATCGGGATCGGATATAAGATCGCTGCTTGGCCGCTGCTCCACCTGCAGCACAACCTGCTGGACATACGCGATCGATCACTCGCCCATTTCTATCCAACTCCTGGGTGGACTGGACATTGCGCAGTTTTCCGTGTCCATAGCAGTCCACCTCAGAGTCCTCATCGTCATCGTCGTCCGCATCGGCCTCGTCGTCTGTGCTCAGCTGGCTGGAAACGAAAAAACGTAAGATAAGAGGATTCTTAAAAGCTTTGACGTGTTCTCACAGCTTGTCCAGCAAAGCCTTCAGTGTGTTGTGCCTGTTAATCTTGCACAGGCGCTTCAGCGCCTTGAGGTCCTGCAGCTTCTGCTGCATCTTCTGCTCGACGGGCACATACCCTTGGAGCAACGGCCTGCCCTCTGAGTCCGGCTCGATGGCTGCCGGTGAACGGCGATTTAGTGAGGCCAGTCGGAATCCGGAGGAATCATGTAGTTGCCTGTGGTATTTATAACCAACTTTGATACTTCGTAAAGGGAGCAATCGGCGCGGGCTTAATATATGACTTAATATCCTCGCTATGCTCATCCTCCGCCGATGGCGTGAACTTTAGCAGCTGCTCGACCATGTCGAGTGTCAGCTGCTCATTGCTGTCCATCAAAAGAATGGCCCTAGAAGAGAAGAGATTAGTATTTGGAATCAAGAGGTGACTAAAGCAACTCCTACTTTGATATCTCCATGTCACTCATCTTCAGCTTCCTGATCAGGATGGTGCAGTTCCGAGCCCATCTGGGACATTGGCTCCCATCAAAGTTCTCACGTTCCAGCTCATCAGCACGCTTGCGTGCCTGCGTAAGTTGCTCCTCCTTGACCAGCAGACGCACCAGATTGCCTACATCGATTTGCAGGGGCGACACATCAGGATCGTGAAAGGGTGAACTTCCGGTCCGCTGGTCGCTGCTCTACCTGCATCACAACCAGCTGGACTACGCGATTGATCAGCAGCCAGTGATTCGTGCAGTGACCAGAATCTGCGCATGAAAAGGGTAAAAAAAAGGGTTAAAATGGGTGGCACAGGAGCTACAGTCAAAGGATAGAAATTAATTTATGTGACGCTCCTTGACTTGGTTTAACTCTGAACTCACCCATTGCTGGCGCCACACGGTGGCGGAGGCGGTGCACCCGGACAGGGCGGCGGTGGTGGTGGCATCATGGCTGGCGCCGTCGGTGGCGGTGGTATGGCCGAGGGCGACGGTGGCGACACAGCTCCATTGCAGCCAGTCAGACCGACCACCTTCTGGTCATCGGATATGCTGCACTGGGTAACCAGACACTCGAAACGGATTCGACCCTGCTGCTCACTAAGCAAGCGTGCTACAGATCTGCAAAAACGTTGGGAAATGACAAAATGGCTGTCACTTTTCGATAATATAGTGAAAAATTTGAGGTCACACTACAAAAATGTAGGGAAAAATGACACTCACTTTTCGACATTAAAGTAGTGAACATAAGCTGGTCACACTTACTTTAAAATAAGATAAAATGAGCTGGTCACACTACAAAAATGGTTATTCGATAACTTTCGATGACACATTTTCGCTATATAACTAGTTAGGCAGTCGATCTTCGGCCATCTCCTGCTTGTACTGGTACTTACGCTTAGGAACGATTACGTCCTCGATTCCAGCCCAATCGCCGTACTTCTTCTCGTGTATGGTGTAGGCCTTAAACAGATATTGGGTTCGGTCCTTGGGCAGGTGATCCAGTGCGTATTTGTAGATGATGCGCGCCACAGCATGGTGGTGCCCTTGGCGGCACTGGACTTGGTGTCGGCCATCGATGGCCTGTGAAAAGAGAGGAGAGCATTAAATAAGAGATCTTTCATTGGCATCTCTTCTAGACACTCACCGACACTCTCATTCTTTTGGTAAGCCGTAAAGAGCTTGTCTATCGACTCCGACTCCGTGTTATACAGCTTGCTCTCATCCAGCTCGCTCCAGACGGTGCCCTGGAGGTTGGTATCCGGCAGCTTGGACCAGTTGAAGCTCTTTAATGGATTCGTGGGCTGTGGCACATTCTTCTCTGGCAGCTCCACCTTGGGTGGCACAGGAGCTGCAGGCAAAGGATAGAAATTAATTTATGTGACGCTCCTTGACTTGGTTTAACTCTGAACTCACCCATTGCTGGCGCCACACGGTGGCGGAGGCGGTGCACCCGGACAGGGCGGCGGTGGTGGTGGCATCATGGCTGGCGCCGTCGGTGGCGGTGGTATGGGTGAGGGCGGCGGCGGCGGCGGTGGCGACACAGCTCCATTGCAGCCAGTCAGACCGGCCACCTTCTGGTTATCGGGCATGCTGCCCTCGGTGAACAGACGATCCAGACGGGCCCGTCCTACTGCTCGCAGAGCAGGCGCTGCTGCAAATCCTCCGCCCTCATTTCAGCGGTCTGCGCGTGCTGCACCGCCTGCGAATGCTGGGCGGACTCCTCCAAACAGACATCAGCACGCCTGCGTGCCTGCCTCAGTTGCTCCTCCTTGACCTCGGGATCGGAGTGACTAGTATCTGCGCATAAAAAGTGTTAAAATTAGCTCAGCTTAGGACAAGAACACTCAAAGAGTACACGCATGTGCTGCAGCAGGGAGAGCATGTGGGAATAGGCGGACAAATGGCTGAGCAGGATGGTGCAGTTCTGGGCCCGGCGTTCATCGATCACTGAGAGCACCTTCAGCTTTGCCGGCTTGCCGCCAGTTACTCGCAGATCCTCATAGGAGCCATCGGTAGCCTGTGAAAAGAGAGGAGAGCATTAAATAAGAGATCTTTCATTGGCATCTCTTCTAGACACTCACCGACACTCACTCATTCTTTTGTCTATCGACATCGACTCCATGTTGTTACACAGCTTGCTCTCGTCAAGCTCGGTCCAGACGGTGCCCTGGAGCTTGGCATCCGGCAGCTTGGACCTGTTGAAGCTCTTTAATGGATTCGTGGGCTGTGGCACGTTTTTCTCTGGCAGCATGGCATCGCAGCCAGTCAGACCGGCCACTTTCTGGTCATCGGGTGATGATCGGATCGATGATCAGACGCACGAGATGGGCCCGATCCATCTGTTCACTACGGAAGCGATGCTACAGATTTACAAAAACTCACAACAAGAATGTTTATGATATGGTCACACTACCAAACGGTTTGTGATATGGTCACAATATTTGAATTTAATTTGTCGATCTGGTGCCGCCACAAGAACTCAGATGTGGTTGGAGTCTTCGCTTAATAACAGACCAACATCTTGTGCAGGTTCCGTTAGATGGCTCTCGAGAAAACGTCAAAAATAAATTAAATTTTATTGAAGGCATGTTTAAAAAAATTACGTATACGAACAGATGTAGATCGTATTTATATAATTAAATATTTAAGAAATCAACTAGTACTTAAAAATTGTATATAGACGTATATATATAAATAAAATATATTTGGGTTTAATTTATGGTCGGATGATTCCCGAATTTAGCTTAATATGTTTTTCTTATTTTTATAGAATTTCCACAACAGATTTTTGAATGTAGAAAAGACCAAACTACATAACTTGCATCTCCATATGATCTTCCTTGAGTGTAATCACCATTAATAATTTCTTAGCTTTCCCATTCGCATCGGCATTATCAATTCGAAAAATAATTTAAAATTTCTAACCAAAATTAGAGCAGGATGTTGCCGTTTCGATCGCCATTAGACCAAATATGGGCACCGACCTATAAGCAGATATACACAACGCACACACATCATTGAATCGCTTCATTTCCGTTTGCCATTGAAAAGTGTTTTTCTTATTTCGTTTTTATTATTTCTTTTCTGTGTTTTTGTTTTTTTTTTCATTGTTAGACAATCAAACAAATTAGACGCTATATGCCATAAATGGACCTTTAATAATAAAACTAGCGATAGATAAAAAAAAATAAACGAAAAGGTTGAAGAGTTCACTGGGGAGGCAGACAAACAGACAGACAGACAGAGAGATAGGAAAGATGGTAGCCAAAAGGGGAATTATTATCGGATCGCTGGAATCGCAGAACGGAAAACAGCATTACGTGTACGTATACAGCATTACGTATACGGTAAAGTTGAGTGTATTAGAATGGGTAGAACTCGCGGGCGGGCGGAGTGGTTGGTTGGTGGTTGGTCGTCAGGAGGCGGGGTGAGGGCCCGGACTTCGCATCTGGGTATGTCTACCTGGCCGGAACGCGTTGTCGTCGTCATCGTCGCATGGCATGGCATCAAGTCTGGAGCGGGATCTATGACCTCGGCGGCTTAATTAGCTTGCTGGTGGGCGGCGGCAGCTTGCAGAAGCCAGCCGCATCAAACACGGGCAGCAGCTCCCGCACCCGTCCGGGTATCGAGCCATCGAGCATTCTGGAAAGCACAATATGGGTTACTTACAGAAGCTAGAGTGGGAGCAGGGAGTGTAGTTTCTGGCAGGAACTTCCTCCTAAGTGGGAAATGGTAAAGGTTGTCCTCTCACCTGCGCTTGTAATCAATCTTGGCACCCTTCAGCGATATGTTGGCATCAGTGGGAAAGAACGTGGCATCATAGAAGTTGAGTCCATTCTGGAGCAGCACATTGTACTCATCCATGGAGGCCAATGTAATACGAATAACGGCCGGTGGCAGTTCCCTACGCTCCGGACGCTCGACTTTCTCGATGGCATCGCCCACCACGGAGCCCACGCTCTTGGAGGTGCCTAATATGGAGAGTAGTAGTAGATTTAAGATTTTTGTCCAGAGATGTGTGATATATATTTAATTTAAAGTATTTTAAAGGCTTTTAAGGTCTTCAATTAAATTTAAGAGATTTTAATTGACTTTCAGGTTTTTAAGAGGCTTTAAAAGAGTTTAAGGAACATTCATTGAAAGGATCATAGATCATCTTTAAAATCCTTCAAGGATCACAAAAAAAGAGATTTGGGACAATTTCAATATGTTTTTTAATGTTACCAATTTGGAGTGTACTTTACTTCGTAGCGCCGCTCTGCGCAGGGTCTGCGTCGGCGTATGGAGCAGCTGAATCTGCTCACCTTCGACCTTGTCGACGCCGGCGGCGGAGCTGGCGCCGACCGAGGCAGCGGAGGCGGCGGCGTTGCTGGCTAGGCTCGAATAGATATGCAGGCGCACCACCTCCACCACCGAATCGAACTTGTACATGGCATGTCTGATGTCCTCCACGGGCAGATCCTCCGGCACATCCAGCACGTAAAGCGTGAAGGTCTTGCGCGGCCGACAAGGTATGGCGATCTGTGGGAGATCGAAACGGAAGGAGAAAGGAGAACGGAGAGTGGAGGCGGTGGAGGTGGCTGCTCATGGTTATTAGTCTAAGCTAGGAGTCGTTCGATGGATGTGGATGTGGCTAACTTGGGGTAACTGGGGCAACTGGGACTGGGACTGGGCTTGCACCAATCGCAGTCCCGATACCTCAGGATATTTACGGATACTCACGCTGCGCGAAAATGTTTGCTGCAAAATGGGGGAAATAAAGATTGCATTTTTCACTTGTCCAAGGGTTAGTCGGCAGATGGGTTGAAACTGGGATGTGAGGTGGTGTGCAGCTGAAACTAGTGGGAAATGGATGGATGCGGGGGTAACAGTGATGGGAAAGGGTTCCAGGCAGGGCTAGGTCTTGAAGTTCCTCTGGGTGAACCTAGCTATCCCATCACTGAATATATTCGAGATGTTCGGTGTGTGTGTCTGGGCTCACCTTGCGATAGAAACGTGCACCGGTGACCTTGTGGAAACCCTTCTTGAACACCGCCTGATAGTCATCTGGATGTGAGAATTTAAACAGAATGCCTGTAGCGGTTTTGGTCAAGCTGAAGCATCCCTTGAAGCTCATCTTCTCGCAGATGAGTGCAGCCCGCTCCATGGACAGCTCGTAGGAGGGAGTCAATAGAAAGGCGCCTGCAAGTAGTACGTGGGTTTGGTTAGGCTACATCAGGGTTAGTCTTACGGGATTAGCTTGGGATCATCATGCACTACAAGCGGACAGATGAAAGAAATCAGAGCTGCTCTAAATTATGAAAATAAATGCCTTAAATGGTTAAATAAATTGTAAAAACAAAATGAAGCCAAGAAACAATGTTATTTTAAGATTTATGAATTGAATTTATGAAGTTCTGGCTCGGCAAATGACAGAGTTAGCAGCACTGGAAGCCTGGAGTAACTTAAGCTGATTCTGTAGATGAATCTTTGACTGAATCTTTGGCTGAACCTTTAGTGAGAAAGTTATCCGGCGACGAGACCTCCGAGTCCGAGTCATCTTCCCGTTTATCAGCCCACTTGGGCTCCGAGGAGAGCTTGTGTGCGGCCACCTTGGTAACGATGCCCGTGGCACGTGGCCTTGGGAACTCATTCTTTTCGCACTCAAGATCGGATGTGTTGCCCAGGAAAGACATGGTAGAGTATCCTCGCTGCTGGCTTAATTTACACACAGAGATAAAGAGTCACGGAAAAAAAACAGAATTTAGAGACTCGAAAGCGGTTCGGAAAACACGGTATTCGCAACTAGCCGCAACTTTGGCAGCGTCTTGGGCGATAATTTGGAAGCAACTGAAATGTCGCAGCGTCTGCCAAATGCTTTTATATGCTCCACTGGGCCCGGTTCGCATCGCATCTTTGGCTTCTAGGTTTGGGCAGACCAAACCAGCAAAATGAAAGTCCCACACACGAGCGGACAGATGCGGGCAATAAAATATATGTCTTCAAACGAAAATTGATTATAATTAAACAGTAAACTTAAAAATAAGAAACAAAATGGGGAGAACTATTTGATATTTAAGATAGATTTGCATTTTTAACTAGTTTAAAATGAAAATTACTTGATTTGGCCTGTCCAACTAGACGTATACGCAATATACACAGTTTTACCTTTTATAATATTAAGTATACGCAATGTTGGAAAAATTAAAGAGTAAATTTGAAAATAAAAAACAAAGTAAGGAAACCTTTTTTAAATTTATGGTTGATTTGAATTTTTTAAAGGATAATATCGAAGGCTGACCAACTAGACGTATAAGCAATATGCACCGTCACTCCTAAGAATATTTGGTATACGCAGTGTACACCTATTTCATATGATAAGTTTCAATGTATTCCTTTAAATTGTAGTACGTATTTATAACCTCAGGTTGGATAGAACATAACTAAGTATCCGCCACTGTGGCCACGGGTTATGCGATCATGTCGGATGTCTCTCAAATTGGAAGTTTGGTTCTTACAATTAGACAACGGCACATTATTGTTTGTTATTGATCCTCTCCCGGTGAAGTGGGCGACATCGCCGGATAGGTATGGGTTCCGTTGGGTTCGGGTGGTCGGATCGGGTCGGGTCGGGCAGGTTGACGCCATCGCCTCGGGGAGATCTTGTCAAGATCATGCTGCGGCGGCGCCAACTGTTGCGTAAAATTCAAGAACACAGCTGCTGTCCCCCCAAAATGGTGGCACATGCGAATTATATAAGCGATATAGGGGAACGCTTATGGGCTTTGCGATATTCGTTCAGCCTCAGCTGGCGGCAGAAGGAGCCCGAAGTGGTCCAAGGGTGGCCATAATCCCAGATTGGGATACGAACCTTTAAGCTGTGCCTTGGAAACGGCCAAACTGATCCCGGGATATGGTGGGAATCTGCCAGGTAACTAAGGGCTTAGGTCATTCTGCTGTTTATATAAAAAGCATATATGCTTAAAGAAAATAATGCCATCTATTAAAATCCATTAAAAATATATACGAAAGACCAATTATATAAAATTAATGATACGTTCTTAAATGGTGTGAACACGACTTAGTTCGAGGACAAAACAATATATACATACATATTTAAGAATCCAACACACCCATTAATAATTTATAGATTTTCTCCTTTAGTTTATGTCATTTCATAATATGTGGTTTATTAATAAATTATTTTATTTTAAATTAATTTTTGTCAGTTTTCATTTTTGAATATTTATAATATTTTTTTGTTTTCTTCTTTGTTTTGCCTTCTTTCGTTTAATCAAAATGGTGTCGTTTGCTTAATAATATTATAATAATAATAATAATCATAATAATATTAATAATAATAATTCATAATCATAATAATCTACTAAGGTGTTTTACATGGCAACATTAATTTGTTTTTCATTTCGATTCGATTCGTTCCGCTGCGTTTCATTTTATTTAGTTTTGTTTTGGTGACTTGCTTTGTTGTCATAGTTGTTGGTGTTGCTGTGGTAAAATTGTTATTAATAAAAGGAAACAAGGTATTAATCGATCAGAAGGATCAGCTTTAACTGATGAGGGAACTGAGGTGCAAGCAAAAGTGTGTTCTCTCTCTCTCTCTGTCTATCTATCTATCTCTGTCATTCGTTTCTATATGGCTTGGATGACTTGGTTAAGGGAGGAGGAGGTGGTTCTGGGGGGAAAGGATTCGGTTCCCTTGCTCAAAAATGTTATACAATTGGTAATGATCGATATATATTTTATTGTATAATCTTTATATGCTGTTTAAATATGGCTGTGTGTATATATATACTATATATAGTAATATAAGCATTTTGTGGAGATCACTCTGATTGTGTTTGTGTGTTGTATGTGTGTGTGTGTGTGTGTGTGTATTATTTCCTTTTTGCTTGCTTAAAAAACCATGAGGATATCGGGATGGTATAAATCATATATCACTAGCTCTTAAAAGACATGCGCTGCTAATAACAACAAGAATTGAGTATTAATTTCTTCGAATCTATTGTTACCTTTGACCCTTTACCGTTACACTGTTACACTGCTTTAGTCATTAATCGTTATCGTTATCTTGGGGGTAAGCACACATTTACATACTTACATACATACATACACAACAACTACGTTTAATAACCGATGATACAAATGTTAACAATTATGCGGCGGATCGATCGATAAATCGCTTAACGATAATCATCGTCTATCATTTTCTTTGTTTTTTTTATCGCTTGAAGGTTTATTTTTCTGTTTTTTTTTTTTTGTGGGGAGAGCGGTGCAAATCAGCGGGGATTCTCTGGGGGAACTATATATTTAGGCATTATCTTCGAAGCGGGATCAGGCAGGTGGGACATTCATAGAACTTACATGGCAAAACATTACATATTCGTATAGTACTTTCTTTGCTTCCGAATTAGCTCTCTCTCGCTCTTGCTTTTATCGCTTTTTCTTTCTCTCGTTTTTTCACTTAGCGTAATTAGTTTTTGGATTGTTTATGGTATTTAGGTTTTCTTTGTTTCTTTACCAAGCGAATTTAGCTCTCGTACACACATATATATTTATATATGCTTTAATTTGTATGTATATTTACGTATAGCCTAATGTCCATAATTAGTTTACCATTTTCTCTTTATTATTTTTCCGATTTTTTTCTCATTTTGCAAAAAAGCAGCATAAACTTTAGTTATCTTTTCGATTCATAATATATAGTGGGAAAGTATCCGAATCCCTTATAGCTTTCGATTATATTTCTTTCATGTTATCGCATTGCACTTAGCCGGCGTTAATCGTTAATCGTTAATAGGTAATATTATAACTATAAAAATCGATGAATGGGATCGACAAAAAAAGTAAATCCAAAGTTTCTTGTGTTTTTCATTTTAATTTTCATATTTTGTGTGCATATTTTTTTGGGGTTTTTCTTTTTGATATTACATATACATATACATACAGCTTAGATATAGAAGGGGCGTGGGCAGGGGGCGTGGGCGGTAAAAGCTTGCCTTGACTATATATATGTATGTATATAAAACTAACAGTGTGGGTTTATGTGGTGTGTGTGAGTGTGTACTGTGGGTGGGTGGGTGACAAAACGAATAAAAACGCTTTGAACTGACTAGAGAACGTCTAAATTTCGCCCTAAAATGATATATTTAATATAATATAATGCCCGTAAATATGTATATACGTAGAAGGTATATTATATTTAGTTAAAAAAAGGGTATACAAAATAAGTCTTTGCATTGGAATCGTCGAAACACATACGAGAACCGATCCATTCGCGAATTGAAGCCAAGGGCTTTTCTTTGGGTTTTCTTTCTTTTACGAAATACGATTTAGTTATTCCAAAGGGATACGGACTTACATCCTTTGGTATTCAACTAAAATCAACAAAATATAGCAGGACAAACGTTGATATTTCGTATAGCTACACATATATTATGCTGATCAGCTAATTCTACGTTCTGGAGGGAGGCTGTTTTCTGATTCTGCTTTTGTTCTTCTAGTTTTCCGTCTTACAAGCAAGCTTGAAAGATGAAGAAGGCTTGTGCTAAGCTCGATGCCAAGACTGGGCATTGTGAAGTGTGGGTGTAGGTAAATTTGTATAAAGTTACATCGTATATGGCACTGGTAAATGCTGGAAGCTTCAATAGGCCTAAATCTCACTTTCACCAAATGGCAGTGCAGCTCGACTGAGAGTGGGATGTTGGGGATATGTTCCTGGGGCTAAAAAAAATAATGATAAAATAAGGGTATACATAAAAAAAAACAATTGAATCTAGTTTTATATGCTAATGATATTACAATAGGATTGTGAAGTGTCTGAATTTTGTTTTGTGTGTGCATATGCGCGTGTGTTTGTTGTCCTTAGATCGGTAGAGAGAGCAACTCAAGTTTAAGATATATATAATATGTACAGTGCGTATCCAAGCTATAAGGCCGGGAAGAAGTGACAAAGCTATTAATTAGGCCGTAGAAAATATTATCTACTAATGGAACTTTTGATTCTCTATAATTGTTTCTCATATATATATATATAGTATGTATATATAGTATGTATGATGTATGTTTAGTATAGTAAAAAGCGATATAAAGTGCAGAAAAATTGTTGGAGTTTGAAGAGGGTTCAGCGAGCTGCAAGCTTCACAACTGCACAACTGCCTTATTGCTGCGAAACGCACTGCACACTCTATAACACGTTATGTACAACAAGTGCAATACAAATGTCCAAAAAGTTGCCCACGGACTCACAGAATTACAAATTTAGTTTACAAACAATGCTTTTGTAGCGTTTTACAAAAATCAGATATAGATTGCTTAATTTCGTTTTACAATTCTTTGCTTTTTGTGTTTTTTGTTGCTTGCTTTGTTTTCTATTCAGCTTGGTTTCTTCTGTGTGTTTTTCTTCCTCCCTTCTATCCTTCCTTCTCTCTTTCTTACTTTTTTTTGTTTGTTTTGTTTTGTTTTTTTTTTTTTTGGACGGAACAATTTACAACATATGATTATGAAACAATGACACACGGCTTAACAAAGGGGGAGAAGAGACGAACATAATACTTAGATGGCCTCTAAAATATAAACTAAGGATGAGAGTAGCTTACAGATATACGTATGTATATATAGATATATGCATATAGATGTAGATGTTGATCTTACAAACAAAAGAAAACAGGCTTAGAAAACGAAAGAAGACATTTATAAGGTGTTAAAGGGGTTTAGTATTTCTATCAGTATGATTTGCTAATGGAATGAAGAGTAGTTTTTGGGTGCTATGATAACTATCCGTATCCGTATAGGTATATCTATAAGAGAGGCCAGGATGCACCTGATGCCTTGACATGAGCGTGAGGGGAACTAGTACACAAGGATGAATGGATATGCATACATATATCGTTATGTATATATATATATATGGATATGGGTATGGTGTGTTTTTGTGTTGTTCCTCTTCTCGTTGGCAATAAATACAATATTGATAATAATAATAATAATAATCATAATACAAAGATAATAATAATCGTAATAAATATGCTCGAATGCTATAAATATGGTAAATTTGTCATATAAAGCTTGGATCGCTCGGTAATATCATATAATATTTGGTTAAACATTTCCCCATACTTTGTTATGATTTTGTTTCTATTTCCGTTTCCGTTTTCGTTCTTTTCTTTTCTTTAGCTTTCCCTCAATGCAATCGATCAAATAAAGCTCATAAGCGTCTATATATCATTTGTGTGTATGTGTTGTGTGTTGGTTGGTGTCGTATTGTTTTTTTCTAGTTTAGATTTAGTTTTAGTTTTAGCTTTAGTTTTACGAATTATGATTTATGATTGGTATAGGTATTAGGCTTCATTACCAACTTATAAAGCGACGTTACATTTACGTTTCCCGTTCATGTTTACCGTTTAGATTATGCAGCATTTAAGTTATCTGTTTTCATTTTTTTGTTTTTTCGATTTTAGCGCGCGCTATATAATCATAAATATATATATATATTTATATTCTTGTATATATCAATGTATATTATTCAGTTTTTAAGTTCTAGCGACTTTTGGGAGCGGTGCCCGGCACATTTTGGAAACTCTGTCTATCTCTTTCTCCACTCGCAAATCCCTCTCAATCGCTGTCTTCTCTCTCTTTCTACTTCGGCCTCTATCGCTCACTCTCTCTGTCTCCCTCTCTTTCTAATACTCTTTCCCTAATCTCCCAGAACTAGGATACTTTGGATATGCAACGTCGGGCAGAGATCACCTTAGTCGGCGGTGTAGAGCAGAGAACTAAGGCAGCGACCTGGACGTGAAGACGGACAAACGTGGAGAATCAGACGGAAGGACCTGGACGTGGTGGATGTGGCAATTACCAAGAGATGCGTTCGTGATTGTGTAAAGAAGCAAAGAAAATGAAAAATGTCTGGATTAAGCTATGCTTTCGATGGCTGACCCCTAACTACACCATATACTTGGGCAGATACAAGAAACAGATACAGAGATATACTACATATGCATGTATGTTAGTGTTTTGCCTGTCGATTCCGATTGTGTCAGGCACGCGCTCCTCGAGATACACACTGGGATTATCTCCACGTTACATATATGCCTATAGGTGTATGCTTTAATATGAACTTAGCCTAGCAATAAATATGTCTTCCTTTCTTTCGACTCGGACTTGCTTCGTTCCTATATGCGTGCTTTCGGTTCCGCTTCCGGTTGCGGATCGGGGATACCCTTCAGCATGGATTACTCCCTAATTTCCGGTTTTCTCTTACGGTTTTGGTATGGCCTTGGGGTTTTCTTTGTTTTAGAGTATGGGGAAGGTATTGCTAGAATTGCGTTTAGATCTGTGCCAGGTTGCCACGCGCCTAAAATTGCCTGCTCTCGATGTCCAACGTTCCGTCGTAGGCATCGAATGTTTCTGCCTCTGATGTTGTTGCTGCTGCTGTTGCCTCCGCTTCCACTTCTGCTTCCGCTTCCGGCGACACTGCTGCTGCTGCTGGCATTGATATTTGGTTAGTGGTGCTGTTGGTTATTCCGGCTGCTGCGGTCACTCCCGCAACCAGCTCGTCGAGCAGCTGCATCTGCTTGCGCGTGGGCGTGGTCAGGGGAGTGGCAACCGTTTGATATCGCTGATGGAACGTAGACAATATCTCGCGAATTTTAGCAATGATCTCCTGTACTCAGGCATTTGACTCCTAAGGAATTAGGGGGGTTCTTAAATCTCATCTTCTGAAGGCAATTAAAAGAGCAGGAAACACGACAACTCACCTTTAGGTTGTCAAAGTAGTGCATGATCTGCTCGTAGTCCATGTCGAGATCATCCAGTCCGAGACGCTCGCCAGGCGCCACGGACTCATCCACGGTGGCCGAGAACATCGGATTGCCCACCACGGTGGCGCGCTTGACACGCGACGATTTCGTGGTGGGCTCCTGGCTAACGGCGCTCACTGCCGGCAACCGCATGATCTCGTCTGTGCCATTTGAGTTGGCCGCATCACCAGTGCTGCTCACCATGCTGTGGTTCTCTGTGGGGACAGAAAAACATTAAGCGGACAGACAAAATAGGCAGCTAGTTTAAATGCTTACCCTTTGGTTTGGGCTGGACTGCAGACGGCGAGGACGCAGCTGCAGCTGCTTTGGTCAATCTCTTTGGTGTCAACGAATCGAACTGAAACGCGTTCTTCTGGTGCGGATTCGTGTACTCCACCAGCTTCTCGGCGTTGTGCAATTCCTCATGTTGCTGCTGCTGCTGTTGTTGCTGCTGCTGCTTGATCTTGTTGTGCGCCGCCTTGACGATCGGCTCCTGACTGAAGTTGTGGCTATGGCTATGGCTGCGCTGATGCTGAGGATGCGGATGGGAATGCGGATGCAAATGGGCTTGGGCAGGGGCATGGGCGAGCGGATGGGGACGTTCCAGTGGCTGCTGCTGTTGCGGCTGTGGGTTGGCATTGGCGTCACTACTGGCCTGCAAGTGCTCACGTTTGTAGAGCTGACTGTGCCGCTTGATGGGAGCATCCTTAAAGAAATCATTCTTGTAAAGAAAAAACCAAAGTTTCAGAGTAAATGAAAAACCTACCTTCAAGGAGCCGGCAGCGGAAACAGAGCCAGATCCAGGAACAGGGACAGGAATGGGCTGAACTGGTAGACAGGCCCTTGCACCCACATTCCGATGTGGCGGCACTGGTGGTTTGTAGTCCAAGGCATTGTCCTTACGCTCGTTGGCTAAATAGCTGCATGGATGAATATTAGCAAAGATTGTTAAGGTATCTATATTAGGCTCAATTCTTACTGGTCAGCGTGCTGCTTGTTCAGGTTGGAGGCCGGCACAATGTGTGTCTGCAGCTTGGGCTGCTGGTCGAAGCAGCTCACCCGTCGCCCGTTATCGTAGTTGACAATCGGATTGCTAGTGATGCGCATACGGGAGTCTGTTTTAAGGAATTAAAGGATTAATTATTATCAACGATATTAATCTAAACTCCTGCTTACCCCTAGCATTCAGATGCGTATTGGACTCGGTCACCATCGACTGCCGGTCAATGGTGGAGCGTCCCAGCCAGACCCAATCATGGACATTCGTTGTAGACTCCTTCAGGCGCACATCCCGGAATCCGCCACCCGCTCCGCCCGAACCATTGCCCTTGCCCGCCGACAGAGGATCCAGACCGGACTCAATCATAGCTGGCCGGAACTTGGAGGCGTAGACCACACACGAGATGACAAACACAATGATGGCGAAGCAGAAGGCGGTGAGCAGAACGTACATGCCTAGCTCCATGGAGGACATGGTGCCAGTTCCGGCGGCGCCTTTCACATGATGGTTCTTATGCACCGCTTGGATACTGCCCCGATGCTGACGGGCCTGCACAGTAGGCTCATATTGCTGACTGGAGTCGCGCAGCGGGATGCCAACTATGATGTCAGCGAGATCGCCCATCTGGCGGTAGTTCTTCCTCTCCCTGCCCACGGTGCCGTCGTTCTGTATAGCCTCCTGCTTGCTCACAATATCCACGTTATTGAAGTCCACCTCTATGGAGGCCAGGGCGCTGGCCAGCGGCGCCGGATTCGATTTGTTTTGCTTGGTGCTGCTCAGAGTGCCGCGTCTTTGGCGACACTCCTCGGAAAGGAGCAGGGTCACGCGCAAGAGGTTGCCATTGCCTTCGCCCACAGCAATCACGCGCGGATGATGCGATGCCAGCATGGGGGCAAAGGCAACCACTTCGGTGTCCAGGCTCTCCACCAGCAGGAAATAGTCCTCCACGGCAATGTCACTGCATGGATTAGCAAGGAACAAACGACAATGCAATACTAAATCTTGGAACTTACAATCCACTTACCGCAGCGGCGTCTTTGAGCCATCCGTAAACTCCAGGTCGATGTCCAGCAATCCCTCCTGGTACTGGGCTGTCAGCTTGTGCGTCACCGAGGTCTCAGCCAGATAGCCATTCTCTATCGTGTTGTCCGGACTGATGGTCAGCTGCAGACCCGAAATGACGCGCACAATGAGCTTGGATAGGTTGACCTTGTCACTGCCCACGCGGATTTCCTTGGTGCCGATGACGCGACCCGTTATAGGTGATAAAACCTGGACGTCTGTGCGTCCCATGGATTTTCCCTGCAGTATTCGTCCCTTGAGCGAAGCAATCTTGGGATCGGCCACCCGGAGCAGAGGCTGCACTAAATCAGTGACCCTTAAGCCGGTTCGTCTCGATATAAAGTAGCTTGTGCGTCCGGAATTCTGATCCACGGCCAAGAACTTGGCATACACCTCGACGGGACTCTGCTGATACCGCGCCCGGCACACCGTCTTGTCAGCTCCCAGGTTATTGTAGTAGTTGGTGCCATGCTGGCCCCAAACGTATGACCTCTTCTTCCTTCGGCGCGACTGCTTATTGTGACTGTAAGTATGATAAGAAAACGAAGATGAGTATAGATAGGAATTATTATCCAAATATTCTTTTTCCGAGCGAAAGTCTATTATCTTAGACTTCAAAAAAAGCTATTTAGTGATGAGTGATGTCTTTTTATGAAAACTATATATAACTCTACAACTGAGAACACATATTTTATATCGTTACGATGAAAGTCAACATTTCTACTTACAGATAGTGATTGTCATCGGTCACTTTCCATCCCTTGATCTGAGAGAGACGGAAATCGGATATGTAGACTTCCAGGGGAAATTCTGGCATCCATACAATGAACTTGGCCACGCCCACGTAAGTGCCATACTTGACAATTACCGAGGCATTTGACGAGCCACGCTGCTCCGAGCCATCCACATAAACGGAGCTGCAAGAGGAAGAAACCTGAAAGGATAGAATTCGTTATTAAGCAATCAATAAACCAATATCCCTGGCAAACGCACCTTGATCACACTCTCGTCCTCGGCGTGACAAGAGCTCTGGAGTGTGACGTCGGCCACCTTGCCAGCCTGTGAAACAATGAAAACCTTCATTGCTTGGGCCACTTGACGGCCAGTAAGCACCGCCGTGTTCATCACCTCCCAGATCTTGGCCATTGGGAGCACTGCCTGAATGTCATCCTTGTTGATTTCCAACTTGGCAATTAGTCGCTTCTTTGTGTCATCTGTGGTAACCAGTTCGCCGGAATCCTTGTCCTTGGGCGTGTCGTACACATGCGTGACGGACCACACGATCTTGCCGCCATCCACAATGTCGTTTGTGTCCTCAGCCACCTCTAGTAGCCAGGAGAAGACCTCAAAGACTTCGGCTGTGAAATTTCCAGCGGATTGACCCGATTCCACACTGGACTCGGGCTCTTTACGGAACGCCGTCACCCGGGCAGTGGTATGCTTGGGGTTCTCCTTCTCTACTGAGACGCTCCAGAGGTCCGTGGAGGCAGTGGCACCCAGGATGCGTAATCCCGCCTTGACCCGGGCTCGCACAGTGAAGGCGGCCACCCGCTGGTCCGGATACTGATGCAGAAAGACAGGCACGTGTAGCCGGGACAGCGGATAGAGCGGATGCTGGGGCAGCAAGAAGGTGACAGCATCATCGGCGCGTAGCATGCGGTAGGGAGTCTTGGCAGCCAGCAGCGGTACCTGGGCGAACGTGGTCAGCGGCTGGATCTGAACCTTGGGCTCGCACTGCTCGGGATTCCTAAGCGGAGGCTCGAACACACTGTACGAAACTTGGGCGTAACGCTGCGGCACCTTGGGCGGTGCCTGACTGCCGCCATCCTGGCTGGGAGCCGGCAGGGCAGGCCACCAGCCCAGAGGAACCACAACCTCGGCCACACAGACTCCATCTTCACCCTCTGGCATGCAGCGACCCTTCAGCGGCTGCTCTGAGCCCATGGCCACATGCAGGAGCACGCATACCTTCTGGCGCTGCAAATGGCCGCCTGGATCAGCTCCCGCATGAAAAAGCACGCGCAGCACAGGGGCGTCCTGCGAGACGCTGGGGCGCACCAGATGCGCAGAGATATCCAGGTGCATATTCGGCTGCTGTAGCTCTAGCAGCGTGGCGGTATTGTTCTACAAGATCAAAGAATAAACGTTGTGATCTAAGCTCACGTTTGGAAGGTGCTAAACGAGATTACTCACGCTCATGTAGTCGCCGCCCGCCTGGCTGTCCATCGTGTCCGGCACAATGTAGCGGGCTGGCACCGTCTGCTTGGTGGAGAAGGGTCCGTAGCTGGCGCGTATCGACACCGGCTGTGTGGTCTCCACCACAGTGAAGCGGTCGAGGGATAAAACCGAGTCGTAAGATGAGCGCTGCCGCAGAGGCGGCACCGCCGACGATGTCGTCTGCACGTTGGCGATCTCCGGCGTGACAGGTGGTTGGCGGGCGTGCTTCAAAAAGAAGCCACTGTCCGGCGCCTCGAAGTGCACCTCCACGGAGTCTGGCGGGGATTAGAAGCGGAGTATTTGATCAATAAGAGGTGAATTATTGGGTTTTTTATAATAACCTTTGGTAGATTTCTACTCGAAGGTTTAAATGATTTATGCTCAATTTTAGATATATACTAAATGATACAACAAATTCCTTGACTATGGAACAATGTTTAAGGCATTCCCCAGTTATTTCAGAAACTTTAAAAAATTAGGTCCTATGTGGTTTTAAATATTTCTTATAGAAATAATATATAGAAAATGTATCGAATTTGAATTTGAAAGAACCTAAATTAAAAAGAAAATAGTTTATAAAATAACTCTATAACCACAAGGCCTTTAAAAAATATCGAAATTCGATCAATTTATGATAATTCTCTTAATGTTCAGTTAGGCCTTACTCTCACTATTATATCGAAAAGGAGTATAAAATTTTTGTTATTGAAAATTTTTTTTCTAAATTTCCTAATATCGTGTTAGGCCTATCTCTTCTTATAAACTTAATAAATGTTTGCTAGTTTCAGGTTTGGCAAATTTAAACTCTCAAAGGAGACACTTGTCTTTGATACTGGTTACTGGCTACATTTGGTTAATACAGCAAAGGAAGGAAAGGAAACGTTAGCCCTATAACTATTTTTTTCGCCGGCAGAGAGGGCTCCCCTTGGCTGCTCCTCCTCATTTGCAGCTTTTTATTAATAACTTGTGCCCCGTGGGCCAGCACCAGCTCCTACTCCTACTCCGCCTCCGCCTACGGCTTTTGCTTCTGCTTCTGCCACACTTGCTGCTCCCCCTCACACAATCCCTTTGTTTCTTTATTTATTTATTACTTACATGCAACCGACGTCAGCATCGTCATTATCAGGAAGAACCTCATCATCATGCCGTTTTCGTTAGTCCACAGTCCACGTCCACAGTAGTTGTGGCCGAGCCAAGTCCTTGTGATTTCCGAATCCTTCGAAGTTCTCCTCCAAATGCTGCTCTCGATACGAGTCTCAAAATTGTTCGTTCGTTCACAAAATGTTTATTTGTTTATCTCGCACTGTGATTGTCACTGTAGTTAACTGCACCCAGCGCGACGTGACGTTTTTCGTCCTTTTTTTCGCTCATCCACAGCACATCCTTTATTGATTCTTTCAGTGTGCCACCACACACACACACCCAAATACAACACCCACACTGGCACTCATGGCCGATACACACACAGCTGCTCCGTGGTATAGACACAACATCCTCCTGCAAAACTTTGCAGCCCGAGTGGAGTGACTTGAATCGCCAACAACTGCCGACCACGAAGATTACACTTATTACGCTGGCCAAGTCGCTGCTCGAAAACGCACAATAAACACCTACAGCATGGCTATTTTCATTCAGGTTTTCAAAATTTCACACAAAAAAAACTCTAGCTGGTCGGAATATTGTTGTTGGAAAATTAGAGTGGCCGCAAATGGTCGAAATGCCAAAAACCAGATATTTCCGTGCAAGCTTTTCTTGATGTTTTTCTTTGGTCACTCTAATTTCTGCAGCTGTTGATTAACATTTAACATTTTAACCGCCTACAGAGGCCATCTACACGTTTACAGATACATGAGGTAGAATTTTCACTTTTGGAGTCGGATTCTCATGAAGGAAGTAAAAATCCCATGTAGAATGTAAAATATATCGATATTTTTTCTTAGTATTTTTATACCCTTGCAGGATATTATAATTTCAGTCAGAAGTTTGCAACGCATTGAAGGAGGCACCTCCGACCATATAAAGTATATATATTCTTGATCAGAATAAACAGCCGAGTCGATCTAGCCATGTCCGTCTATCCGTCTGTCCGTTTCTACGCAAACTAGTCTCTCAGTTTTGAACCTTATTAAATCTTTGTATTTAGTCTTATATATACTCTCACTCGTATATAAGTCGGAACGGGCCTGATCGGACGACTTTATCATATAGCTGCCATAGGAACGATCGGAAAATTTTTACAAAAAAATGTATAACATTTTCAGTTTTCAACAGAATCAAATTAATTAATAATTAATCAATTTGAGATGTAGCCATTTCATATTATTCTACAATTTTGTGTAAAATTTTATTAAAATCGGACTACTATATCATATAGCTCCTATTGGAACGATCGAGAAAATAATTCAATTAAAAATTATAACATTTTCAGTTTTCAAAAGATTTTCATCAAATTTCAGATATAGTCATTTCATATTATTGTACAATTTTGTGTCAAATTTTATGAAAATCGGACTACTATATCATATAGCTCCCATAGGAACGATCGAGAAATAAATACGATTAAAAATTATAACTTTTCCAAATTTCAACAGATTTTTATCAAATTTGAGATATAGCCGTTTCATATTATTCTATAATTTTGTGTACAATTTTATGAAAATCAGACTACTATATAGAGTCTACTATACTGGAGTCGTCCGATCTGGCCCTTTCCGACATATATACTAGTGAGAGTATATAGAAGGCTAACTGCAAAGTTTCATTCAGATAGCTTCAAAACTGAGAGACTAGTTTGCGTAGAAACGGACAGACGGACAGACGGACATGGCTAGATCGACTCGGCTGTAGATTCTGATCAGGAATATATATACTTTATATGGTCGGAGGTGTCTCCTTCACTGCGTTGCAAACTTCTGACTGAAATTATAATACCCTGCAAGGGTATACAAATTTTATGAAAATCGGACGACTATATCATACAGGTACCATACAACCGAAAGTTAGATGTGGAGGAAAAATTTATATATGTAAATGTAAAATTGCAAATATAATATGTATAGGTGAATGAAATAAAAGCAGATATTACTTCATTGTTTTTTAACATAAACATATATAATTTATATAATATGGATTCCTAATCATCAAAGTTTTATCTGTAAGGGTATATAAACTTCGGCGTGCCAAAGTTAGCTTCCTTTCTTGTTTAATTTAATGCATTGTCGATTATAATAAATTCTAGAGTATAATAAAATGGCTATATCTCAAATTTGATGAAATTCTGTTGAAAACTGAAAATGTTATAATTTTTTTTGTAAAAATTTTCCGATCATTCCTATGGCAGCTATATGATAGAGTCGTCCGATCTGGCCCTTTCCGACATATATACGAGTGAGAGTATATAGAAGGCTAACTGCAAAGTTTCATTCAGATAGCTTCAAAACTGAGAGACTAGTTTGCGTAGAAACGGACAGACAGAAGGACAGACCGACAGACGGACATGGCTAGATCGACTCGGCTGTTGATTCTGATCAGGAATATATATACTTTATATGGTCGGAGGTGTCTCCTTCACTGCGTTGCAAACTTCTGACTGAAATTATAGTACCCTGGAAGGGTATAAAAATATGAACACATCTGTAAATTTTTGATCATTTAAATGATATCGATGTGGGAAAGTAGTATCGATGTATCGCACTTTTAATAAACATCGATAAGCCATCGCTAAACATCGAGGGCCTGCCATCCCTATTTCATTTTCCAACAAAAGTTTTTGAAAAGACGAAGTGCAGCTGGATTTTTTGATAGTTGCCCATCGAAACCCCAAAAGTATTAACAATTGTACATTCGCCAGCTGTGAGTATCGGTTAAATTGGGCGCCAGTGCCCGCCAAGAGACCAACTCAAAGGGGCGCTGGCCCTTTGTGGGCTGCGTGAAGTGTGTGAGTGTGTGCGTATGAGTCAGCGTCGGCAGCGCTCAAAAGGAAAACAACAGTTTTCGTGGTAAAGTACATTTAAGTAGGCCTGTGAAAGTGAAAGATCGCTTGCCGCGATACCATTTTGCGTCACTTGGGTCTCGAGTGGAGTGGCACGGCCTTAAGCCGCCTTTTTATGCTGTCTTCTTACCATTTAAGGCGTTTAATTAAATGCGGCGCGCGCAAGTGTGCGTTCCCGTGTGTGTGTGAGAATGTTTTCAATGAGCCAAATTTATGAGTGATGTTGTTTTTGTAAACCGCAGTTCAACAGCATTGATAAACACTCACACAGGCCAAACTCCCATACGTGTCAACTGCGCGAGTGACTCAGAAGCTGTGCCAGTGTGTGTGCCTGTATGAGTCTCCGGCAGTTCTGCCAGCTCCCGCTTTAAAGTTTAAACAGCTATATTACATATTTAAAAATAGCTGAGAAATATGTGAAATATTTATTGAAACAGTAAAAAAATGTAAATGGGTAGTTAGGTATTGATTATATTTACCTATTACTCATATATTATTATGTTTGCATAATCTTTTTAAAAGCACAAAATAGCTAGCACCCCAGAAATCAGCTATAAAACGGCCAAGTCTTTGGCACTGAGCATGAGTCTTAATGTTGACACAGTTTGTTGGGAGCAATGAAAATCGGTTTCAGCGGAATTCGCTGCAATATGTCTATATATAGCCATAAATAAATACATGTACACACCGAGAGACTGAATGCTAATGCCATTTGCTTTTTCGCTTTCAGGTCCACGCCACACACATAGTCACATCACCCCACAGCACAGGCTCCAGCTCATCCAACGACTCGTTCCACAGCTCGACAGCTCTCCTTTAGCACCCGTAGTCACTCCACCTATTGTCACCATGTCATCCCGCAAGACCGCCGGACGCCGTGCCACCACCAAGAAGCGTGCCCAGCGCGCCACCTCCAATGTGTTCGCCATGTTCGACCAGGCGCAGATCGCCGAGTTCAAGGAGGCCTTCAATATGATTGACCAGAACAGAGATGGGTTCGTTGAGAAGGAGGACCTGCACGACATGCTCGCCTCGCTGGGCAAGAACCCCACCGATGATTACCTCGACGGAATGATGAATGAGGCGCCGGGACCCATCAACTTCACCATGTTCCTGACGCTCTTTGGCGAGCGCCTGCAGGGCACCGATCCCGAGGATGTGATCAAGAACGCCTTTGGTTGCTTTGATGAGGAGAACATGGGTGTGCTGCCCGAGGACAGGTTAAGGGAGCTCTTGACCACCATGGGCGATCGATTCACAGACGAAGATGTGAGTTTTAAAGCAATATAAACAAACAAATGATAGGCTCCCCTTGTTTACTTGAACTTGAGCTAGAAAATAGGTTACTGCCGCAGCTCGTTGTTTATTTCATTGGAGATTTACATTTGTATTTACTATGAGTTACGAACTGAGAAGTCATTCAGAAACTCTGTTTAATAACTCCAACATTTATGGTTGATACTTAACGAAGCAGTCTATTAATAATAAACCTTTGCTGACTAGAGCAACAGTTGTTGGCTTTTAATGAGAACGTTGAACGATCATTCGTACGCAATAGAGTTTCGCTGACCTGAATTCGGGTTAACTGCTGTTATAGCAACTAACTAACCCCCCTTTAGGTTAACAAGCTTGGGTTTCACACCCCTGTTTTACCAAACATACTAAATACTAAATCAATTTGGATTGACTTCCTTGCAGGTGGACGAGATGTATCGGGAGGCGCCCATCAAGAACGGCCTGTTCGACTATCTGGAGTTCACGCGCATCCTGAAGCATGGTGCCAAGGACAAGGATGAGCAGTAAAACGCCAGCAATTGTCCAGCCAGCAGCTGTTGCCTTTCCAAACCAGCCGCCGCGCCGTCTGTCAAATCAATCCATAATGAGTTTCGTTTTTGATAATTTAATATGTATTTTTTTTTACTTGGCCACCGGGCCTATTCTATCCTTTGATTCCTGTACTTACCTGTGCATTTAAATTAAACAGAACGTAGTGAACACAAGCTAATGTTATGTACAATAATGATGTAGTGTGTGTAGTGGAGCGCCGTCTGATAACATGATTTTCCCGAACCCTTTTTATAAGTATTAACTCATTGAATATGCATATATATATTACCTATATACAAAATACATACTTATACAAGAATGTGGCAATAAAAGTTCGTTTTTCTTACGTGCGCATGGCTCTGTAAATATCCGCTCCAAGTCCTTCAGCCCAGGCCACAGTTGTGCAAACAGACGCAAGTTAGGGGCAAACTAGCATTGTGTTTATGAATCGTGATCTTAATACAAGAACTGAAAGAACTGCCTTCTTTATTGGTGATAAAGAAAGAGACGGTTGCCGCAAAGAATTGAAGTTTTGGAAGCTTATTAAAGCCACATCTGGCATGCAAAATATTCGAAAAGATTCCATCCATCCAGATTTCGTTGCCAACTCATAGCTTATCATGTGGTCACAATTTTAATTTTAATTCGTCATGGATTCCAAGATATTTGCTTCATGCTTCAAATAAAGTAACGTTTGTGTTTGTGAGGAATTTATTAGCAAAAATCGATAGTTATTTATATAAATTTTATGGCATAGACAAAATGGAGTATCCTCTAGGTATACTCTCCCTGTTAAAGCTTCGACAAACTCTGTATATATTACAAACTTTTGGACATTTAATAAAACATAAACTCATTGAACAACAAATAAAAGTCATAAAAATTACAAATTCGCGACGGATTACAACAATATTAAGACACAGAGATAGCAAACAGGAGACTTGAGACTGCAGATAGGAGCTAGGCTAAGACTAAGCGTATTCTGAATTTAAACTTATTTTATGTACAAACAAGTCCCTTAAAACTAAAAACTAATGGTTAATGGCCTCTGCAGCAGAAGTATCCAACGCATCTAGCATAGCACAGCCATCAGGGATCAGAGATTACTCCACCTTCTTGGTTAGCGGAGCCGTGTCGAAGCGACCCTTGCCGCCCGACCGTGCCTTGTAGGCGTCACGCACCTGGTTGATCACGTTTGCAAAGAGTATGGTACCGAAGAAGACCAGCACGGTGCCCAGCCAGTGGTTTATGGTGAAGGGGTTCCGGAAATAGATGATGGAGAACAGTAGGGAGACGAACTTGCGTAGCGTAACCACCAGGGTGACGGTCAGCGAGGCGCACTCAGTGGTCAGCACATAGACAGCGCTAATACACACATATTGGGTGACAACGTTGCACAGGAGGTAGAACAGCATCAGTGGGAACTTCCATTCGATACCGATGGCACCCAGGAGGGGAACAGCCACAGTTTCGGAGGACAGAGCAATGCCAAAGTGTTGGACGATGTTGCTGGCCATCACCAGGAATCCGGGCAGCGGCAGCATGTGCGTGTAGAACAGTGCCTCGTTTGGATGCTTGCCATATCGCTTGTATATCACCTCCTGATAAATACCCATATAGGCGGTCACCAGCAGGGCGATCGTTAGCAGGCCAATGCCCACCACCCACCAGAAGAAGTCCGAATATGCATTCTCCACGCGTAGCGTGTGGTGCGTGTTGTCCTTGACATCGCCGCTGGACACTAGGGTACACAGCACAATACCCGCCGTGATCATTGCCACCGAGCTGTACTGACGCAGGTTATAACGCTTCTTCAGCAGAATAATGCCCATGATCATGTTGGCCATCAGCGAACCGCTACGGAAGATCATGTGCAGCGGCATCGGGATGTTGAAGTTGAAGGCATAGTTATTGCAGACATTCGCACCGAAGAACAGGGCCACCAGGATCACGTAGTCCTTCAGAGCGATCTTTGGTCGCACCGTAAAGAATTTGGACGTGAAGACGAGACCCTCCAGGGCAATGAACAGGAACTGGGCGAAGGTGATGAGGTTGCCTGCACCCGGATCGATCTGAATGATTAGCTCCAGGAACACGACGTTGCTGCAGCATCCGATGAACACGAACAGCATGCCCAGCAGGGCCTTTACGTTGACAGCCATGACTGAAAAGGGATTAAAAAGAGTGGATTTAGATATTGTATTTTTTTGGGTATATATGTATGTATATGTGGGTTTATTTTTGGTTTAGAAGCATCTTGGGGGGTACTTTTGTTATTTTTAACTTGACTGTTCAATATTCTGAGTATTGAAGGCTTTAGTCAGTTTCTTGACAATGAAATATTATTTATGTTATAAAAGGGATTGATAGATTATTTAATGGCCAATTAAAATGCTGCCAGCACATTAATATTAATTGCTTTTAAACGGCCTCAGCTAGTTTTAATTATCTACCCGATCGTGGTTAATGCAATTAATTGTTTTAGGGTTTAAATTCTAATATTGACAAAGTCTGAAGCCTGAGATCAATCTTTATATGCCTGATAATCATGGTAATCGTGAATTTGTGATATTGGACTGGTAAATTAAATTTGTTTTGTTGCTGACAAATAATCAGTTCGATTTACGAAACAAGACTGTCATTTGGCAAACAATTTAGCTTTGTCTTGAACTTTAAACTACCTATTTTGTAAATCTATTGAACGGGGGATCTGTCTAACAACTATTGATTATATTCTTAAATAAAAACTATTGTTTCTCCTGTTTGAAGTCACTTTTACAAGACAGTTTATGTCTGCTTGGAGCTTTAAGTCTTAACCGATAAGAATACAACTTTAAAATAGTCTTACTAAATGACTATTCGAGTGTGGTGAAATTCAGTCAATTAATTAAGTGTGTTTAAGTTGTGTGCTAAGCACAAGCTGATACCAATCGAAGACGAATAATTTAAATAACCAGTAATTGGTCAAGCATAATTCCGTTTACATTTAATAAAAATGCTAAACAAGGTAACTGAATATATTTTCAATCAGCTGTGACACCTTTCCCCTGTTTTTTCTAGTTTATTAATTTATTTAAATCATTATCTAACCAGCGCTTCATTATTTATACTTTACTTTGATACATTTTTATATTGATATTGATTGTGTACAATATGTGAAATATAAGACGATTTGGTTGAGCAAATCTTTATATGAGCAGTTCATGCCAAAAGCCATTTGTTAATAGCTCTAGCTCTAATAAGAATATTTTGAATATATCTCAGTTTCCTCCGAAAATAATTACTCTAGTTTACTATATACTCTTGTTTCCCTTTCAAGGCGACGAAGAATGCCCATTAGATAGTGTCTACCGATCGTTATAATATTGTCAATGTCAAGCCCTACACACATGTGTGAACAAACTTATGTACATGTGTTATGTACATATGTATATACACCACCGATATCGGGGAGTCGGAGATAGCTGTTGGAAAGCTTATCTACCTCAGAGGGACGCGAAGTACAACATGAGGGACATGTGGGCGTGGAGGATGGGTCAGAGAGAGAGAGAGAGAGAGAGAATATTGGTGCTCCCTCAGCATTAGTCGGCAAATCGGGAATTTGAACTCGATCGCCGCCAATGTCACGTCGCGGCGATAAGGGTTACGTTCCGCGGATTATTTGGCGCGAACTCACTCTAATGGCTGGTCTGTGATCGGTGGCACTTACCTTCGCAATGGATGAAGGTTCCGTGGGAAATGCCAGTTAATCCGGTTCCAAGACAACGACGACTCCGATCGCGGATCTCGCGTACTCTTGTGTGTTCTTTTCTGTGTGGATTTCAAGATCGATTATATCAGTAGTCGCTGGCTCTATGTAAATGCAATTTATATATGTATGTTTAATAGCACGCAAACACACACACGGCGCACACACCAACCTGGGAATCAATTAGCTTGCTCTCTCGTCGTTTGCTCGGCCTCTCCGCATTCTCTTCTCACTGTCTTCTATTATTTTTGTTGCCTTGGAACGCCGCTGCTGCTGCTGGCTGTTTACCGCTCGTTGGGCGCATTAGAACTGCTGCGAGTTTTTGGCGAACGGGTGTCAGGTAGCCCCCTAATAACAGTTAACAGCTTAATTACAATCTCGTGTGTGATATTTTGTTGTTGCTACTATAAGTTCTTGAGGGTCTAGGTGTTGTTGTGGTGAAACAGCTGAAATTAGGCTGGCCGCAGTGTGACCAGGCGCCGCTAACTGGCAAAAGCCCGTAAATGCAACCCACTATAAAAAAGCTCAAATCGATTACCGATAAAGGCAGTTGGCATCTTAAAATGGTGTTCATTTTTCAGTTGGTGTTTTTTGAAAAACATTCTGAAACTTATTTCTCATAGACTAATGTATTTACTTTGTTATACTTTGCTTTTCTAAATACCCTATTATAAAAGTTGGGTGGGAGCTTTACGCTTTAAGCTTCGATTAATGATTACAATGGCTATCGGTTTTAAATATTTAAATCATATTTACTCATGCATTTAAATACCTTTTTTTTGGCTTAAGTTAAACCGTCTACAGCATATATTAAATGTAAAAGTGTATCTTAAATATAGATTTAAAAACTGGGTCATTAAATTATCAAGGCCTTAACGCGACTTTAAAATTTATTTATCGGATGTTTTCTTTGTTGCACAAGCGGTATATATCACATATAAATATGATTTTTTATTTTGACATAACCATATAACGCCGGCATGTTTATAATTGAGCAGAGATAATGGGGATCAACAGAGCTCTAATCTGTCAAAACGCATTATTGTCGGCCATAAGTTATAGCCACTCGTCGGAACTCCGTAAACTTATCTGTCTTTATGGATCTATAGTCTTTACCACTTATATGGAGCGGAGTCTTCTTGGTGGGCGAAATAACCCAAGGGTTGGTAGTTTGATTTTTGGCACAGCGCCGCAATGAAGATCATCACCCTGCTCCTGATCGCCTCTTTATCCAGCTCTCATCAGGTGAAATCAGTCACATGTATAAAAAACAAACTAAAGGATAAATATCTGTATCACTTAGCTCTCCCTGCCAAGCGATCCCACCTACAAAGCTGGAGTTGTAGAGCATCCCGAGGTAGATGGCAACAATGCCAGGGAAAAGACCACTTTGGCTTGGTCGTCCTTTCAGCAGATCCTACGCGACGTTGAGGACCTGGACATTCTCGTGTTCCCCGAGCACATCATCAACAGTCGCTCCTCCGCCACCTTTGTGCCCCACGAGTCGCAGAAAGTGACGCCCTGCTACGAGGCAGACTACGAGATCTTCCTCATTGAGGCATCCTGCTCTGCTCGTTCCCGCAACATGTACGTGGTGCTGAATCTAGTGGAGAAGGAGCTGTGCGCGAATGGAGCCGGGTCGGAGACCCTCGGACCTTGTCCCGAGACGGGAGTGCAGTATTTCAACACCAACGTGGTCTTCGATCGAACGGGTATGGTGATCTCACGTTACCGGAAGTCTCACTTGTGGCGCCATGAATACTACTCGACATCCGTTCTCCGGACGCCGGATGTGGCCACCTTTACGACAGATTTTGGGGTGACCTTCGGCCACTTTATCTGCTTCGACATGTTGTTCTATGAGCCGGCCATGACCCTGGTCCGAGAACGCGATGTCACGGATATTATTTATCCCACCTACTGGTTCTCGGAGCTCCCATTCCTCGGCGCCATTCAGCTACAGGAGGGTTGGGCGTTCGCCAATGATGTCAATCTCCTGGCAGCGGATGGTAGCAATCCCTCTGGCCGTACTACAGGATCTGGGATTTATGCTGGCCGTGCGGGACGTCTAACGGCGCAGATCTACGAGGTGCCCACCACAGTGGTGCTGGTAGCCGATGTGCCCAAGAGGAATACGCAGATGACCATGCCACCCGTAACTCTATTTACGCCGCAGTTGAAGACCCCCCGTCATACGGGCGTAGCGACCCACAGGGACTACAATGTGGACATCTTTAATACCGAACTTCTTGCTGCGGACTTCGTCACGGTGGACAAGCAGTTGTGTCACGGCTCTTTCTGTTGCAAATTTGCCATTGAAAGGGCTGCTACGCCGTTGGGTAGCTATGTGCCCGGCACCGCCGATGTGTCCTATCGCTATAGGATTGGCGTCTACTATGGCAACGAGACCACGGTGATCCGAGTGGATCGTTCGGAGCAGGCCACCTGTGCACTGTTTGCCTGCACAGACGATCAGCTCCATAACTGTGGCTACATCTTCCCGGGGACAGTAGAAGTGGTCAATGATTACTACTTTACTAAGCTCAACATTGGCGGCCTCTTTCCGGCAGCTCCTCGTGGCCGTCGCCTGATCATGCCCAGCTCTCTGACTGGCAATTTCCTGCCCGTGTCCACCTCGGAGTTTGATTGGACCGAGAGTATCCTGGCCTCGAACTTTTCGGATCAACCTGTGCAGGTGGACATGCAGCTAAAGCAATCACAGAACGACCTGCTGACCTTTGCCATTTGGGCGAACTACTTTACCGATCTGCCAAGCAAACATAACTTGGATCACATGCAGCCCCAGGAACCTAACACTACCGATGCAGCACCGAGGATGGCCTTAAGTCTTCTGCTCCTGCTCTTGGGTTGTTTGCTTCTGAAGTTCTAGGATAGCATCCTCAGCATCCTTTTTTTCTTTTTTTTTTTTAGAAAATGTTAAGCTCTGACAAGAAGTTTAACCTTTCAACCTCATAATTTACTAACTCTATAAAGTTATAAAACAAACTTCATATTTAAAAATCTTTATTGGTTGTTCTTAGTTTTTATGGAGTGGCAAATTCAGTTTATTTGCATATAAAGACTAGATACTTGGTTATTTTAAGAACTTCTTTTATCTGCATTTGTTGATAAACTGGAAATGTACTTTGTCCGGCTATAAAATAAAATGTAAGCAACCAAAATGTATATCTTTCTTGTATCTACATTTTGTTTTACCTGCATAATATTGGTACTTCAATGCCTGAAAGTATATTTAAAATTTGGTTCTTTATTTGTGATATTTTTTTAAATATTGTATTTCGATATTTTAATTTTACTCTCGATATATGTACCTTCCTACATCATACTTCCACATGTATATTTCTTTTTCCTGATATCTAGATAGAAATTCCTGCAACTGGTACTTCTGGAACCTCAAGGCCAGCGGAAAATTACATCTATATAATTCAGTGTAAATTGCTCCCGACTTAGATTTAACAATTTCCGTGGAATGGACAATAGTGAAATTGGCCGTTACTTTCGGGATTCAGGAAAAGTCTCCAGCAGGCTTCGTGCTTGTCGGCAAGGATTTGAATGAAACGGCGGTTACAAGGTCTTGCCCGCCATGGCCATGCCCATGCCCGCCCAACGACAACAACGATGACTACGACTACGACGACGACGACGACGACCTTGTGGAGACTCGCTTCCAGCGCACGCGCTCCTTGCCCCTTGAACTCGAAATCTCTGCCACCGTTGTTTGCATTTCCAACAGGTAGCGACGCCGGCGTCGCTGTCGATGCAACAGTGGCCGCCGTATCATAATGAGCCAAGGACGACGGGGGGATAAGGGGGGGATAAGGGGGGGGGAATAGCCAGTGGGTGGCAAGTGGGCGGTGACACACACGCATCAATGGCAATGACAGTGTAGCATCTTCAATAGCGGCGACGACTCCTCCGCGGGATCCAGAGCTGGACAGGATTCACGCTGTGACTTTCCGTGCGATTTAACATCATTTGCTTGCTGATGCTGCCTCCACCCACCAACCCCGGAAATAGTCATCCTTTTCGAGAAAAAAAAACAAGAAAAATAATCCAATACAAGAACAACCAAAGAGAAGAAAAACTTCGAACCTGAAAAGGTGTCCATGTTTGTCCATTTACAAGGGGGAAAGTTTTTCTTTTCCATGACAGAGAGGGAAAGTTTCGAAATACAATTGCCTAGAACAAGTATAGATAATTGCGAATAGATTGATTAATTAACCCAGACTTTAAAGTTTTATTGAGTAAGAAAAACTTAGCACATGGGCTTTCGCTTATTGAAAGAAAAGACATGAAATTCGTAGCAATTTTATGCTTGAACTTAATTAGTTTGTTGAATATTATGTGCAGAATATTAATATTTGGTAATTATGAATATGATATATATAAATATTATTTTTAATGAAGACTTACATTTATTAAAATATTCTTTTTACTTTATTTACTCTTTCCTAAAACTGTTTTGTCGAGTATTGCCATAAAATATTTCTAATAGACATATTCCAATTATTCTCATTTTTTGTAGGTTGATTTTCCACACCTTCACTCCATTTATAACTAGAAAAGCTGGCTTCGATAAACCAACATTTTTATACTCTTAAATTATGCCAAGGGTTCATGGTATCGACCATTACTAAGCTAAAAATTCATTAAATTCACTTTGAAGAGTGCTATTTTATAAATTAATATAAGTCTACATATTAAATTTAACATTTTAGAAAAGGAAAACTTATGTCAATGAAAAAAAGCGAAAGATTCTATTTGTTATCGCGAGTCTGAAGGACAATGGTACGTATACGTGATATTTTATGTTGTTTGGTGCAATATTACGTATACGTAATTTTTGATTTATATTGGGTAAAAAATATAAATATTGGTAAAAATTAGTTTATAAGGGGAAATACTTAATAACCTTAAAGTTATTATATGCCGAAGGGAGGCTAACTTCGGGAAACTGAAATTTCTATTCCCTTGCATTAAAAAAATATTATAACCCAGTCAAAAATAAATTCATTTTCAATCGGAAAACTGTTCTGTACTAGTTTTTATTAGCTTACCAAATCTGCAAGCTCAATTTATAAAATTTTTGAAAATGAAATTTTTTGTCAATTTTTGAAAAATTTATCGATGTAACCCCGTATAAAAATTTCAAAATTTTAAAAAATTTTAATATTTGCCAAACATAGCTCGATCGATTTGCCTGTTAGTGCTGATCAAGAAAATATATGGTTTATAGGGTCGGAAATGATTCCTTCCCTTATTTTTAAGCCTCTGTTTGAATATAGAATCCTCTTTGAGGGTGTAAAAATGATAAATGAATTACTAAAAGTATTACCCCCTTAAACAGTATAAAAATGATAAATAAAACTATATCAGTTACAAAACAAATCACTAAAAGTAAGACTATTTTAAGATATTTAAGGAAATGAATATCTGGGGTCTGGAAGACAATGGTACGTATACGTGATATTTCATGTTAGTTGGGGTGATGTTATGTATACGTAGTTTTTTTATTTCTATTGGGTTTTAAAGTTTAAAAAATTCATAACTTTGTTAAAAATTCATCAATTTCAATTTGGATAGCATTTCTGTGTTAGTTGTTTAAATTTTAACAAATCTTCAAACTCTATTTAAAATGTAAAAAAATGAGAAATTTTATCGATTTTTGAAACCCTTTATATAAATTTGAAAAAAAATTTAAAAATTTGTCAATTCGGCTTTTGATGCTGATCAAGAATATATATGACTTATAGGGTCGCAACTGACCCTTTCACTGACTAAAATGATAAAAACCTCTGAAAGGGTATTTATGTATATAAAATAAAGAGAAGGTAGAGAAAAATACAAATTCTCGCCTCCTTTTTTCATTACTCCCGTCTTCCGCCCCCTCTCTCAATTTTCGATTCGATTCCCAGGCCTTGGCCTTTGTTTTTTTTTACATTTTTTTTTGGTTTCACAAAAATCAAAAACTTTGAGCTCTCTCCACTTTCGAGCGGACGGTGGTTGTGGGTGGTGGTGGGTTGGCTGACTGCCGCTGCTGATGCTGCTCCTGTGGCACCTGCCACTTGAAAATTCCACACGGCTTCTGTTACATTTTGATTTATTTGCTGAAATTTATTGTTAAAGTGAATGGAGGCGCAAACTTGGTGAGCATCCGAAGGGGTGCTGGATGCTGGGTGGTTTTGAGTAAAAAGGGGGTGGGCTTCGAAGAGTATAACAGGTGGCAAAGTGTAGGTGAAGGCCGCCGTCGCGCCACAGTTGCCCCATAAAATATATCTGCTGGCCCTGGCATTCTTCTTTTTTTTGCAGCCTGCCACGACTTCCTATATAGCACTGAGCTCCGGCTTGTCGCCGCCATCAATCGGGAATCCGAGACCCGGACGGATTCTCAATCAGAATCAGTTCCAGCCACGTACACGGACACGTACGCGTATATCCATACTTATGCCCAGACTCGTACCCGTACTCCTTCCTCCGTATTAGGAACTAACCACATTCGGAACTTGGAGCCCATTGTGTGAGTCCGTCTCCATTCTAAGGCAGACACCACACGGCGCATAACAAGTGAGACTGTTGCTTAAAAAAGTCAGAATATTGATATTTACAATTTAAAAATGATAATAACCATATAAAGTTTTAAATATATAGAGATAAAGCAAGGAAAATTTAAGCTTTTGCACTTTAAGTCATTCTCTATCGCAAAAATATCACGATTTTGAATGCTTTAAATCAGAGAAGTTCTTCGTATTTCTAAGCTGAATTCTGAATTTATTTATATATAAGTAAAAATGCAGTCTTGATATTATACATATATGATATAAACCATATAATATTATATATTTTAATAAAAAAAAAATAATTTCTATCTGTGCAATGCTCCCTTAGCCTCATCTCCTCTTCCCCTTTGTTGCAGTCACTTCCCCGGGGGTCTGAGGCAGAACTGATTGAATTGAATATCAGTTTTCAGCCCTCCGCACCACGCCCCCTTTGCCATTCTACTTACACCAACGCCCCCCAAAAAAAGGAGCAAACAAAAAGAATGAGAGAAGGAAAACCCCCAAGGTTCCTTCATCGCTCTGGTTTGCCATTTGAATTTGAATGGAAATGATTTCACTTGATTTTCATATTTTTATTATGTTCCCCTTCGGGCTCACACTCACCTGCGTGCGCTGTGTGTGTGTGTGGTGTGGTGTGTTGAGTGTGTGTGCTGTCTGCCTCTCCCTCTCTCTCGCTCCCGTTCTCACCCTGCAGCTATTTCGTCTCTTTCTGTTTCGGGGCCCCGGCGCCTTTTTGACTTTATTAAAATGTATTGTAAACACGGCCAAGGGAGAAGGACGAAGGACAACGACAGGACGAGGAGTAGGAGAAGGAGCTGAAGGAGTACTAGGAGGAGCAAATATCTTCATCCTCACCTTGCTCATATTTACTTGGCTGGCCGCAATGTTAGGTTGCCTGCAGAATGCAATTCCCTAATTGTTTGCAAATATGGCCAAAACATTTGTGGCTTTTAAGTATTTAAAATGGATATATTTATGGCTAATCTTACCGCAAACAATTGGCAAGTCAATTTAATATTAATGTTTGCGATTTGTTTATTAATTAGGAGCTATGGATAAGATCAGGTCATGTTAAAGTCCATTTCCCTTTTATTAACTTTCATAGTAATATTTTATCAAGAAGTCTAAGATTGAAGCCAGTTTTAGCTTTGTTAATTTTTATATTATGGTATCTATATATTTATTTATTTCTTAATCTATGATTAGCTAGCTTTACAACTTAATTTTAACAAGTCCAATTATTGTTTTCATCAAGAATTTAATGAATCATAAACTGTAAGAAAGTTCCTTATTAACATTAATCTTGGCCACTTAAAACATAATTTGGGAATGACTTTGTTCTAGAATTAACATATACATAAAGAGCTTAAATTATTAAAACGATTATTGTGCAGCGTAGTTGTTAACATTACCCATTAAGCTGGCAAAGAGGC